GTTTTGGCGGTGGTTTATACTTTGTGAGAAAAATAATAAAAAACAGATGCTTTTCAAACAAACGGGCCCCCTGAGTAGGTTTGCCCCCCCCCCCCCCCCCCCCAACCCCTTCTTTTCTGAGATCCAAACTTGTTAAACACGACTGTGCAGCCTGCGGATGTCACTCGTCTTCTCTGCCATTGCCGTCGTCCTGCGTCCGACCAACGTCTTTATATGGCTGGCAATCCTCACCCTCGTCGTCACACGGCTCACACTTGATGGCACGTCTCCTCTCCAGCGGCAGTCCTTGCTAGTCCTCGTCAGGGAGATTTCCGTCTGCGGTTTATCGATCTTGGCTCTATCCGTGGTCTCGGATCGGCTGTACTTTGGGTTTTGGGCGTTTCCGCCATACAAGTGGCTGCATTTCAACGTCTCCCGATCCTTAGCCATCTTCTACGGCCGCATGCCCTGGCATTACTACTTGTCCCAGGGCATCCCACTGCTGACAACCACATTCCTCCCATTTACACTGCTCGGCCTGTACAAGTCGGGCTCGCCGTCTGGCACGAGCTCGATCCTCCAATCGAACACACTGAGGACACTCGCATTTACCGTCTTCACGGCTGTGGGCACTCTCTCCATGGTTTCTCACAAGGAAGTTCGCTTCATCTATCCGCTCTTGCCGGCTCTTCACATCCTTGCCGCGCCTTTCGCGTCCTCCTTCTTCACGGCACCACCACCACCACCTACGGGCAAACCGGCCGGTACCCAGCCCCGCCCCTCCACGCTACGCCACAAATCCATCCTCACCAGCATCCTATCGATCAACCTCCTCCTAGCAGGCTACCTCTCCCTTTTCCACCAACCCGCCCCCATCTCCGCTGTCAACTTCCTCCGCTCCGAATTCGAGCGTCTCCACCCAGACCGCCTAGACCTCCACCACCACTGCTCCTCCTCCTCCTCCTCCTCCTCCACCGGCAGCGAAGACGGCGCCGAGCCCCTCTTCGCCCTCTTCCTAACCCCCTGCCACTCGACGCCCTGGCGCAGCCACCTGGCCTACCCGCGCCTGCGCGCCCGCGCCCTCACCTGCGAGCCCCCGCTCGACACGGCGCCGGGGACCGCCGAGCGCGCGGCCTACCGCGACGAGGCCGACCGCTTCTACGACGACCCGGCTGGGTTCCTGCGCCGCGAGGTGTTGCCGCCGCTGGGGTTGCCGAGGTTCGTCGTCGGGTTCGAGGGCGTCGAGGGGGTGTTGCTCGAGGTTGTCGGGCGCGGGGACGGGAGCGGGGTCGGGGGGAACTTGACGAGGAGGTGGTCTGCGTTTAATGGGTTGTTTAACGAGGATTGGCGCCGGAGGGGGAGGCTTGTTGTGTGGGATACGGGGGTTGGGGGGAGGGAGGAGGAGGTGGAGGCCGAGGTTGATGGCTGATCTGAGGGAGACTGGGGAGAGTATGTGGAATCACCGTTCTGCTGCAGGATGTCTTTGGGGCTGGCATAGGCCCTATGGAGAGGATGTGGATATGTACTATACGCAATGCCCACGGATCTCTCTGAGTGCTTGACTTTTTTTTAATTTTAATCATAGATAGGGGCCCCACTAACTGGCCGTTTTTCCAAGCCTCGAGGAGTTTATACAGCCCTTAAGGGGACGCATTACACCCTTGTGAGTGGCAAAAGACCTGCTCATCAAGACCACGCTTCCCATCCCTGCTCGCTCTTTACAGCAAGTACCGGAACTCTGGATTCAAGTCCTAGACAAACGCCACGTCAGCGAAACCCGACACACACATACCCGCGGTCTAGAATCCACGCAACAACGAAAGCAAAGTAGAATAGGTATGTGCTTACCCCTAGCTCTGTCTTCTCGTAATCGGTCAGCCCAATATCGCGCGCGGTCTTATCGCGCTTCCTGTTCTCCCACGTCGCCGAGACGGCGTAAATGGCGCAGCACAGCGCGCTGAGGCAACTGAAGGCGACGCATATCGAGTAACCCTTCGTGTATAGCGGGACGTCCGGGGCCAGGAACGAGTATGTGGCGATGATGCCGCCGATGTTGCCGAATCCTTTTCGTCCTGGCGCGTCAGCCCTTTGTCCAGACACATGACAAAAACCCCGAAAAGGTTATAGGACGTCTGGAGGGAGAAGAGAGAAAGAGAAATACATACCGATCTGCCAGGCCGTCCCAATCGCCCTCCGGTGATGCCCACCGAGGTTCATGTTGAACCAGCAAACGATGACAGGCATAGCGCTATACGTGCCCATACAGATGAGGAACAGCGCCGCGTACATGGTATCCACATCGTGGTGGACGTTGAGCAGGATAGCAAAGCCCGCGATGGCGATGCACACGGGCGCGACAGTGAAGATGAAGCGGTGCTTGACGCGGTCGCTCAGGTAAGCGACGAGCATGCTGAAGGCGAAGGCCGAGGCCCAGGGCGGCACGGAGCGCAGCTGGGTCTGGATGGGGTCGAAGCCGTAGCCCTGGATGATGGTCGGGGCAAAGTACGCGTAGCCGTAGGCCGGCACGATCAGCCCAAAGTACATCAGCCCGCCCAGCCACACGCGGTGGTCGCGCATCACGGCCGCCACGTCGCCGAACGTCACGCCGCGCTCCGCCGCGTTGGCGCCCACGTCCGCCTCGAGCCGCGTCTTGACGTACGCGCGCTCCTCCGAGGTCAGCCACGCCGCCTGCTCCGGGAAGGAGGGGAAGGTGAAGAGGAAGATGACGCCGACGACGAAGGAGAGGCAGCCCTCGAGGATGAAGATCCAGCGCCAGCTGGTTTGGACCGGGTTAACGGAAAGGGGCTCATGACGGTGCGGAAGGGGGTGGGCAAATAAAGGGGAGGAGGCTTTAATTACCCATGGAAGCCGCGTATCCCATCCACTGTGTCGCATGTGAGCTGGTGCTTCGTTTCCGGTACTCTCTCTTGGATTACGACTTACTCTTTCCAATAACCGAGGCCAAAAGTCCGCCGAAAGCACCAGCTAGAGACGTGGACGAGAAGAACAACGAGTATCGCTTCTGAGACTCCTCGCGCTTATACCACATCCCTTTCGTCCGGAGTAGTCGTCAGTGCCACCAACGGCCAAGCAAACAAACCCCCCCCTCAGGTTCAGACATACCTAAGACATAGAAGCAGCCAGGGAACATGCCGCACTCGAATAGCCCGAGAAAGAAGCGAGTCGCCAGGAGGCCGGCAAAGTTCTGAGTGAGGCCCTGAAGGGCAGTGAGCAGGCCGAAGCCGAGACAGCAGCCGGAGAGCCATATGCGGGGCGAGAAGCGCTTGAGGAAGATGTTGGAGGGGATCTCGAAGATGATGTACGGCACGAAGAATATGGTCAGGGCGGTGTTGTACTGGACGCCCGTCAGGTGGAGGTCATCGATGAGATGAAACGAGCGGGCGTTGGCGATGTTGACCCGATCCAGAAAGGCGAGGAGGTAGAGGATGCTGAGGAAAGGAAGCAGGCGGATGTCAATCCTGGCCATGAGCCTCTTCTCCGTTGTGTGAGGCGGACAGGGGACATGGAGTTCGTCGTATTCAGCCACACCTGCTTCCGGGCTGTAGGTGCTGCTCGTGACAATCTCGCCAACCCCATCTCCTGGGCTGCGGTCCTCATCCTTGACAGCTGCCCCTGGGGTCAGCATGGACGGCGCTTGGATAGCGGCGGTTCTAGATCGCCCACACAAGGTACGGAAATATAGAAATCTACTTACGAGTCTCCTTTCCAAACATGGCGACCCCTGATTTTAGGCTCTACGGGGAAGACGCGAAGCTGCATTGCCCCAAGCACCAGAGGTCCGGTCCGGCGATGCACAAGGTTTTAATAAATACCACAGTGCCGATCACCAGGAGCTTATTCAACCACCTTCCTTCCATGGAAATCCCTTATCCCTGCTGACCGACAGGACGCAGTGCCATTAGTCACTCCACAAGTCCAGACCGCAGATCGGAATGCAGTCTGTGTGACGGGACTCGCCCCCTTGGACAAGGCGCCGCATTCCGAACAACGCCAGAGGTTGGATTGGCAATCTACACCTTCAATCCCTCCTTCCGAACCTCGGCTAGGTTTTGGTTGTTATTTCCGGGAATTCGGGGTGAATGTCGGTCGATGGTGTGAAGCTGTTGGATTTTACGGCTCAAGTTTGCAAAATAAGTGATTCAAATCGCTTGTAAATGATTGAGGTAGGAGGATATCCGTGGTTGATTCTAAACCCGGTAACCTTCGCTACCTATCCCATAACTCGGGAAATCGCAGCCCCCAACACCTCACATTCGAATAGCACAGAACTTTCAGAAAATAGAAATAAACCCGGAAAATTAAACTCAATAATCAAACTCAAAGTCTTGTCCCACTACTATTTATTACGTTCCCTACTGACGAGACCGTTCACAGTCCGGAAACCTGTTGACCTCCCATCGAGGATAAGACCAGTAGCATCGAGAATACCTAGGTCAAGATACAGCTTCGTACCTACCCAGGTAACAAAGTCATCACCATGCAGCTCCGGAGCGGACGCACAAAACGCAACCAAAGCCGTGGTCACTGGAATGATCTGCCCGTCGAGATACGGCTTATGATTCTGGAGTGGTTATCCACCGGCCACGACTCGATCCCACACCCACTCGCCTCTTATGCGACGACAAGTGAAGAGTGGCGTGTCTTCTTTGAGCAGAAGACGTTTCGGCGGCTTCGGGTGCTGCCCACCTGCCTGGACGAATTCGATCGCATAGTCACGGGCCGGCGACGGCCATACGTTCGGCACATCTGGTTCAGGATCGAGCTGAAATCACGCGGTCACGGGCAATCATCCAAGTTCCTCAGCGAGGTGAACAAGATGACCCTCACAGCTGGGTTACTCCATCTCTTCGAAATCCTCGCGGATTGGTTGGAAGGAGAATCGAACCAGAAAGGCCTCGCCCTGGAACTGAGCGCGTTCTCATCCATCGATCCGGATCACTCCATGAAGGATGCCGTGCCGCGAGATATCGAAGACCTCGACGTCTGGACCGACAGCGACAGATCAAGCGCCATCTACGAAGGCGTACCTTCCGAAATCAATCGACTTTCTGTAACTCAATCCCCGGAACATGACAGGATAATGCAATGCATGGGCACTTCACAACTAGGTCCATTTCCAGCTACTGACCTGCCGGAGGTCCGAGTTATCACTGAGCTCTGTGTTCGCCGCCAGACTTATCACCCCTTGTTTATGGCTTCACTTAGAGACATTGCCGAAAAGCTACCTCGTCTTCGACATCTGACCTACGAGCCATGGCGCAAGTGGGATGACGCAAGCCTGATGGCTGATGCCATGTTGTTTTGCGACATCTTAGACGCTTTACCACCTACGTTGAAATCGTTACGGATCTTTGAGGATCATGAAAGATTCCATCACGGCCGCAGCACTCCACGCATATGTACAGCTCAACCTCGTCACATCCACCTTCCTCATCTCGAGGTTGTCTCTCTCTCATTTCTCATTGACGCCATTGATTTCTTCACGGACTACATGTCTGCTTGTGTCTTGGGGCATGCGTGGTGTGAATGGGACAACCTAGTTTCACTTACGCTGACCTCTAACACTATCCGAAGCGATGCCTCCTCAAAGCCACAGCCAATAAAAAAATTGCTATTGTTCGCGGCTATTGCTGCAAAGGACATGCCGAGATTGCAAGTGATGGAGATATACAATGGGATTGGGAAAGGAGAAGGAGGAATCTTCAGATTCGCTGTTGCTAACAACTGTTGCTGTGTCACCTGGGAAAGTACTTGGCCGTTTCACCTGTCACAAGAGGTCGTCGAAGCCTGGAGGATGCTGGCAGAGAAACGCGAGGCGCGAAAATTCCATGTGCGGGTGCGGCAGATACCGACACGGACGATGAAGTGGTCCAACTGCATCCTGCCGCTGCTTCAAACCCGCAGGGAGGTTGCTCACCCGATTACATATTGGAATATGATGCAGGGACTTAATCGACTTTGATACCGTTTCGAGATGGGGACAGGCGGATCATCAGGGCAAGAAGTGATGTCAGGGGTTGACGTTATGAGGGGTGCTCAGAGTTTAATCTATCTACGTAATGAAACATTTCGATTATGGAGACAAGTGCGCCCGAACCTCGAGCATTACCCAGTTTTGAAATCTGGAGATGATATTCGCAAAAAAGGTAGATAGCTGGCCGGTGTTTTCATAACTCGATCGCTGTTTCCCTACCGATCCTGATGCCGGTTCTCCACTTTTGCCCGGCCCCGCAAACCGGAGGCACTCCGTCTCTTTAAGCTCTCGGCAGGGAGAGACAAGCGGGGCAGGGATAGCTTGACTTTTCGATCACCGTGCCCAGTTGCCAAGCACCCAGATCTAGACTTGGCTTATTGACTATGCAGAATGCCGGAACCATCCTCTTGGCGAGTATGGGGTTCTACTGTGGTATCGCAGATTCGAACATCTCGTGGGGAAACTGAGGTATGAAGAAGGCCTCTCGTCAAGTCGATCTGCCTCCCTTATTGGATGATGGTTTTCCAAGAGGCGTTTGGCAGTGATTACCTAAGGATCCATTTCCCCAATCTCATCTCCGTCACGAATGCGGATAGGCCCGGGGTGGATTCTGGAGTCTGGACCTTGACGTTTCGCTCCATGTTCGAAGCTGGTCGAAGTAATCGCAGGAAATACCTACGCCGCAACTGTAGGTGGCGTTTCAATTTTTCCATTCTCGAGTGTCACGGGTCACCAGGCCGCCAGGCGAACCTGTTAATGGCAAGTGGGGACGAACTGCTGCAAAAGTTGCGTAGGATTTTCCAGCTGCTATTTTTAACAATGGAAGCTGAAGAGCTAACGCAGGTAGCTCCGAAAGCGTGATGATGGACCCACAAACTTCAGCAGATCCAGTGTTTCGTTTCGAAACGAGAGAACGACCAAGTTCTTCACCCGACCCTGGATGAACCCTTGAAGGAACACATGTTACAGTTACAATCTGTTGACAAGTGCGGCAACAGCCAACTGCCAACAGGAATTGTTGATATTTTTTTTTATTATTTTTTTTTTGAACCCAGGTGAGAAAGGTTTAGCAGGCTTTGGGTATCCCAGCCATGTTTGCCGGTAAAGCCGAACAGGGTAACAGTTTCAGGTCATCAGGGATGAAATGGCAAGCTGTAGTAGGGCTAGAAGTACACAGCGACGTGGTAGCAACTAACGATCCCGCCTTGTGGGCCGTTTGAATGCCGCATATCCTGCAGGAGATTGTCCGTTTTCCCAGAGAAGGAGAGAGCCTCGAGAAGACTGCCCGGGGATTAACTGCGTAGATTTGAGAGTTGTTAGCTGTGCTCGATTTTTGTCTCCAAAAGTACCGTCAGCCGCACTGGGAAACACAGCTTATTATGAGACGAATCTCTAATTATCCATACATCTTCGATTATTGCCAAGGAACTGAGCTCTTGCTGCTTTAACCTGAAGTTGTGGGTGAGGAGCTACCAACCAAAGTTGCAGGGGTCTTTTTCTGGACCCAGTTTGAGCTACTTATTATCGAATACCACTTGCCATATGGGATATAAATAGCTTTGGCAGGTATCATGATATTTTGGCGTTAGTCATCCCTATTGAATCTACTATTGCGCTTCCTCACTGGTCAAGAGGTGCCACGTCCGGATCCGGGGGTTCCTACTACGCCTGGTATGTTAGTAAAGCAGTCCTGGGGGACGGCCGGACTGCAGGGCAGCAATATCTACGCTCTGGAGCTCATCTGCCCCTATAAACCTTCTCTGGACAGCAGAGCGTCGAAGCCCTTGCTGAGCGTCTCCATCACCGCCACGTCCACGTTGCTCTCGGCGAACATGATGGCCAGGTCCTTGAAATCCAGCTCCCCACCTCGTCCCGCCGCAGCCCATATTTCGTTCACCATCTTACGTATGATTCCGTTTCGGCACCGAGGATCATGCGCCGCAATGGCTAGGTTGTCCGTAATGAGAGACATTCGGCAGAGGTTGGGGTCCGCACCACGTCCCCTCTCCGAACGATCATGTCTTGCCACCATGCCATCGTAGACGCCACGGTAGTAGGCGAGACATTCCGGCGAATCTCCCCACACTCCTTCTGGTTCCAGACCATGGTCCATGGATTCTTTATATCCGTACATGGCCGGGTCCCAGTCGCGCGTGAGCCACCCGGGATATCTCTCGTTGCCAAGGCTGCGAGGCACAGCAGCGACGCCATCCCAGTCGATGAGACCCAGCTCGCCCTCTTCGGACACGATCACGTTCTGGATGTCGAAATCCGGATGTGCAAGAACGAAGGGATCCATACCAACGGGCTCGGGGATCCAGCTGATCAGCCGGCGCAAGAGCATCGCAACACCCTTGGGAACCGGGTTCTGTTCTGGATACCTGTCGAGCATGAGAGTGAAGTAGGCTTTCGGGTCGCTGGATGCCGCACACTCGACGTAAACGGGGTCGTCGTCTGGATCTTTGTGGACGAACCATCGGTCAAGCATGGCCTTGTAGTCGGCTTGTCGCATCGGCCCGATCCCCGATGGGGTCCCGTCGCTTCCAAAGAGAAGACAGCCGCCGGTTCGAAATGAGAACCTGTCCAGCTGCACCATTGCCGAGGCGATGCCTTCGAGGGCGCGGGTCCGGCGTGCGCGGGGCTGGTGGCCTTCAGGCGGTGTCCAAACCAGACGTCGTACAGAGGTGTTCCAGAAATAAAGGACATAATAATGTAAGGGCATCGGATAGTGTTTTGTGTGGTTGAGGAGAAGTCTAAGACATCGGGCAGAGGAATGGTAGTCTCGCGCTTCAGCAGGCGCATGGTGTTGGCCTCGGAAGCTAGGGCCGAGGCAGACAATTCGTCCCATTTGCTTGCCGTGCCATTGATGGGGATTTTCACGACCCAGCGAAGGCCAACATCGAAGGTCAGCGGGAAGAGTACGTGGTAAGAGCCATACATGGGCTCGCCGACTGACGGCTTCGTAGTCGGGGCTGCATGGTGCGGTTGGATACGCTGTAGAACGTCGCTCGCAAGCAGGGGCAGCTGCTCCCTGTCAAGCGTTGAGTGAATTGCAGAGAACAATTCTGCCTTTTCATCATCCTCGGCTGAGCGCAAAGAAGGCGACCCTTCAATGTGCTGCTGTTGCGCCATTCTGGTGTCTCATTTCCAGATCTCGATCTCCACAAGTCCGTAATGACTGTATCCGGCAGGACGGTAGTGAAGCAATTCCCAGGTTGCTGCGTCACGATCCCTGCTAAAAACGGTGGTCAGAGGGTATAGGTACCTATGTAAAGGTGTGAGTAGGCCTGCATAAAAGCGGCGAGGGGTCACATGGATGACGCTAGAATGCGTGAGTGCCCATCCATCCACACTACTGCGTAGCAGCGGCATCGGTACCTAGAGATAGGTAGCTTAAGGAGGAGTCAGTCAGCACCAAGCAGCGGTCGTCGTGAATTATTTGGTTCCATCCAGCACACGACGGGAACGGCATCGGGCGACACATTGACGCCGACACAGCCCCTCCCGAGTGACACGGGTTTCCCAAAAAGTCCCCTGCCCTCTGTTCCCAATCCCTGCGCACTCAGACCTCCTGCAAACTGGTGAGGGGTTTGTTGGCGAGAAGAGTCGAGGAAAGCGCAGCGATCATCGTCCTGTTGACGAGCTAGCAGCTGCTTGCTTACGGACGGACTACTGTCGCCGGCTTTCTTGCCTTCTCCGCGCCATCCCAACTCCATAGCCCCTTTTGTTTCCCCGCCTGCCCCTCTTCGCACGTCCCTGTCTTGGCCAGAGTGTGAAGCCCGTCCGGTCTTATTCCATACATCTTTTGAGCCATCCAGCATCGCGCACCCGGCAGCACCAGCAGCCCTCAAACACGCCGCGCCCAAGCCCAAGGATGCCTTTCGGTCGCACTGGCAGGCAACACAACCGTTCTCAACACGACCTGGTTGACACGGTTGGTCCTGCTGCTTCTCTAGCTTCCGCCGACGGCGGCTCAGCTGCCGCACGCGCTGGAAACGCAGCCGCTGGAAACACCCCCCTTTCAGCCTCGTCAAACGCGGCCTTCAGCTCCAACGAGTCCTTTGACAGCACACAACAGCCACCCCAATCGCAATCACAGTCACAGTCACAACCACAGTTGCAATCACAGCCCCCTCATCCACCGCCGCACACTGTCAGCCTCTACACCAGTCCGCAGGGAGGCGTCAACACCGCCAGCGTCTCGCCGCTGCATCATTCGAATACCGTCTCTGCTGCCTTCAATCCCCGCCAGAAGGACCCCGACTTCGCCGATCAGGTGTCCCGCTCCCAATCGCACCGCTTCTCCCAGGTATCCCCTATCCAGAACCAGCACCCGCACCACCAATACAGTCCCTCCGGCTCCGTAAACAACCTCCAGAACGTCCCACTCGTCACCTCCCCCGTTGCAGTCCAGGGACAGCCAGTCGCACCTCCGCACCAACCCCAGGCCCAGCCGCCCAAGAAGCGAAATTTCATCAAGAACATCCTAAGCGGCAACAACAACAGCAACAACAGCAACCGTGGTCCGGATCCGCACCAGCACGTCTCCCAGAACTCGTACAACAACACCGCCGGCCTCGCTCGCAGGCCTTCGAAGCGAGTGAGCAACCCTCCCCCAATCAGGACCGGTGCCTCCCAGGTGTCGCTTGAACAGCCGTCGGTCGACTGGCAATCCCAAGGCCCGCCCTCACGAGGATCTCCTCTCCAAGGCGTAGGGGAGTTGCAAGATTCATACCTGGTCAACGAGTCTAACCAACAATTGCGCCTGCAGAACCCCCAAGATATACAGCAGCACAATACTCCTACCACCATACGTCAGGTTGCCGCCGACGTTGACCCTCCATCCTACGGCAGCAGCGGAGAGCTTGCATATCTTGGGCAACACGGCCATATCCAGCTGCTGCAAGGCCAGACACCAACCGAGCTGCAGCAACACCAGTACAACCAAGTTGTCTTTGACCCTTCACAGCAGCAGCAGCAGCAGCAGCAATACCAATTTGCCAGCCCGCAACAGGTCCAATATCGTAGTGGGGTACATCTGGGCAGCAGCCAGCATCAGAACCCGGAGACTGTATCGCAGCAGTCGCATGAATCACCGATAGCTGACTCGGACCAACATTCAACCACCGGCGCCCAACCAGCCCAGGTGTCTCCAGCGGTGAACTATTCACCTCAAAACGAAATTTCTTCACCGGGCCAGAACATGCCCCCTCCGACACAGCCTCATAGTCGGCGTTCACAAGAGACAGACAAGCCACCGCCCGGTCCACCGCCGTCATATAGGCATAATCAGCAGCCGCAGAATATGAGCAACCTGCCACCGCCGCCGGCGGTTCCGCAGCAGTCTAACTACCGCCAAACTTCGGGGTCGGAGAGACAGCAGTTCGAAGGACAAGGTGTGGAGCAAGGCCGCAACAGCCCGCAGCCACCTACAAGCGATAGAGGCGAGACGGATGAGAAGGCCTTCAAGGACCTACGTATGTGCACCTACCAACCTTCCCTCTACCGTTGCCGAGCACAAGTTACTGACTGTTGGTTTTAAGTGAGCAAGTACAAGAACGTCAAGCGGCTGTATTTCGATGGCAAGAAGGATATAGAACAGCTCACTCTGCAGATCGAGCAGCTCCAGAATGCCCTTGCCAAACAGCGCATGTCGCAGAGTCGAACGGCGCTGGATGATAGCGAGTACATCACACGGTTTAACCGGCTGAACGGCGCCATCAACAACCTGTCTTTCAACATCCGCAAGGACTGGGTGACCCTGCCTTCCTGGCTGGCCCCCTACGTTAGCAGCGACGCTGTGAAGACGGGCAAGCAGGAGATGACGGCCATCGGCCGTGCGGTGATTACCCGATGGGTGATGGAGGAGATATTCAACAGCTGCTTCCACCCCGGGCTCGACCCGGAGCTTAGTAGGGAGCTGAAGCGTATCGAACACAACATTCGACACTTCAGTTACACCATGAGCAGTCAGGAGGAATACCTTGCCCTCACGGGCAAGGTCGTCAGCTGGCGGATGGCGACCCTAGAAGGTCTTGCCGATGTTCTCCGGAGCCCCGGCAGCGCCGACCACAAGGCGGACTTCACCCGCCACGCTACGAGCAACCTGACGGCGTGCCTGTTCCAGCACCTGGCAGATCCCCCTCCTCCCGGGGTGGACGGGAGCGCGAGCATGATTGTCGAACTGGCCGTCGCCATCGCCAGCAGCCTCCCCCTGGAGAGCCGCGACGTGGCGATCACATATCCCCTGCCGGAGCAGCCCATCCAGCCAGAGACCATGGAGGTTGAGAAGGCGGGCCTGCCGCCATTGGACGGGCGGCCCTCGGAAGCTGGCGAGGAGGGCGCGGGCGAGGAAGGCGGAAAGGACGGCGGGTCGAAGGACGGAAGAGATCGACGGGCCGACAAGGCCAGATCAGGTATGTTATATATCCGTCCCTAGGCGGCGGCCTCGGCGATAATACGCCAGGCAGCAGAAAGGGAGGTGCGCTTGCTGACCACTTACCGCCTGCAGCCGCGCCTCCAGCCCCACCGCACAAGGACCCAGGCAGGGTGCGCTTTGCTGGGTTCGTCGGTGTCGAGGTCAGAGGAAGACAGGTCCTGATCAAGGCACCGGTCTGGACACTTGCGTAGGCTTAGCTAGGTCTGCAAGAGACTGGGCAGAAATCCGGCATGACGGAGGAAGGGATTTCCTTTCACATCTTATATATGCGTCGCACACGCACGCACGCACGCACGCTTGCACGAGATGATGTGTCGCCGGAAGAAGAGAAGAGCATTGCCGGCTGGGTGGAGGGAAGGGATCTACCGACCGGGGACTGGGAAGGGGGCTGGATGGGACATGGATGGAACTTGGAAGCGATCTTGTTATCACGGAGGAAGGTTTCCCTTTCATATGACGACGGTGGGGATAGGCATGATACCTAGATAGATGCCTACCCCTTTTTACGCCTACTTGCCTGCGAATTGACTACGTTTGAAGACGGGCAATGGCTCTTGATCGGCCATAAACAGCATGTGATAATGCTATTGAAGGCCAAGATCTTCCTCCTGGGCTTGCTACGGAGCTTCGCTCTGGGTCAGTCCCCCAGACCATGGGATCCGTAGACCAGGGGAATTCACGCTCATAGTAGGCAATAATTGAAAAGTTCCGCTGTCCGTTGAGGATTTGCAATTTCTATTGACCCTCGTGCAGTCGCTGTACCTACTGGTCAATGAGACCCCTGGTCGGTTGACAACGGCCTCGGAGCCAACAAAGGGCCTACTGTGGTGGGGGCTGCTAGTGGGGCAGGGTCGACCGATTGATTTCAAGGTCCCCGCCGGCGGCATGCGAACTTGCGACAACGGTACACTCAAGCCCAACCGGAGGGGAAAACCTTGGCAGAGTTCTCCTCGACTCCGACCGCCGACCCCTGACACAATCTCTTAGCCGTGTTTACTGGAGCTATCTTGGCCGAACCATGGCCGACGGCGCAAGTCCTCCCAAACCAACCCACCTCGATCCCTCCGAGCTGGGCACAAAGCAGTAGTATGTACATACAGACCCTGGGCTTATAACCCCCCTTTAGTCACCCGGGGAAGTCTTCCAAACTGACAAATCTCGCCATGCCCACAGCTGGGACGCAATCTACGCCACCGAGCTGACCAACCACGCGTCCAACCCGCGCGAGGAAGGCACCATCTGGTTCGACGACTCCGACGCCGAGGCCAAGATATGCGACTTCCTCGACGGGCTCGCCGCCGCCACCACCACAACCGGAACCCTTCCTCCTCCTCTGACTCCGAGTGGTAGCACGAGCACAAGTAGCACACAACCACCCCCCAGGCTCGACAAGTCCACGGCCACGATCCTCGACCTCGGTTGCGGCAACGGCTCCCTGCTGCTCTCGCTCCGCGCCGCCGGCTGGCGCGGCCGCCTCCTCGGCGTCGACTACAGCGCCGCCAGCGTCGCGCTGGCGAGGCGGGTCGCCGCCTCGCGGGTTGACGACGACGACGACGACGACGACGATGACGACGGCGACAACCACTCGGTGGTAGAGGGATCATCGGCGCCGCCCGTCGAGTTCGAGGTGTGGGACATCCTCGCCGGCCCGCTGGACGCGGTGCGCGCCCGCGCGCCCGAGCCAGGGCCGGAACAAGCAGCAGCAGGTGGCGAAGAAGAAGAAAGAGACCGAGACCCAACAGCGGGCTGGGACGTAGTCCTGGACAAGGGCACCTTCGACGCCATCAGCCTGAGCGACGAGCGGGATGCGGCAGGGCGGCGCGTGTGCGAGGGGTACCGAGCGCGGGTGCGCAGCCTGCTGCGTCCGGGGGGCGGGCTCTTCCTCGTCACGAGCTGCAACTGGACCGAGGCGGAGCTGGGGGTTTGGTTTGGGGAGGCCGGGGTAAGGGGGGAGGAGGACGGGCGGCACCTCGAGGAGGTCGGGAGGATCAAGTACCCGAGCTTCAGCTTTGGCGGCGTCAAGGGGCAGGCTATTAGCTCTGTTTGCTTCGCGAGGCCGAGGTGACGGGCGCGGGGGGTTGGTTGGTTGGCCTTTGGGAGTGCGGCGTGGGTGATTGATTCTTGACACCCCACCGTTGGCGAAGGGGAGACGGTGCTCATTGTTGATGGTTTACTTAGACGAAGCTCCCTTGTTGGGATATGCCGTACCAGATCCAGCGGGAAGCCCGAGAATCGGTTCCCAGAGACATGGGGAACGAGAGATAGATAAAAGAAGAGGAAATAAATCAACAAGACCCATCCCTACAGGTGGTTTTCAAATATGCTTATTATTCTTACACCTCGTCCAAGGCAGCTATCGTGGCTCCTATACCATGCTATCCATGCAGTTGCCGCCCCTCCTCTACCACCACTTTCCACATCTCCTTTTTCTGAGCCTTACGTCTGGTTCCACGCCTCTTAAGCATATATGTAACCGTAACCCCCATCGACGTGTGCCCGCGGGGATTTATTGGAGATGACGCTCATCTCGGACGGAACCAGGGGGGCGGAGAAGGACACTGCCTCGATCGACAACTCTAGGAAGGGGGTCGCAGAAGGGAGCACCTCGAAAAATGCAGATCAAGGCAGCCGAGGCGCAGGGAAGAAAAGGGCACGGGAACTGAGAATTGCTTCATTACGTCTCTCTGTCTCCCAACCCCTCCCTTCTCTCTCACTCTCTCTCTCTCTCATAACCGTCTACGGTGAAGTGTTCATAGGCTCTCCACCAGGCAGCGGGCCCGTGGCCACCGCCGCAGCGGTGGTCGCGAAATACCGCACATCCACGTCGTCGTCCTTCTGCAGCTTCTCCAGGCTCGGCATGATGCGCTCCTCGATGAGCTGCTGGCCCCTCGGCGACGCGCTGAACGGAGCGCCCGCCTTCTCTAGGGAGTACACGGTGCCCTGGTCCGGGAGGCGCCGCAGCACGCCGATCAAGACCGCATACGTTTTTGCCACGTTGAACCGGATGTTGGGGATGTCGTCGGCAACGAGCTTCTCCAGCATTGGCAGGATCGACTTGGCGATCACCTCCATGCTCAACACGCTCGCCAGGGTCTGCGCCCAGGTGTTAGCGTCCGCAATGGACTTTGTATCGGCATTCGGAGAGGAGGGGAGGGGAGAGGCGGGGGAGAGAAACTCACGGTGATGGCAAAGCAAGTTGTCATTCTGTACAGGTAATTGGGGTGACCTCCCATGGCCATAACCTTGGGGATAATGGCCTCGCTAGCCCACTCGACTCCGAAAACCTCGGTTAGCTTCTTAAGGTTGTGCGTTGCCGCCTCGCGGATCGAGAAGACGGTGTCTCCTAGCCAGCCCATGCAGAGCTGGCTAAGTTTCTCGTCGAAGAACTTGACCCCGAGTTGGCTAGCAAGGAGCGGTATGTATTCGATGATAGCGAGCCGGACTCGCCATTGCTTGTCCTCGGCCAGCTGGACGATGGCCGGGAGGAGTGACTGCGAAAGGAGATCGATCCCAATGACCTTGTTCACCAGCTCGAGCTTCGAGATGATGTGGAGCCTAACCTCAGGGAATTCGTCCTTCAGCATCTGGAGGAACATGGGAAGGAGGTGGTCAATCGTCCTGTACCAAGTCAGCAAGCGCAGGGGGGGAAGTGGGAGATGCGGCCAAAGACAACATACTCCTGCTTGCCCAAGATAGGAGCCAGTCCGCTAATCTGGGTTCCCAACGCCGCCCTGACGTGCTGTGAGGGGTCGGATACGAGATCCTCGATGCTACCCATTATCTCATTAAGGAGCGTGGGCTGCTCGACCAAGCTACAGAATCCCGGAATCTGGCCGGCAATGGCTGTCCGCACTTCGGCCTCGTTATCCTTGAGCAACTTGACGAATGCCGGCACAAGGTCTCTCGACACGACCTCTTCATCCACCGCCTTGGCGATCTGGGAAAGGGGTCAGCCAGTCTGGTGTTGTCGGCATCGCCGGGAAAAAAAGGATCTCTCACCTTCTCGAACCGATCAGCAATCATATATCGGACTCTCCAGCTCTTATCCTCAATGAGACTCCTCAACGACGTAAGAAGAACACCATGGCTCGATTGCTGCTCCTTTGGAACAACCTCGGCGACGGAAATCAGGACCTCGACCGTAAGCAGCCGGACGCTATCCTGGTCGTCTTGGGCAAGGTGCTGGAACATGGGTATCATCTCCTCAACAACTATGGCAGCGGGCATCTCCTTCACAAACTTGGCGAGGTTGGTCGCGGCTTGTCGGCGCACCATGGGGGTCTCGTCGCGGACGAGCAGGCCAAATTGCTGTCGGAGCTGCTCCTGGATGGGCGGGGAAACCTTCTTGTAGGGGGCGGTGTAGAGGCCGCACCCCGACACCTTGGAGGTAAACCAGTCGGCCTTTGAGAGGTGAATCGTGAGGGGAATGAAGTATTCTTCGACTTGCTGGGACGACAGCTCCTCGCAGATCTTGTTCAAGGATTCGACGGCCTGTGCCTAGTTCAGCCAGGTGCTCCAAGAGGCGGGATTTCTAGCACGCCAAAACGTACCTTGTCTCTCACGACTGGCTCCTCGATAGCAGCCAGGTTCTCGAGGGGGGACAGGAGAACATGACCCCACGCCGGCCCGCCGACATACTCGATGAAACCGCCTAGCTCTTCGCTCAAGGCGACGAGGACTTCGTCTTCATCCTCAACCGATTCTGTTCGTTCCCGTGAGTTAGTGATAAGGAGCAGTAGAATGGATTCGGCGCAGGGTCGGGCTGGCTAACCGTCGAGGAAGGGAATCAGCTCCTCGCGAGTGCGCTCGGGGCCCAGGGCGAGGGCAATGGTGGAGAGTCGATGGATCGCGTTGAGGCGCAGCAGGACATCGTCGTGCTATTCAGAGTGTCAATAATCCACAGGTAGGCAGGACACCCGTTGTTTTGGCCACGGCCATCCATACCTTCAATTCATCGATTAGCACGGCGATGGGGTACAGTTCATCACTTGGGCTTGGCGCGTCAGCCATAGCGGGCGGGATTTGTGAGAAAGCGCGTTACTAGCGGGTATCGGAGGATCTGTTTGCTGGAGAAGAAGGTGTTGGGTTGAACGCGGCGAGAAGGCTGGATCGCGTGGGGTGGGTAATGCAGTGCACAGTGGATTGGGTAGATGGGGTTTGCAGCCAGTCGACTTGGTCCGCCAAGATTTGGTTGGAATCGTGGGCAGAAATGGGTCGATCGGTCGCCTTAATGGAGGGTCATAACATGTAAGGCGCGACCCTAGGTGAGTCAGGAGGATATAATGAACACGATTGCGGGGCGGCTTGGTGAGAATACTGGCGATGCTGAAGATGAGGTGGTGTGGAAATTGAGACGTTGGATGGAGATCAAGGCTGGACGGGGCAGGAGCTTTGATTTTCTCAGCGGCGCAAATTGGCGGTGGCCAGGCTGGGCCAGGGCCAAGGCTGGGGGGGTGCAGCGACCTAACTTAGGTACCCCTACAGTGATATCACGAGCGCTTCAGCTCACCAGCAGGCGGGCAGATACTTTCTTTACGTTTCAAAAAAAAAATCAGCATAGTTGATTCTCACTAAATAGGTAACTCCCATTTCATCTTTGCTTGGAATATGTGGCAATAGTGTGAAAAGGGGAGAACTGAGCTTCTCTCCTGCGTATCAAAAGTACGGTACCATCTCAAAGGCGCCCCGTCTCCCTGTTGCGGTCAGACACTTCCAGGTTGATAAACACACCAGCCACACTTGAGGGGTCAAAAGCTTATTATTAGGTACCTACTCTTACCTAGCCACAGCTTGATTGATTTGAGGTGGGGCTTCCCGCTTCAAGATACATATGCCGACTGCTTGGGTACCATAGTATATGGCAGCAATCATGAGCTCAAGGTAATTAAAGTAGCTGGGCCACTGCAGCAGCCACTTTACCGTATATGCAGTGGCAAGGCATATATATAGATAGTATATGCTCATCTAGAAGCAATGCTTTCCCGATCATAACTCCCAGTAGACCGCTGTCCTAAATTCCTTCCTTGCTCCAAAACAACTTGATCAAGCTCATTCCCAATCCATGGACCGGGTCTGGAAAAGGGAGGAGAAGGATATGATATGTCAACGCCGTTCGTCGCCAATGACCCGAATGCCCTAATCCATGCTCTTCATCTCTTCCCCACCACTATCCCCCAACGGGTGTCCGACATCGCTGCTCGATCCCAGGCCACCTCCTCCCCCAAGTAACCCTTTCCCTATCCCCAGGCCTGCGATCCCATCCCGCAGCGCTGCGAATGTCCCCCCCCCCGAAACATCTCCAGTACTTGCACTCCGATTCAGCGGCGGCGGGTCTACCCCCGCATCAGCTGTCAGCATAACGTGCGCGGCCTCCACCCCCGTCAGCACTGATTTGCTAGTAGGCAAGCTCAGAGGCTGCGGACTCCGGCTGAGGCCCCTTGCCCCCGCGGCGGCACCGAGCCGGGGGGTGCCCGGATAGCTGCCGACGCTGCTCCCCCTGTCGAAAGACATATCGGCTGGCGGAGTGCTGCTGCTAGCCGCTTGATCCTCGCTGCGGTGTTGATAGGTCGCGACGCGCTCCGCGGCTAAAGCACTGGCGTTCAGCGCACTGTTCATCTCGTCGTCGGAGCGGTTGAAGGCTTGGTACCACCAGCGGACCTCCCCGAAGCGCGGGAAGACGAGGCGCTCACGGCCCTTGATATGGTCGTCGACGGTGGGGTCGTAATCCTCGTTGGTGAACTCTTTCCTGCGGGATAAGAAGTAGTCCCAGACCGACGAGGTGCGGTCACGAAGATTGGCTTCTCTGCGCTGGTATTCGCTATTATATAGAAAGGTGCCATACTGACACGAGTAAAGGTGGTAGAGCAAGCGGCGGAGAAAGCGCTCGTTGAACTCAAAACGCGTTGGGTGTTGCCGGAGCAGTTGGTAGGTCGCGTCGAGGAATTGCTGGAATACGGGTGAGATGTCTCGGAGCTGCGTGGCCTGGTCTTTTGGAACCGGGCTCGGCGCTCTCTTCGGTTCATCCGCGGCATCGGTGTCGAGGCCCGACGAGTCCTCCCTGTCGCCCTGATTCAGACCTTTGTTGAAGAAGCGCTTTGCGCTGGCCAACGCGCTCTCGAGAGCGTCATTCCTGCCGTCGTTTTCGCCAGGCTGGATAGTCGAGCCGGCAAGGGCATCGTTTTGCGTGGAGAACCATTTCTCGTGACTCAAGTAGCCGGATCGCAGTTGGAACATATGCCCAAACGAGAGCCAATCCTTCTCAACGAGGACGATGAATCCCTCAATGGTGCGGTAATAAGGGTCTAGCATGAGCTGTGACAAGGCACTAAGCTGACTTGTCCTGTCCCAACCGTCCGAGCAGTGGATGAGAACGTGAGAGTGTTGAATTCCGACCTGTCTCGCGATGATGGCGGAGCCATCCAGGATTGCCGTTATGTGCCTCAGCCAGCTACTCTTGGCAAGTAGTTCTTGATTCGGGGGAAACGGGGAGACGTCGGCGTCCTTGATCGCATCGATGACCTTGTTGAGAGAATCCCTCATGACGTGTATGTTGTCTATATTCAAGAACACCCTCTTCGCACACTTGTAGTAATCCATATTTTCAGAGCCCTTTCCCACAGCCTGCATCGCAAGCGAGTTGATTGCAGGCCGAGCATCGACGATCAAATTATTTTGCTGTGCCCCGTATACCAGCCGCTTTCCTGTTTTCTCATCATACATCACGTTGGCCTCGGCGATGAATTCGTCCTCGAGCCTCTCCATATCCGACAGCTCGGGTTCCATAGGCTCTGGCAGGTCCACTTGGCTGGTGGACGGGCTCTGTTCTAGGCCTGTGGGGCTTGGAGATGTGCCGGGGAAGTCGGTTGAAGCAGAGAAGCATGCGCTGACGAGTCGCTCATCTTGGATACTCCGTTTGAATCTTATCCCAACAAGGGGCTGTGAGCTCCGAGTGATGGTACAGTTGTTCACGGGGTGGAAGTAGGTTAGGACGGGTATACGAGTTCGGGAACGAAACTCCCCGGCGTACTTGAGGGTGTTATCGGATATTTTGGACGGGACCACCAGCAGCGCCGGGTAGGTCGGAGAGAAGGTGTAGTCATTGTTGATGGCAGATATTCGCCAACCTCGGTCCGCAGACTTCTCACTTATCCCCTGACGTCGGAATTCGGCTTTCGCATCGTAAAAGTCCCACCCTTTAACAGCCTTCTCTGGTGGTTGGGGCTCATATTTGAAAGCATAGAGCTTATCTATGCCTGCCAACCTGCACGTACGGCTTCGAATGAAGTCAAAGGCATCACGAGCCTGCTTGACGTCGGCAAAGTTAAAGGCCACAAAGGTGAAATCCCGGCAGCGGATGCGGATCGAAGAAGGGATTCCGCTGGAAGGCGGAGATGGGCGCAGAGTACAGTGGGATATGATCTGGAATGCAGTCCAGCCTTGCCGTTCCTTTGCCGGTGCACCGGATTCCTCTGAGCCGTTGGGGCTTGTTTGGAAGCAGAATATCAGGTGGTAGTCTTGAAGGTAAAGATCGCCAAGCTGGGGCTTCCCGCCACGGATCGCATGGATATTCTTGTAGACCTAGCAAAGATAAACAGGGTCAGAGCTCGCCATATATATTTAACCCCTGGCCTCGGAAACAAACATGTTTATAGCTCCGGATCGGCATCTTGGGCTAATATGACGGGTTTAGGGCTGCTATGGCGTCGGGAACTCGGCGACTTTGGTCGACTCGAAAGTGGTAACGAGGGGCAGCTCTCTGTCTGATCCTGCACTGTCTAGAGCGGGAAGTAGATGAGCGCAGGGACACGCAAAATCATGTATGTCGCGCGTGGCCTGCCATGAGATGTGCTCGAAGTCGGTACGGGGTTCGGTTACTTGAAGCTCCGCAACACAGCTTCCATTCGTGATGCCTTGCGACTTGCGGGTTGCGGATTGCTTCAGCGAGGCTAACGAGGCTAACTCTATTTGCCATGTGATGTCAGACCCGCCCATTGGCGCAGCTCGAGGTGCTGTGGCTGGTGAGCGTGCTGTGCACGGGCCATTAGTAGAGCCTCGTGTACTGTACCAGCGTACCTGCGCACCCCGGCCAGTTATCAAGCCATACCGCTTTTAGCGATTAGGGCTTCCCCCACCTCACCATTGAGAAAAGTCCCAAAGTGCACCGAAATCTTCAACTTTTCGAACCGCGACCCGCCGAAAAAGTAATCCTCATCGACTTTCGACCGCCAATCGAGACAAGCCACTTCGACACCAGCCGAGTAGACCAGAGAGAAGAGATCATACAGACAACATGGCGGTTCCAGGCACCCAAATGTGAGTTACAATTGCAGGCCAAAAGAATCATGCATCTGTGGGGGGGGGATATTGAGGGCATCACGAAATTATACTGGGGAAGGAAAACCAGACCTACATAATTTTTGAGAGAGAGGAGAGGGAAAGAGATGATTGTTAAACCTTGTTTGTTGATCACGCCTTGCTAACTCAGCATTTTCTCCCACAGCTCCAAGCGGAGAAAGTTCATCGCCGACGGTGTCTTCTATGCCGAGCTGAACGAGTTCTTCCAGCGTGAGCTGGCCGAGGAGGGCTACTCGGGCGTCGAGGTCCGCGTCACCCCGACCGTCACCGACATCATCATCCGGGCGACACACACACAGGAGGTCCTCGGCGAGCAGGGCCGCCGCATCCGCGAGCTCACCTCGCTCATCCAGAAGCGGTTCAAGTTCCCCGAGAACTCGGTCTCCCTCTACGCCGCCAAAGTCCAGAACCGCGGCCTGTCCGCCGTCGCCCAGTGCGAGTCGCTCCGCTACAAGCTGCTCAACGGCCTGGCCGTCCGCCGCGCCTGCTACGGTGTCCTCCGCTTCATCATGGAGAGCGGCGCCAAGGGCTGTGAGGTCGTCGTCTCGGGCAAGCTCCGCGCCGCCCGTGCCAAGAGCATGAAGTTCACCGACGGATTCATGATCCACAGCGGCCAGCCGGCCAAGGACTTCATCGACAGTGCCACCCGCCACGTGCTGCTCCGCCAGGGCGTGCTCGGCATCAAGGTCAAGATCATGCGCGGCAGCGACCCCGAGGGCAAGGCCGGCCCCCAGAAGTCCCTCCCCGACGCCGTCACCATCATCGAGCCCAAGGAGGAGGCCCCCGTCCTGCAGCCGAGCAGCCAGGACTACGGCGCTAAGGCCGCCCAGGCCCAGGCCCAGGCTGAGGCCCAGCGCCAGGACGAGGAGGGCGCCGAGGAGGCCCCGGCGCCTGCGGAGCAATAGGAATCCCCCGAGGCGTCCGGACCACTCGCCGAGGAGGAGCACGGCCAACCATCTTCTTCCTCATTCGAGGAGAACATTGACGCCGCCTGGTAAACGGGACGGACATTTTGGTTGCCCCTTTCCCCCCCCGGAAGAGAGAAAGTCTGGGTTGTGGTTGTGGAGGATCGTTTCTTTTTTTCGTCGTTGGCATCAATTCGCAAGTACAAACCGGTGGTGGAAGGGATGGGTCTACACGGCGTCAACATACTTTGATGGTCATGACACAACATTTGAATTGACAACTGCGAGGAAGGAGAGGGAATGGATGCGTCGCCGACTTTTCTTTTCCCTTTTTTCCTTCTTTCCTTTCCCTTTTCAGGTCACCTCTTGTACTTAACCTTACAATATCTGGCCTTAGGGAAGAGAGAGAGAAAAAGAGAAATGGAAAGAGAGCAATGAACACAACACGGAAATCCAATAATCGTAGAAAGGGTCGACTAAAATGTCTGCTCCGTAATGCTACAAGATGCAGTACTATGGATGGATTTAGCTTCTAGCTACTCCAAGCCAGAGGAACTTCGCCTGGGCCCTCTTGCGTCTTCTAGATCTCGTAACAGAAGAAATGAAGCAACCCACGATTACCCCTCCCCGCCGGGGTGTATATATCGTACAAGACGGCCCCACAGCGTCGGATGCGTTCGCAAAAATCAAACAAGAAAACGATAAATCAGCAAAAGTCGGGAACAGGAAACAATAATCGACCATCCATATAACGCCGGTTTGCCATGGTAAAGAGGCTCTCTCTCTCTGTGTGTGTGTCCGGCCCCCCTCCCAAACGTGTCATGAACCCCCCAACACTTTATCCTCATGTCATTGAGAGCAAGCTTTTGCTCAATAGGTAGTAGTAGCCAGGATTTCCCAATCAAAAAGCAGGCAGGCAGCGAATTCGCCCTTACGAACCCCTTCCCCATCCCAAACTGCTTCAACCTACGCCTATCATGCTGTCCGATCCGTTCGTTTCGGTTGGATCGGCTTGTCGTGTGTGAAGCCCGTTCGTTGAAGGAGAAACCAAACCCCCGATTATGACCCTGTTGACCCCCGTATGCGATGTGGTGAATGGAAATGTACAAAGGTTTCGGATGTCGTGTGAAGACAGAGGGAATTACTATCAAGGGACGCCAGGGGTTGATAACGAGATGTGTTGGTTCGGGTTACCGTTCATCAGACTTCCTCGGCTGAAGCTCTATATGTTCTTGGAGCCCCTTCGCGCCGTGAGGATTTCCGTTTGCTGTGCCATTGGCGCGGCCTTGTTGATGGCTCCCCATCATCGGGCTTCTCGGGTCGATTTCCTCGTCGCTCTCCTCGGTGAGGTCGGTCAGCCCGAATCCGGCAGCCTCCTCTTCGTCATAGGCACGGATCAACCCTTCCCTGTCGCCACGGCTGCTCCCCACGCTTAGACGGCGCTGGTGGCCCACGGATCTCCGTGCCTCCATGCTCATCCTCGTCTGGATGCTGGAGACCATGTCGGTTCCTGTGGCGTCGCCCCGGCGTGCCATCATCTTAATGCCGTTCGGGTCGTTGCGGCTGAGGTTGAGCAGGTAGACGCCAGTGAAGGTCACAAGGAAACCGCAGAGGAGGGAGAGGGTGTTAATGGGGTCGGTCGTGTTAAAGCCGCTAAAGAGGATGAAGGATGCGCAGAGGGTTGCTGTCGTAAAAGTTACGTAGTACAGCGGGTTGACACTAAAGCACTGTTGTCAGCCAATTTGAGCTGCCACGAATTTACCCCAGATCCACAAACGTACATGTTGGTGGGGAACTGGCTCAGCGCCTTGTTGAAGTAGTTCATCTGCACCAGGATGCAGACCGTGGTAACGATCATGAAGACGTAGGTCGACGGGTGTGTGAACTGGTTGTGCCCACCGATGGTGAGTTTCACGGCAATGCCGAATGCCTTGATGGCCATGACCGACACGGAGCCCACAAGCGAGCAGATTCCAAGGTAGACGAGCGGATTCGTCTTTCCGTAGACGGGAGCGACTTTATATATCATGACGGCTGCAAATATGCAGACAGTGCCAGCATAGAGGAGGAATCCTGGAGTGGGAAGGTCAGCATGTCATACCCCGAGGGAGGGTGGCCAGATAGTCGTACCCGGCTTGATCGCATAGTGGAGGATCTGGTCAATGGTCTCGATCTCCTCGTCGGGCGGGGCGTGGAGGACGATGATGACGGCGCCTATCAAGCAGATGGCACTCCCAAGTTTGCCCAGTGTTCCAAGCTCTTCCTTGAGGAAATATGAGCCCAGAACTGCGCCTATCAGGACAGCCAGGGCTCCCAGTGGTGTTACTAGAATGGCTGGTGCGAAAGCGTACGCTGCAAAGTTGCAGATTTCTCCGAGGACCACTGCACGCGCCCTTGTCAGTCATCGTTGCGATGAACCCGCAGGGAAGGAAGTTGGTCGCCCATACATATCGCTATTCCTACCCACCAGAGGGGACTCTTGAAATATGTGAAGCCGTCTCCTTCAAAGCCATGCCGTTCTTCAGCATGCATCAAGCCCTACAATGGTAGCGATGTGTCAGCGCAAACGTGGTCTCGGCTTCTCGATATCGGCTTTTGGATTCTCGAATCGTTTCGAATCGAGGTTGGGTCGGGACGAGTGTAGTAGCAGTACCTTTTTCGTAATCACGAAGCTCGTGCCTACCAGGACCGAATTGTCAGTATCGACACACCTCAAAAGATCGATGGGGCAGCGCATACCTATGGCTAAACTTGAGGTCATGGCCAATGCCAGACCGATGTACCTGTCAGGGTCAAACACTGTCAGCGCCGCAAAGTTGGCTCCCCGCGCCCTGATTGCGGGCGCTAGGGATGGGCAAAGTACGCACTTCTCTTCTAGCATCATCTTGAGGGAAAAGAACGTCTGGACAGCGGGGGCGCTGGGTGTCGAAACGATGCCTTGAGTCTTGCGATCGACCAAGGCGGGGATATGAGGGAGCGATGGGGGAGGGACAAGGAAGGACTTTAACCCGCGCCGGGCGAGTAAAATAGACTCAGGCCCAACAGCGATGCATCAAAAGATGAGAGAGTCTCTAACGAGAGTCCAGCGGATAGTCGAGTAGGAAGGCTTGCGCCTGGTCGCCGCCTTGATTCGGGTTGGGTGAAGTTGTATCTACGGCAATCAGTTACACGCACAAATAATGCCAGCGTACGCATCCGTAGTGAAATATGGGAAGGGATGAGCCCAGGCCGGCATTTGGCCGGATATGTATGTACAGTGCTATGTACTTGGCGTGTGTTTCAGGGGCCCCTGAAGTTTGAACAGGTACAGCCGCCACCAGCGGCCGCTGTTTCCCGAGGAGATCAATCCACACAGTGTCAGCAAAACAGAACAAACTTCCATTCTCATCAAACATGTGCAAGGCTTGTCAGGGATCCACGTGCGACGAGGACCTCGAAAGATTTTTAGTTGGCGAACAAGCCTCTGGTGAACCTCCGGCGTCTCGCTCTCCCCGGCTCCCTGTTGGCTGATTCATCTATCTAGCTCACAGATCTGGGTTCAAAGTTTGAAAATTTGTTAATTTTGATTTGCACTGCCCGCCACTTGGAATAATTAACTTGACTCGAAAAAGGTGCTTGCCTACCTAGGCGGCAGCCAAACTCATATGACGCGGCTCACAAGTCAGTCAGTGGTCACAGCCCCAGCCTTATGCACAAATCGAAATAGTGGATATCCGTCCTATGCAACTAAAAGAATATGATCATTCCTCCTCGTACCTGAGAGTCGCCAAGTGCTTGGAACTCCTTGGGAACAGCAACAACTAGTGCTGACGAACCCTTTCTTGTGACTTGTCACAGTGGAGCTTGCACGGTCAGAAATATCACCTAGGTAATTGTAGAAAGAGAGAAAGCATTGATTACAAAGAGCCTCCAATCTGCGGGAACCGCAGTAGCTAAGGTTTCCCCAAGTAAAACTCTCATCCGTGGATAAGAGAAGCAAGTAACCGTACAGGGTTCCCTAGGTTTTCTTGATCGCCCCGTCTTTCGATCTCCTCTCGTGGGAGCAACATCCCGTGAACCATGTCTCGCGTGGAAGTCGTCCGTCGCAAATACATTCCAAGGCGAGTCGTCTTCTCGAAATTCAAATGACATCCCAGGTCGAAGAATCCATGCCCTCCTACAATACCAGCCTCATCGCGGCAAAACTCCGCCAAACGCCCCATGCATTTTACCTTGGCCAACCCCACGGCCGCTCTTTGTATCCTCGCAAAAAAAAGAAAAGCACGAGTTTGCTACCCGTGGTAGAGGCTGGCCACCGACATCAACTAAGCGGATAAGGGCCTCAAGTGAGATGGCAGAGAGGTATGCTGGCTGATAACGCCGGGTTCGGCCGTACTTTATACATCTCGAGTATGCTATTGCTATAAAAAGCAATCGAGGGAGGGTTGCTAGTTGACGGAGGGAGGTCTCCGATTGCGCAGATGGATGTGATCTCGAACTCGCAAGCGATGACTTACCTCTTTGATATGCATCGGCCCGTATGCTGAGGACCTGCATTAAATCATTATGTCGCGCTCGTCGCCTGTGGAAGGGTTAAAGCCCAAAAAGGGTGAGAAAGGAACAAGGGAGGACGAAATGCTCGTGGAGTGCAGGTTGGCGTAGTTGCACTACAACCACAACACGTCCGCAGATACCGTGCTGTGCGGCAGGGCAGGGGGATTCTGCGGAAGCCCGGTGACTCAAGTTCTTCGCCGCTTGACGTCTGCTTCTCACGTAGCCATTAATTAGCCTTGATATCTAAGCATAAAGGAAAAAGGGAGGAATGACTGACCACTCTCATCAGCCAGGCTGCCAGAATCGTCGAGCTGTCTGCTTCTCTTGACAGAGCGGCTCGGCGAGGTTAGCGTTGCGGGATCTTGCCCTTCGACCCCTTCTTTTATGTCATCATCGCCATCGTTCTCCCAGTCAATTTCGTCAAGATTTTGTCCGATCGCCTCGGAGGAACTCTGGGGTTCCCGTAGATCCAAGTCAAAGGTGTCGCCCGCATCGTCTTCGGCGACATCATAGCTGATTTCAACACCCTTGATGGTTGACGCGGGGCTTGAGGGATGGTCTTGGGATACCTTGTTTCGTGATTCACCAACGTCCACACCGGTGTGTGTTGCCCCGTCGTGCTGCTTGTTGTCTTCGACGGTCCCGAAATTCTCGCTCTGTCCACCGTCTTCGTACTCGTTTTGCTCGAACTCGGTCTCGCGCATCGACTCGTGGGTTACGTTGGGGCCAGAACGGGGCTTGGTGCCAGAATCACTGTAGTCTTTAAAATGGGGCGAGTTAGCATCAAGGGTAGGCGCGAATGCAGAACCCGAGAATGTGCCTGAACCGTGATGGGAATGGGGAGATGCAATGCCATGCGCAGCACCCAACGGGGGCCTATGAGCATCTTGCGACCCAGACCAGGCCACATCCAACCCAGCTTGGGGTGTGGAGTGCTTTGTCAAGGCCATGGCCTCATGAGACTTCTGTGGAGATCTATCGACTTCCGTGGCGAGGGGCTCACGAAGGTAGCTCTCTGAGGCAGTAGCAGGCATTGGAGCCAGCTTGCCAAAGCCTCGCGGAAGGGAAACCCACATGTTTCCAATCTCCATGAGGTCCTTGACGGGGTCGCTATCGAACCCCCTGGCTATCCCCGGACTATTGCTCTGTGGGAGGGGCGGGGGCAAGATTGGGGATCCATCTGTGACGGGTCGGGACAGAGGCTCGTCATCATCAGAATAGTCGATGAGGCCATCGTCCACCCGTGGAAGACGGCCTGGGGATTTTGAAAGATCAGGTCTGGCGGGTCGGGACACAGGCTCTTCATCATCAGAATAGTCGATGACGAAGCCGTCATCCACCTGCCCAAGAAGGATGGGGAATTCTGAATGTTCATTTCCAACAGGTCGGGACGCAGGCTCTTCATCATCAGAATAGTCGATGAGGCCATCATCGTCCACCTGAGCAAGGGGGTTTGGGGATTTGGAGTCGTCATGTCTGACAAGTCCGCTTTCAGGCCCTCGGTCATCAGAATAATCGATCAGGTCGTCATCAACACTCCACGAAGCTCGAGAGGTGTGATGACCTGCATTCTGGGCGAACGAGCCTGCCAGGCGGCGTGACTTCCACGCCGGCGCGGCGGAAGAGACATCAAACTCGTCCTCGGGCCAATCAATCAAGTCATCCATGTACTTCCGCTTCAGACCCGGCTTCCCGAAGGGGGAAATGAAAATGGGAATATTACCAGTTGCCACTGAAGCTGCAGCGACCTCTGCTTGTGCAGCTTCGTCTCCATCACTGATTCCGCCACCGATGCCGTCACCAAACCCATCCATTTTGCTCTCCTCCTCTGCCTGGTCGACCTCTTCAGCGCCGGCCTCGAGGACATTGACATTGCCGATGGCTGCTTCGTCGGGAGCATGGCCAGAGTTGTCGCGCACATCCGCGCCGCCGTATTGCTGCTGCTCGTCGGCAGCAAGGACATCTGGAGAAGGGAAGTCGTTTTCTTTCCCCATGGTATCCTGCTGCCCCAAAGCTGCTGTATAATCAAGGTGAGCAGTGTCATGGTTCATCTCCTCCTGGTCTTCGAGCAAGTTGAAGTCGATCTCTCCCTCTCCCTCGACATCATCACCACTATACTCAGAGTAAATCTCTTGCTGGAAGTTGCGAGGGACAGAGTCAGCCATAATGGCTGCATCCTCGGCTGCCTCCTCATCTGCCGTTGCACTGCCAACCATGCCAGCATCTGCTACTAGCGTGTCTTCAGGGAATCCATCCTCCACATGAGCGGTCTCACTGCCAAGGAAGTTCTCCTCTGCAATATCTTTGGCCTCTTCCTCGTGAGAGCCTAATTCCCCGTCCTCTTCATAATGATCTCCGTAATCTGCATCATCTTTCGCAGGTGAAGTGGCATTTGACAACTGGGACTGGTCCAAGTAATCTAGCAGCTCAGCCAGTCCGATGCCTTGATCGGCGGCATCTAGCAACTTGGAGTAGCGCTGTGTACAGTCTGGCCGAGTGAGAAGCTCCACGACAGGTGCAGAATACTCAGTTACACCGTCATTCCCCTGAAGTCTCTCATAGAGCCAAAGGATGTCTCGAAAAGTGGTCGTGTGGAGGAAGTTCTCGTTTGAATGCTGCCAAATGTCAGAGGGGCCACTATGAATTGAGTTGGTTCGTCTCACCTCTCCAAATTCGAGCCCAAGCTGATCGACTCTGACAATAATCTCATCTTTAGGTGAGACCTCATTGGAGATGACCTCACGGAGGCACGAAAGAAAGTCTGAGAGGGGGTAGTCCAACTCCAAATCTCCTGCGAAGAAGTATGTGTCGGGGTTATCATTGTCTTCCTTGGCGCACAGTTCATACGAGGTGTTGTTGTAGAGGATGGGTATGTCAGGTGGACGCATTATATCAGATCGATGCTGTGAAGGCTGGCCTTCTCCAGGACCTTCGCCATCGACATTCTCCTCATGGCCATCTTTTGTAGGAGACAAAGATTGCTCCAGGTCTTGGGCAGCCTCAGCCTCAACCTGTTCTGGCAACAGGGCCTCCCTGTTTTGTGCTGGGGGTTTCTCATGTGCCTCCTGGGCAGTCTGGGCAGTATCAGCGGAAGCAGCGGAAGCTGCAAGCTCTGGGTCAAAACCCAGATCCTCCAGTTCTTCTTCGTCCAAGGCCTGATTGTGATGATCTTGATCTGCAGGTTGATCCAGGCTGGTTGATTCGACAGGGGGCACATCTGCAAGTGAGGAGTCCTCTAAGGCAACATTGCCTTCATCTTCATAGGTGATCTCCTCATAGTTATCAGCATCATCTGCCACCTGAATGTCGTCGGTCTGGAGAGGTGCTGCCTGGTGGGATGCTGCCTGGTGGGAGGCGTCTAAACCTGCGTCCTCATCTTCATAGCCAATCTCTGACTCGGCTCGATATTTCCTCGAGGCTTCATCTCCACGGGAAGATGGGGCAAGATGAATGTCGCTGTGTCCTGTATCCTCAGCCATGTCCTCGGCCGTGTCTATGCCGCCGAGCTGGAAGTCAAACTCATCGGCGTCGACATCGGGGTTGAGAACAAGGTTCTGCTCATCGAGGCCGTTGTTGCCACCATGTCCAATTTCTTCTTCGGCAATAAGTCCGAAATCGAGAAGATCTTCCTCTCCAGGGGCCAGATGGCCTGAATCAAGTGATACTTCGGCCATAGAGCTCTGCTCCTAGGCACTCGAAGGGTCAAGGGGACTTGTAAGGGGGTGCTGCAAGTAGTGGAGCGATGTTCTTCAGTTGTTGGGCATGGCCATCTATCTCCTAGATACTCAAGGTGTTTTGAATCGTGCGAGTTAGAGAGTCGGGAGAGTCGGGGGTTAAGGTTGGGTTAAGGTTGGTTGCGGAGTCGGTTAGGATGTCCGTTGGAGTGTGTGGTATGTTGGCTGTTGGCTGTTGGCTGTTGGCTGTTGGCTGTTAACCCTAGGCAACGCGTATCGGCTTATCTTGTAACGCTCTTCTGGGAGATGCTGTTTTCTGCACCCAGTCGCACCTCTGCAGGTAAGGTATTTGACTGCAATGTTTGTGCGGTTCGAGTTGGGAGATGAAATCGGGACGCGAGACAAATTCACCGGGACGATGAAGGTAGAGGGTAGAAATAGGCAGTACCCAAGGGTAAATTAATTGGTGGAGACACGAGAAGTGAAGGTAAGCTCAGGTCACCTAAACTTCCGGTGTAAGGCTCATCATTCAGTCTAAGAAAATACGTACCAAATTAGGTAATTCCCCCATTCAGCGCAGGGTTTCCAGAGGTGCACAGACCATGTTATCTTTAGACACTGGACACGACACTGGACACTTTGCGAAGACACACCGTTGCTTGCATTCAACCTCAAGCAGCCAGTCCAAGCCATTACCAACCACCACAACTCTTTCCAGCAGCTACCATGGTTGTCCTTGCTGCTTCCATCTGCACCCGAGGGGGCAAGGCTGTCCTAGCCCGCTCCTTTCATGAGATGCGACGCTCAAGGCTGGAGACATTGCTCCTTTCCTTCCCCAAGCTTGCCGACAGCGGCACCCAGCACACCACAGTCGAGCAGGACAATGTCCGCTTTGTCTACCAGCCATTGGACGAGCTCTATATGGTCCTCATCACAAACCTGCAGTCCAACATTCTGCAGGACATTGACTCCCTCCACCTCTTTGCCCAGGTTGTGACCAGCACTTGCAAGAGCTTGGAGGAGCGGGAGATCCTCAGGAATGCCTATGAGCTTCTCAGTGCTTTTGATGAATTGGTCACCCTTGGATACAGGGACAACCTCACTATCAGCCAGATCAGGACCTTCTTGGAGATGGAGAGCCATGAGGAGCGCATCCAGGAGATCATTGCCCGGGTAGGTCCCACCCTGATCAGGTAGGCCAGCAAGGCCAGGCAGAAAGCTGACCAAGTTTCAGAACAAAGAGCTGGAGGCTACCGAGGAGCGGAAGAGAAAGGCCAAGCAACTCGAAATGCAACGCAAGGAATCGGCGAGAAGCGGACGTGCTGGCGGCATGCCTCGGACTCCAGTCTACCCAACATATACCCCTCCTTCGAAGCCAGCCGCTACCGAGTCCTACGACAGTTATGAGGCCGAGAAGAACAAGTCCAAGTACGCTGTGCCCTGATGGGTTGAATTGGGGGTACTTTACTAATTTGGTCTAGATTCACTGCTCCCAAGGGCAAAGGCATGCAGCTGGGCAAGAAGTCCAAGACAACGGACATGTTTGAGCGAGTACGTGGAGATATGGGCCAGGAAGCCGAGAATGCGCCCTTGGTCCCGGTAGCCTCTAGCCCGACTGCTGCCGAGCCAGCCGCACCCCGAGCATCGTCGACACTAGACCGTGACGCCATCCATATTACCATCAGCGAGTCCATCAGTGCCAAGCTCACAAGGGAAGGAACCTTGAGCTCGCTCTCCGTCAATGGAGACCTGAATCTGCGGGTCTCGGATCCTTCCATGACCAAAGTCAAGCTCAGTCTGAGCGCCACCCCAAGCCACGGCGCACAGTTCCGTACACACCCCAACGTAGACCGCAACTTATTCAACGGGTCCAAGGTCATCCAGATGAACAACACGGCCAAGGGATTCCCCGTGAACAACGCCGTTCCGGTGCTGCGGTGGCGTGCATCGCCCAAGCCAGACGATACCAGTGCCCTGCCAATCAGCTTTACCGTCTGGGTTAATAGGAGCTCTGACGGCAATTGCACCTTGACAGTCGAGTACGAGCTGACGGGAGGCGATGCGCTGAACGATGTCAGCGTCGTCATCCCGTATTCCAGCAACGAACCCACCATATCCAGTTTCGATGCGACGTACGAGGTGTCGGGAGACAGTCTTGAATGGACAATAGGCTCCGTGACCGAGGACAACGCGAACGGCGCCTTCGAGTTCGAGGCCCAGGCTGACGACGAAAACGAGTTCTTCCCTATGCAAGTGCGGTTTTCCAAGACTTCACCGTTCGTGGATGTCGACGTAAGTTCCATCCCCTCGACTAGGCCGCCTAATTACAGAAGATGATATCTAACAAGTTCGCAGATAAACTCGGTGGCATTGATCGAGATGGACGAGGAAGTGGCCTTCTCTAAGCATGTCAAGTCTGTAGCGGATACGTATTTGATTGAGTAGATCTGATGGGCAAGGGTAGAGACATGGGCAGCTATTCAGATGTTAGAGGCTTGAAGTCAAGCCCAGCTGCAGTGGTAGCTCGAGCAGTAAATAGATCCGGTAGCCGCTTGCACTTGTAGGAAACTCTGGATTTCGTTGACATCCTCTGGTATACATAAGCCTTTTGTCTTGTTCTGCAAGGCCCAAGAGTAAGACGGTGAACTGTCCCATGTCGACAGACTACATAGGTACTATGAGTACTGGCAGTGGTTGGTATATCTACACAGTGCGCATCGCCCTCTTGTCGACACTGTGTTGCGACCTAGCAAACATGCCGTGGGCGTTGGCGCGTCGACTCGGTCGTGTAAATCCACGAATACCCAGCGAGCCTTCAGCAGGGCTGAGATAACGCTCTCGGCCGGGCCTTAATTCATGGCTTGGCGCGTATTCACGGTACATCCCGGCCAATTCCTTGCCTACGCCTCCAAACATGGAAGACCCTCCTTTGGAGCTGCCTCTCCTCAGCGAGAGCAAGCTAAGTGACGCTGTTACGGGAGGGCATCTGGCGTGCAACCCGGCTATTGACTTGGTTGCCACTGTTGGTGATGGCAGCTTGAACCTATGGCGCCCTCGTGGTCAGCAAGTCTCAAGGCTCGTCGAACGCGACCAAAGAGTCGATGCTCTAAGATGGAAGGAAGACGGTAATTCACTTGGATCCACCAAGGCAACCCCCCGGAGCCACGCGACTGACAGGATGGGACAGGTCTATTCCTGGCAGCCGGTTGGAGTGATGGCGTGGTCAGGTTGATGGGTCTTGAGAATACCAAGGCCGTCCATTACATCCGGTTGTCAGACGCTGGTCCAGCCAGGATTTCACACATCGCCTGGTCCCGAAACTACATCGGAAGGCGGGCGCCAAAGGGTTCCTCGAGGCCAGCCAACTCCTGGGACAAGTTACTGTCTGGCGGACTGGACCTCGAAGAGAACAGAGATCTCTTGGATCTGCCCCACGAGCTAACCTTCCTCGAGGTTGATACGGCTCTGCCCAAGATTAGCCCTCTGCCCGTGTCAGGCGGCTCGGGGTAAGACCAGCTCCCCAGTAGACGTGGGGGCTCTCGATGGTGCTGACTCTGCAGCGATGATATGTTTGTTTTTTCGACTAGGACATCCCTCGACTTTGTGTTTCGCCCCTTAAAGCCCGAGGACACGGATACGGTGGACGTGATGCTGGTGGGCACCAAGGATGGAAACATCCACTTGAGCATCTACGACTCGTTTGTTATCGGCCACTTCCGTCCCGGCCTTCCCGACAACGCCGCCGCCTCGGGGGAGCTGGAGCTCTGCTGCCATGCCTCCAACCCTGACATCTCTACCCACTCGCTCCTCCTAAGGCCACAAGGGGATGCTGACCGGCACGCAGTCTACTTAATCCCAATGGATCTAACTTTCATACATTCCTCCTCCGCAAATCTCTCACTGCTCGCCTCCAAGACAACCACACTACAGAACCTGCTGCGATACATCAAGCAGACTCAGGTTCACATGGTTAGCGAATGGAAATCCACCCGAGAATTGCCCAACCGTTTCCTGCTCGGGGTCCAGGAGGACCTAGAGAAGATGCCCAATGGGCCAGTTTCAATAATCCAAGCCCTTTACCATACCGTTGTCACGGGACATGTATTTAAACCGGTACAAGAGTGGCTGGTGGATAGCCTCGCGGAGAGAGTGAGACCCCCCTGATGCGATGCCGCAGCTGATATCGCCAGCTAACCCCGAGACAGGGACATAAGCGGTGGGACAAAGCTGTCGTGTCAGGCCTCGAGAGCCTGCGTTCTCTCGTCCATGAGAACATGATTCCGGCGCTTGAGCGGTCTGCCATCATCCTTAGCCGCCTCCTCGGCATCGCCCGCTTTCACGGGACGAAAGACAACATTGGGTTTAGTGCTGCACAGATCACCAAGCTGATGGATATTGTATCATGTTTGACCCTCGTATCTCACAAGATCCTTCTCCTGGTCATGGAAGAGCTCCACCTGTTTACGACCTTCTCCTACTGGCTTCGCTACGAGATCGACAAGCTGGCGTCGCCGTCGACCTCGGATGAAATATCCGAGAAGGAAGCCACTCTGGACAATGTCAAGGTTCTGACATATATCCAGCAATACCTTACGACGAGTCCTTTGGCGTTGTATTTAGATCAAGTGGAGAGGGATGTTTACACGGATGACTGGCAGCACGCAGAGGATGGGTCGTCACTTCTGGAGATGCTAGACAAGCAGCTACAGCGGCAAGAGGCTGGTCGACCTTTCATGAGGGCGCTGCCACATGTGGATTTCCTGGTCAATTATCTCACCAGCCGAGCCAATATTGTCTTCGGCTCCATCGCCGAATCCCAGAAACGCAGCGTCCGGCTCGGTCGAGAAACAAGATTGGAGATTGGGAATGACATTTCCAAGTATGATGTACGAATGTGTACCGAACGAAGGCCAGTGAGTTGTTGCCCTTCCCATGCCTTTCTCGTCGCCGGCTAACGACCTGAATCTAGGACCACCTGGACGGGTTAACCTTCACTGCGGTGGCTTCAGAGAAGGCTCAGAGCGAAGGTCGGGGCCCAGTACCTCCAACTTGAATGTTTATTTCTTCAGCTAACACGCTATTAACAAGTGTTCATCTTCTGCACGAGCATTGAAATTATCAACGGCATTAGTAGCGCTGTTTCGACCAGCGTTGCCGGGTTATCTCTTGCGGGGGGACGGATGATTGACTTTAAGTTTCTCAATGATTCCTCCCTACTGTTACTGTGGACCGCGCAAAGTCAGCCCAGCCCGCTATCTAGCAAAGCAATCTCATGCGCTAACTGATATTAGAGCCAGATTCTTCGCCTGTCCTGTTGAACGTTCCCTTCCAGTCCCTGCCTTATACAGCTTATGAGAACAACAGTGTCCCGGAACCGCTGCGGGTAGACGAGAATGATATCAGCCACGTCTTCTCGGCTGCCACGTTCGGGAAACTGCCGGCTTTCACGCCGATACAGATGCAGGTCATAGGAGCCAGCAGTTCCAGGGGCGAGATGCCTGCGAGGGTCTGCCTGCTGGGACGGGACAGGGCCATGTATAAGGTTTTTACACTACCAGAGAAGTGGGAGCCGAGAATGCAACTGGCAGTGCAGGAGGATGTTTCGATGGGATGATGATTATTGGCATTATAGCTTGGTGCTTTCTCGTGTATGGCTGGCGCTTGTACGGATAGACATCTCGATACCCCTGAGAGTAGAGGCAGACCTGGAAGGAAGCAGGGCGTTTCAGGGCGGACACAGCTGATATTGTCGCGGCCGGCCCTAATCAACAGCCGCTCGATTAGGGGATTTCGTTGGGTGAGTATGCTTAATATGCTGCCCTGGCAGCTTATGCAGACAACTTATGCAGGGTGAGAGGTGGGCGGTTACATATTCGAGGCTCGTGCCCCACCCGCTTATGCCAAGCATTAGCAGAACCAGGGGTAGCTTGGGGAGCTAGGTATTCTGATTATTAGCTTATCCTTGTGAAAGAGTCGCCGCCCCAATTACCAACGTCATCTGCATTCTGCAATTGCATCTCAGTTAAGAATTCCTTAATACAACACAGCCATCACGATGAAAACTACTTGTCAAACGCGAATGTGAGATCCCTCCCAATCCAGTTCGCAACCCCGATTGCTCGCGTCCGACAGCTTGGAATATGGCCGAGCCGACGCCATCCGCCGCTCCAGGCAAGGCGGCATCGGCAGCTGCCCCTACAACTTCGCCCACACAAACACACACCTCTGCAGGGCCCGCGCCCGCGCCCGCACCCGCACAAACCGGTCCAGCAGCGGCGTCTCCCAAGCATTCGAGCCCGGCGATCCCCGTGGGGCTCAACGAGGCCGCCCTCGACTCCCCGACCTTCCGCGCCGTGACGGTGCACTTCGCCGACCAGGTGGACGGCATCGAGCGATGGCTCGACGGCTACGTGCGGACGACGTCGAAGCTCGCCGCCGACATGCTCGCCCTCGAGGAGACTGTCAACACCCACCTCTCCAAGATGATGCCGCCGCCCTCGGGCGCCGACGCCGTCGTCGACCCGGATTACACGCTGTTGGCCCTGCGGCGGGCGGCCGACGGGTCGCGGCAGTGGTGGACGCAGGTCATGGGGTCGGCGCGGCGGATGGAGACGGTCATCTCGGACCCGATCCGGGCGTTCATGGCTGGGGATCTGCGGGGGTTCAAGGAGGCGCGGCGGGCGCTGGAGGCGGCGCAGAAGACGTTCGACACGACGCTGGCCCGCTACGTGGGCCAGTCCAAGACCAAGGAGCCGTCGGCGCTGCGCGAGGACGCCTTCGCCGTCCACGAGACCCGCAAGGCCTACCTCCGTGCCTCGGTCGACTTCTGCCTGCTCGCGCCGCAGCTGCGCTCCGGCCTGGACCGCCTGCTCGTGCGCGTCTGCGCCGACGTCTGCCGCGAGGTGCGCCGCTCGGCCGACGGCGCCGCCGCGTCCTCGGCCCGCTGGGCGGGCGAGATGGAGCGCGTCCGCGGATGGTCGAAGGAGATGGAGGCCTCGGAGCCCGTGTTCAGGCGCGAGCTGCACGTCGCCGGCCGCGACGTCGCAGAGAGCGCCCTGGCAAGCCACAAGCCGTCGCGCGAGCTCGAGGACTACAGCACCTCCACCGTTCCCTTCCTCGGGTCAAAGGGCCCCATAAGCGTCCAGCGCAAGGGCCAGGGAGGCGCCCTCATCTCCGAGAAGCAGGGCTGGCTGTTCCTGCGCGTCCTGTCGGGCAAGCCCGTCCGGACGAGCTGGGTGCGACGATGGTACTACTGCCGCGACGGCATCTTCGGGTGGCTCGTCCAGGGCCCGGCGGGGGTGCTCCAGGGCGACGAGGTCGGCGTCCTCCTCTGCAGCGTGAAGCCCGCCGTCCAGGAGGAGCGCCGGTTCTGCTTCGAGGTCAAGACAAAGTCCCAGACCTTCATGCTGCAGGCCGAGACGCAGGCCCAACTTATGGAGTGGCTCGAGGTCTTCGAGGTCGCGAAGACGAACGCCATGGACGCGAGCATGGGTCGGGACAACGCGTCGCTGCCGGGGGGTGTCGATCCTGCTTTCGCGATAACCCCTCCGTCCATACCCGAGTTTTCGGCCAAGTCTCTCGAGACCATTGCGGAGGACGGCGGGGCCGGCAATGAGAGAGCGGGAACGCTGCCCGTTCCTGCGGATGTCGGACTTACGACGCGCACCAGCATGGACTTCAATCCTGGCGGGCCCCGTCGGTCGATAACGATGCTGGGGCGCGAAGAAGGGGAAACCGGGCGTGAGCACGCTGCTCGCATCATGCAGAAGCTCGACCTCCATCGCAAGGCGACCTTTGCGGACCCGGCGTCGGGGGCCTCCCCGAATGCGGGCGGCATTGCGAGTCTCATCTCTGCCAGTCATACCCTGATCCCCAGCAGCTATCACCCGATGGCAGTGAATACATCCCCGCGCCAGCAGCCCTCGGTCCTTGGACCAATCCATGAACGTCAATCCGGCAACCTGGCTCCCCTTACCCTGGCCAAGCCTCCGGTCTCGACCAACCTCAGCAGACCTGCCGTTGCTGCCAGCGCTGAACGTGGACTCTCTGCCAGCGGGCCGCACGGAGTGTCCTCTGCCGTCACGGCCAACTACTGGGGGAGCAACCCGTGGAGTTCCTCCATCTATCCATATAGGTCAGAGGCGCGCAAGCCTTCCGTAACTGAACTCATTCACGCCTCTGGCCAGGCCGGCGATACCCACACTCCTACAGAGGCCGGACACGATCCGAGCTCTTCCGCTGGTCTCGGGCATCGGAGGACCGTCAGTGTGGACACCAAACCAGCTGCCGTGCGGGTTCCTGACAAGGTGGTCGCCGAGGCGTTCCCGCCGAGATATCCGCCCGAACTCAGGGTTCAGCACGCGCAATTTAGACTGCTGTTCCCGACTGTGCCCCAGCACGAGAAACTCGTCCTGGTCTTCAATGCCGCGTGGTCGAGCACTTCGGAAGATGCAAAGGAGAACAGAGGGCTTTCCGGGAACGGGCGCATATTCGTCACGCCAGATAACATGTATTTCTACGGACACCAGATGGGGCTCGTCCTTCTTTACGCCATCAGCTTGGACATGATCACCGAGGTCACGGCGGCGCCGGGAAGAAACTGCGACTACATCTTCCTCCATCTCAGCCAGGACATGAACGACACAGGCCTGGCGCGGATCACCATCAAGATATTCCTCGAGAATCTCCCACTCCTACACGCGCGACTAAACCTCCTCATCGACGATCTCCAGGCAGAAGAGCCGATGGAGCTTCCCGAGCTTGTGTCCGCCTTGACAAGACTCGAGAGGGAGGACTACGAGAAGAAGAGTCCCAGCGTCGAGAGCTGGGACGAGATATCGACCGGCACTCCACTCGATGACGACACTGCCCCGGGGAGACACGCATCTCGGAGACTACGCGACCTGGGCTTTGACTACCGTTCCTCGAGGGGCTCTCGGAAACCCGTTTCCAAACTCCAGCTGCCGGCCCACCGTGTCGTGTACGAGCCCGAGGGCATGGGGCAGAGCGTCGCGGAGAGGCACTTTGAGATCAGCGCAAAGGCGTGCTTCCACGTCCTGTTCGGGGACAAGAGCTTTATCTTCCCCAAGCTCTACTTTGAGCGGCGCGCCAAGGAGATTGCGCAGGGGCCGTGGGAGCTGCAGGATCACGGCAGGATGAGGCGGCAGTTCAAGTTCAAGGTCGACTACGTCGACATGCTGGGGCGGCCAAAGCCGGGCGAGGTGGTCGACCAGCAGACGGTCGACCTCTTCACGGACCACGTCACGTACGTGGTAACGCACGTCAAGACGCCGTGGCACCTGCCGCACTCGCAGGCGTTCAAGCTGGTCACCAAGGTGGTCATAACTCACGTGGCCAAGTCCAAGTGCAAGCTGGCCATATATACAAAGGTGGACTGGTCTAAGGCGCCGGCCTTCTCCAAGAACATGGTGCAGCGGCAGGCACTGGACGACGCGGCCAACGATGCCGAGGAGCTCGCCGAGATCGCGACGGACCAGGTGCGCAAGCTGGGCCCGCACAGCCGGACCAAGCGGGCGATCCAGGTGTACGGCAACCTCGGGCAGCAGAATCAGGTGGTGGTGTTCACGCCCAACGAGGCCGAATCGGCCAAGAAGCCGCAGATCAAGCCGCGAACGCTCACGGCGATGCTCTTCGAGACGGCGCGGTCCTTTATGGAGAGCGCCATCTCGTCGGTCATGATGTGGGCGTTTGCGGGGGTGAGGAAGCTGTTTGGCATCTTCACGGCGCACCGTGTCATCCTGCTGTTGCTCGCTTCCAGCGCCATGTACAACCTCGTCGTCGTCTCCCAGGGGACCTCGACCTGGTGGACCGAGCGGAAGGCTGCGAGATACATGGCCCGGATCGGCGTCGGGCCGAACGTCATGATGAGCAAGGCCATCTACCTCGCCGACCTGGAGGAGGCGTCGCGGGCGACCTCGGTCGGCCTGTCTGTGCCGCAGGACAGCAGATGGTGAGCAGCCCCCCCCCTTTCAACATCTCCTTTCCCAAGAGTGAATACATCTTACTAACTACCCACCCCACAACCTAGCTACGCAACATTCCAACACCTCGTCATCAACGCAACAGACATGGACGCACCGTACGACGAAGGCTCGGCACCGGAGGCCAGATCGTCGTCGTCGGTCGCGAGCGAGGCGACGGCGCGGCGGATCCGGCGGGCGCGGCAGCGGCTCGGGGCGCACAGGCACGACCTCGTTGTGGCGATGCGCATCGTCAACGGCGCCGAGAGGGAGCTCGTGCAGTCCGAGTGGGAGAGCTGGCTCGCCGACGAGAACGCGCGGTGCGACGCGGCGCGGGCGGTGTTCCGGCAGGAGGAGCAGCGGGGGCAGAAGGGGCAGCAGGAGGGGGGCGGCGGTGGTGGTGGTGGTGGTGGTGATGGTGGCGATGCTCACAGTGAGCGGCAGAGGGAGGAGATGAGGAGCTGGCATCGTGAGTATTGCGGAAGCTGTGGGGAGGATCAGAGGGTGGTGTTGGCGAGGCGCGGTTCGTTGATTTGATTATGGTTGTATAGATGGGGAGGACGTGCGTGTGTCCTGTCTTTCGTTATACCCAGATGCATGTTGAATAATTTACCAACGTGGGCGAGAGGCTCCATGTAAATGCATACTCTTGGATCCCCAGTACGCCTACGCAGTAACGTAAAGGCAAGTACCTAAGGAGGGGGGAAGCTAAGTCGCCCGCTGAGCCGCGCTAATGCAGGACCCCTAACCCGCCGTGCCCACCGTGATAGGTAGCGAGTGCAGTCAAGGAATCCCCCTGGTGATGACGTCAACGGGTGCGAATGCAAGCTCCTACCTACGTACTGATGCATCACTCCGCCGATGTGCACCCATTTCTAAGGTAATCGTGATCCATAACTTGATTTCCTGAGAATACTGACGAGCTTTTCTAACCCGAACCTTTTTCGTAGCGACTTCAATTCTCATGCGAAGTCATTGTGATTCCATACCCATGAGAGCTAGCCTTCGACACCCTACAAGCCCCAGTCCTGATCCAGATCCATATCCAGATTCCCCCATCACGTCTTCTCTAGAGGCTCGATTTGAATAAAGAGAAACCTCGGTCCTAGGGCCATCACGTTCAGCCCTCCCCGCCAAAACAACCCACCCACATCTCCCCAATGGCCCACCACGACCCCTTCAAGTCCCTCGGCCCCATCGACTGGTCAACAGTAACCGACCAAGAAGCAGCAGGCTCCCTCCCGGCCCTCCGCGCCTCCACCCTAGCCGACGCGCAAACCCTCATCAACTCCATCCCCGGCGCCGCCGCCGTCCCTCCTCCGCCTCGCCACACGACCGGCCGCGCCCGCGCGGCCACCGACTCCGCCGTCGACTTCGACAGCAACAGCAACAGCAACAGCGGCGGCGGAGCCGACGCCCTGCTGCGACGCGAGTGGAAGGCCGTCCGCGCCGTCGGCGACAACCCGCACCTGATATCCGTGCACCGGCTCGCGGGCCGGGACGGGCGGGGCGCGTGGTTCGCGAGGCGGAGCGTGCATCCCTGCCGCGCCAGCGGGGGTCTGTTGGGGTTCGGGCGGTGGAGGGAGGGGTTGGAGGGGGAATTTGAGGAGACGATGAGGAGGGCGAGGGAGGGGGGTGGGGAGCCGGGCACGGGGAATGTCAGGGGGATTGGGGCGGAGAGGAGGGTTGAGGAGAGGGATTTGGGGGGTGGGGGGGCGCTGAAAGGTTGGTTCTCCTTTTTTTTTTTCTTTGCTTCTCTTCTCTTGTTAGGCCGTTGGCCTGACACGAAATAGGGACGTGGGACGGTTCGCTGACGGCTGGGGTTTGCAGTGTATCAGCTATCGGCCAGGTTCCCTGGGCCGACCACGCCGCGGGACTTCGTCACGCTCCTGTTGACGTCGAATGATCCGCAAGGCGATGACGATGGAAACAACATGAACCGGCGCCCCAGGCAGTTTATGGTCATATCAAAGCCGTGCATACACCCGGACTGTCCCCAGCGGCAGGGCTTTGTCCGAGGTCAGTACGAGTCGGTCGAGGTGGTAAGGGAGATACCGGTGGACAAGCCCCTGAGGCGGGTGCGGTCGTCGATAGATCTCGGCTCGGACGCCTTCAGTCGATCCGACTCCGGCAACCCGGGCAAGGGAGCTCTGCTCCGGTCGGCCAGGCAAACCGCCAGCAACAGCGGCAATCTGCAAGCCAGACCGGACAACCGGATGGTCTCCTTCGCGGCGGGGCCGGTAAAGGAGTCTAAGAGCGAGGCCGGCTCGGATGACGAGGACGAGCCGGAGATGGCGATTGAGTGGCTCATGATCACACGCAGCGATCCGGGCGGGAGTGTCCCGCGGTTCATGGTCGAGAGAGGGACGCCGCCAGGCATCGTCAACGACGCCGGGCGGCTGCTTGATTGGCTGTCTCGGAAGCAATCCGATACCGCACGTCGCGAAGCCATAGAGGCGGGCGGGGCGGGCGGGGCGGACGCGGACGAGCCAGATGAGGCGAAGACATCAGCTCTGCCCGGGGAGACGAAGATGATGACGACAAATCCGGGACAGGCCCGAGCAGCGGACGAAGCACCCAATGCAGGCCCCGGCGGTTTCTACGGCATGATCACGAGCGCCCTGGAGGCAGCCGGTTCGGCGGTGGTCGGCAAATTGCACGACGCGCCCGACTCCTATCAGGGCACCGAGGACGACGACGAAGACGACACGTCATCGAGCGCCAGCTTCGCCTCCGCCGAGGAGGGCGAGCCGTCGTCCTCCATCGCGGGCTTCGGGAGTGTCCCGGCGGACGAGGTGGTCTCCTCGTCTCGGTCGGCCCGGTCGGCTGTCTCGGGAGAGTCGCAGGTGCCCTCGGCGGCCTCGACGTCGGCGGCGCAGCGCGACAAGACGCTCCGCAAGCTCGAGGAGCGGCACCGCAAGGCGCGCGAGAAGGCGGCGCGGGAGCACGAGCGGGCGCTGGCGAAGCGCAAGGAGGGCGAGGAGAAGGACGCGCAGGCGGCGGCGCGGCTGCGGGACAAGCACGAGAAGGAGCTCGCGAGGCGGGAGGAGAAGTACATGCGGGAGGTGCGGAAGCTGGAGGAGAAGCGCGCAAGGGCGGCTGAGAGGGAGGGGAGGGCTGGCCTGCAGGCTGAGCTGGAGAGGACGAGGGCCGAAAGGGATGTCGCGCTCAAGCAGGTTGAGATGCTAAGGGATCAGGTGGGCGAACTGCAGACACAGAACACGCGGCTTGTCGCGCGGATGGGGAAGATGGGCGGCATGGCGGGTGCTGAGGCTTCCTGGGACGATCTGCGGAAGGCGCCCGGCCAGGAGACGAAGGCACGCTCTCACCAGGATTAAGAGCCCTGGCATATATCTTCTTAGGTATTTTATGTGGCATCTTGTGTGAGACGGTTGGGTTTCTCGTTATTATATAACATTGCTATGCCCTTTAGACGCGATACAAAGACTACCAGCGATAAGAATTCAGACAATGGATATGTTTCAGCGGGAATGATTGATAGTTTGCCCGCGCCCTTTCCGTCACCATTAGATGAACGACTCCTCGACTTCGTGGTCGAGCTGGGACGTGCATAGCACACTCAGATAAACAAACCCCCTACATGATATCCCGACACTCGGACCATTGGGCTAGATGGCACGGTCGTCAATAATACCACTCTGTCCAGCTCGGTGCTTTTTGGCCCTTGAAGGGTGACGGCATGACAGGCGTGGAGCGATCAGAGCTAAGTTACAGTGAGTATACACGGACAATGTAAGAGCCGACGGGAATCAGCCGTAACACACCTGTGCTCACTTATCCAAGACACGAATATGGCATATCACCCCCGTGCAAGCCAACCACCAGGCTCTAACAGTCTCAGCAAGTCGGGCCTATGAATACAGCCACGGCCACATCTGACGCTTTCTATGGGCGTTCTTAATCGCCTCAAGAGGTATGGTGCCTCCATCCCCATCAAGGGCTTAATGCTGCCTTGTAGTAGGGTTGCAGAGTGTGTTGTCTCGAAGATAGCGACTTGGCCGGGATCAAGTCACGAAACGGTAGATCAGCGCCATCGACGTGCCCTTTACAACGTGTCTGGGTCGCGCCCGGTTTGTCGTTGTGTTACTTTGCAGGGATGCATCCTCTCATCGTTTGTAGTGGAAAGTATCCTCCAGATCACTGGCGTATTCATCCTCATCCTCGATGTACTGGGTATTCACGTCGGCAGCCGGCACAAGCTCCAACGGCGACTCCTCTCGCCCGGTCTCGGCGTTCCACTCGACGCCGAGTCGGTCTTGCCAGGGAGGAGATTCCTCGTCGGAGTCCGCGAGCGAGGCAAGCATGTAGTTGAGAGAGTCCGAGAAGAAGATGGCCGGCGACTTTGATGCGTCACAGTCAAGCCACTTTGCAAGAGACCGACCGCTGGCCCTAGACCCTGGAAGGTGCTCGGAGAAATCGACCGTCCTCGGCCCCTCAGATAGCGGGTCCCATACAAAGACGATGCTGTTGTAGAGATCGCCCTCGCATCTCACCAGCAATGTCTCACGGGAGGTGGGGTGCCATGCTGCGCTGCTAATGTTTGAGTGAAACAACAGAACGGCTCGTAATTCAGAGGCTTGAGTGTCCCAGATCCACAATGTGCTCGGAGACTCCTGGAGGCAGGTCGCGACAAGAACAGACGACGAGTCAAACAGAATTGAAGAGCATCCCGACTTCGGCTCTGAGTTGTCCTTGGGCCGAGCCGGTGGTGAGACTGCTTGGGTAGCTTTAATGAAGGTATGGAGGGAAGGCCCTGCCTGCGTTATATTGACCTGCTCTTGCCAAATCTGTATCGTCTCAGTCGGGGTGGTGGTGGTCGGGTGAAGTAGCCTCATTGTTTCGCTGAGAGTTGCCATGTTGAACAAGTATATGCACCTGCTGCTGTCACCAATCGCCAGGCTGCTGCCATCTTCAGAAAACCGCAGCAACCTGGCACCAGCCCCCAGCGCAAAATGCTGGAATTCCGGCGACGGATTCGACGGGCCCAACCATGTTTTGAACATGTGGCCATCTGCCGTGTAGAAGATGATTTTGTGCCCCTGGCCGGCAGACTCCCGAACAACCAGCCACTTCCCGTCGGGGCTCCATTTTAAGCCTTGGGCGTCAACAGTATCCGGGTGCCAGGATATCTGCAGTTCCCTGGTTACCGGATCATGAATGCTTATCATATCCTTACCCGCCGTTCGGGTCATCAGTGCGAGGTGGTGCGTCAGGGGACGGAAGGAGAAGCCATTGCACGCGGTTGCCGAGTGGAAGAACTTTGGATTGGCGATCTCAACTGCTCTGGATGATTCAAGGTCGAATATGCTGAACTTCAAGCCAAACGACGAGCAGACGCAGACCTCGGTGCCCAAGGGGCTAAAGCCGAGGTAGGTTGGCTTTGCAGCAGGCGGGACAGCATTTCGGATCGTCGCCTGGAAATTTCCGTGTTGAGCAGAGAATACTCGAATATGGTCAACGACAGCGACCAGAACTAGCCGAGATGAAGGCGACCATTGGAAACTGAGCACTGAGCCAGAAAAGTCCGGCGGCAGCTTGACAACGTTGACCACCTCTAGAGATTCGACTGATCGAATGTTGACGACTCCAGGAAATAGCGTGGCTACAAGTTTCCCGTCAGGGCTTGGGAGGCAGTGCTTTGAGGCTATTCACATAAGTTAGTCATTTCGTGCGGGAGATTGTCTTTTGAATTCGCTGTAATTACATTTTAAGCACCTCGAGAAGCGCATCTTTGCTCCTAATTCTGTAAATTTCTTTAAAGAGAGAATCACTCAAGGCAAATATGTGTCATCTGTGGCATCAGCTTAAGGTGTTGACAGCAATCAGTTGTTCAAATCGGGGATTCAAATGAGTCGCAATGTTTTTCTTGATGTTGACCTTCCAGCTTTGGTTTCCAGAGCACCTACCTATCAACGATCGGCTTCTGATTGGTCCCGCTGGCCGCCCTCGGAAGCCCCGCACAACCCCACTAAGCCGGTTACCGCCGCCTCGGAGAAGCCTCATCCAGCGCCGCCCGCTGACTCATCCGGGACTTGCCAGAAGGGCGTCCCCCGCGATTCCTTGTTTCCTCACTTACCACTTTCATCTTATCTCCCATCTATATTGAGCGTGATTGTTGAAGTTCATGATCTCGGCGATGTTGTAAGCCTAAACCAGCCGCTTCCCTCCCCATTTACTGTCAGTGACGCAATATGCCAATGCGGCCCACGCAGTGCCAATACGTCATCCAATCCGGCTGAGAAATGAGGATGCTCGCGAGCACGTCTGCCCGGCGCCCGCCCGCGGGGGCGTTGCGGATCAGCCGAGGAAGGCGCATCCCTTTCGCGCAAACAAGACTAATCTCGACGACTGGTCTGGCCCAGCCACAACCGCGTGAGCCCGCAGCACCGCCGCCGCCGCCTCATTCCGCAACGACGCCCCGGCCGCCGCCGCGACGGCGGCTTCCCATGGAGGCCAAGCCCTTCTCGGACTTCCTCACCGACACCCACCACCGGCAGCACGACTACCTGCGCATCTCAGTGACGGAGAAGTGCAACTTGCGCTGCCTGTACTGCATGCCCGAGGAGGGCGTCCCGCTCAGCCCGCCTCGCGAGCTCCTGACGACTCCCGAGATCGTCCTTATCTCGGGCCTCTTCGTGTCTCAGGGGGTGACCAAGATCCGGCTGACGGGCGGCGAGCCGACGGTGCGGCGAGACATTGTGCCGCTGATGCAGCAGATCGGCGCGCTCCGGGCGCACGGCCTGCGCGAGCTGTGCCTGACCACCAACGGGCTGAGCCTGCACCGCAAGCTGGAGGCCATGGTGGAGGCCGGGCTGACGGGCGTCAACCTGTCGCTCGACACGCTCGACCCCTGGCAGTTCCAGCTGATGACGCGGCGGCAGGGGTTCGGCGCCGTGCAGAAGAGCATCGACCGCATATTCGAGCTCAACCGCGCCGGCGCCGGCATCCGTTTCAAGATCAACTGCGTCGTCATGAGGGGCCTTAACGACAGGGAGATGGTGTCCTTCGTCGACATGACCCGCGACAAGGACGTCGAGGTCCGCTTCATCGAGTACATGCCCTTCGACGGGAACCGGTGGAGCGAGAACAAGATGCTCGGCTACCGGGAGATGCTGGACGTGATCCGCGAGGCGCACCCGGCGCTGCGCGAGGTCCCCGGCCACAGGAACGACACGAGCAAGACGTACCAGGTGCCCGGGTTCCGGGGCAGGGTCGGGTTCATCACGAGCATGACGCATAACTTCTGCGGCACCTGCAACCGGCTGCGCGTCACGGGCGACGGGAACCTCAAGGTCTGCCTGTTCGGCAACGCCGAGGTGTCGCTGCGGGACATTGTGCGGAAAGTAAACGGCGGGGAGCCGATCGGGGAGGAGGCGTTCGAGGCCCTCAAGCGCACCGCGATGGAGGAGGTGCGCGACCTGCCGCCCTCGGAGCGGCCGCCCCTGCTCGCGCCGAATTCCCGGGAACTGCTCGAGGTCATCGGCATGGCTGTGAAGCGGAAGAAGGCGAAGCATGCAGGGATCGGCGAGTTGGAGCATATGAAGAACAGGCCGATGATATTGATAGGTGGGTAGGGCCCTGTGCTTCTTTTTTTCTTTATGTTGGTTATGCATTTATGGACATGACTTCGACGTAAGCCATATGGGCGGCGTTTATGGACAGCATACGAAACAAACATCTCATTTAATACCAGGTTAGGAGGGCTCGGGTCGGGCCCTCAACTTTGGACAAGGGTCATACGGGTTAACTAAGCAATGTATATAGATCCAGAGACTGCAGGCAGACATCGCAATCTAAGCCCAACGTCCCGATACTCATCTTACCTCTCACCGTCGACGCCGTGGGGGAGCCTCGTTGCAGGCATCAACCCCAGTACCTACGCGACCCGCCCCCTTGCGCGACTGTTCTCAACCACGAGCAACCTAGCGCAGACAACAAAAGAAGACGACGAAGGGGCACGCCCGCGCAAGCGGCTGACGCACGTGTCGACCTCCGGCTCGGCGCACATGGTGTCCGTCTCGGACAAGGCGCCGACGAGGCGGCTCGCGGTGGCCAGGTGCAGCGTGCGCTTCTCGGATGCGTCGGTCACGGCCCTGGTGCGCGAGAACCAGCTGGCCAAGGGCGACGTGCTCGCCGTGGCCCGCGTCGCCGGCATCATGGCGGCCAAGCGGACGCCGGACCTGATCCCGCTATGCCATCCGATCGCCATCTCGCACGTCAGCGTGGAGCTGGACGTGGTCGATCCCGGAGTGGGGGGAGATCGACCCGGCGGTGAGGGTGGTGGTGGCGGTGGCGGCGGCCAGGGTTACAGGATCGACATTGCGGCTACTGTCTCGTGCGAGGGGAAGACTGGCGTCGAGATGGAGGCTCTGACGGCCGCTTCTACTACTGCGCTCACGGTGTATGACATGTGCAAGGCAGTAGATAAGAGCATGGTGATTGAGGGGTTGAGGGTGGTGCTCAAGGAAGGCGGCAAGAGCGGGAGGTGGGTGGAAGGGGCGAATGTGGGTTGATGAGACTCAAGTCTCTCGGCGGCGGCTTCATGATGTCAGTGAGTTTCCTCAGTGTTTGACCAAATTCGTAGTGTACCTACGGCGTACATTTGCCGTCGGTGAGCCCGACCAGTTCGGATACCCCGAGATCGGATCACGTGTCGTTGGCGGAGAAGTGACGTTTTTGTTGTCGGCTATCGGTGGGAGGGGAGGCTCTTCCGACAGCGCACGGACCGCGGCCCCTTTTAGGAATTCGAAATTCCGATCGTCGGATTGGAGGGTTGCAGGGTTGCAGGATTGAAACGCCAAGCTCCAATCACAGAACGACGATAAGAGATGGACAGGCCAATGACACACGACATCTGACGGTTGACTGCATGGCATACAGGGATGCGGAGAGGAACCCGCAGACGCTTCGTCTCGCCGTGTCACCGGTGATACCTCAAATAAGCATGTCAATGGCTGGCTTGCCGAGCGAGCATCGTGGAGAAGCGGTGAAATGTGTCGCGACGCACTCTTTGGCCTCTCAAACCAATGTTGGCACTGTCAGGTGTCAAGTCAATCAAGTCAAGATGAGCACGTGAGAGGCATGCATCCCGGCCTGTATCTTACCAGCTTTGTGGGTCTTGTGGGTTGATACTACCTAGTCTAGGGTCCTATAGCGAGATACCGCATATGGACTAGGTAGACTTCAAGCCAATCAGGAGGAAAGCAAAGATAAGATACGGCTGGCAACGACGGCGGCTTGTCCGTGGTCGGGAGAGAGATCTGGCAAGAAACACTGAATCGCAGATTCACCTTATTTGCGCGACGGAGCTTTCGTCCACGTCATTGTCTGCTATCCGAGAGTGGTTGAAAGTGGTACCGAGTAGCACTTGGGGTCTGGGGAAGAGATTCAATGTGTGGATACATCTCTAATTAAGCTTACCACTGCCAACAGATGAATGGAACCTAATCAGCGCTCGGGATCCAGGCTCTACAGTGCCATCGTAAGCTACCATGGATAGTATACGGGATATGTAACACCTAATTTAGTATTTAGGTACGCAGTTGCTGTTCGCGCACGGAGTTCGTGCATAGAGTGTGCCGTGTATCACGAGGACTAGAGTAACAACATCCAGCTGGCGTCGAGGTCGTCCATTGAAACCTCGCCCAGACTGGGTTATTCAGGGTCCTGGGGCAAATTTCATCTCAGCCGGGTCTGGGTCGGTTCAGGGTGCCATTCGGCTACATGGTTCACCCTCAGTTGTTTGACTCCACAGTCCACACTTCCAAGACCTCGCATCCGACGCTCATGAAATAAATAAAAGAGGCAACTTCGGGAAGGGCTTGATGGGCTTGAGAATCAACGGTCAACAAACCGCGCAAAGTACGTAATAGCAGGCGAAGTATGGCAGGGTCTAGGCAGGGGGGACCATGAACAAGCCTTCCTTCTTTTGGCGGCCAGACTCCACACCGCAGGTATCCACCACATTCACATTGTCGGTATTGAAGAGGTACCACGCTCGAGTGCCACTCCCGAGTCGCCGCTCAATAATCCATTGTCCGCTATTCGTCGTCTTAAATATGCCTCTATGCTCCCTCCGCCTTCGTGGAATCTTTCGTGAGAGACTGTCCGGCATCCTATAACGAGAATAATTGGCATCGTGACGGCTTCGAATTGCTCCCACTCGACACTCGACTCGTACTTCTACACTACGCATAGTACTGCGGACACACCAAACTTCCACTGACTTGGTGGCTTGCAGTGGCGTCGTTTTAATTATCAGACTACCCTAACTCTAGACCAGTCTCCCGCCAATTGCCGCCCTTTTTTTAAGAACCGCCAGGACCGAGGACCGCGAAACTTAAGCCACGCCCACCCGGGACATTTAGTCCGCATCACTCCCACTCAATAAGTCTAACACACCCTACCTCTCCCCGACACACATCTATCCTGCCTGGCTATTCTGGCTTGGGAACAATACAGAACGTCGAGGGAATTCTGGTGGGACGGAGAGCTTTACCAGTGAAGGGACTCTTTTCCTTTTTGTTATCATCCCGGGTATCGGTCGCAACTCGGTCGCATTACCTACGAACGTCGTCGCGAACCCCCACTCCCGTCTCCGTCACTCACCTTTGGCCTCCACGTGTGCCTCCGAACCGTTCCTCAGAGACGTCCCCCGATTCACAAGGGCGTCGCGACCGTAATTAATACTTCAAAATGGCGACCGACTTGATCATGCCCCGGCAGCCCGACCAGCACTCGGCCTTTTTCCAGGCGCAGGCCCAACAGCTCCCACAACAACCACCTCTCCCGACGTTCCCCCCGACACAGCCATACACCCCCCAAATATCCCCCGTCAGCACCTCCGGAAATGCGTCGCCCACTTCACCCAAGAACTACATGACGCGCCCAATACGGCCGCTCTTTATGCCGGCCGTCTTGCGACCGACGGAGTTCCCTTCGAAGCAGCCGGCCCAAAAGTCGCCGCTGGAGGATGAGGAGGAAGAAGAGAGGATGCTGAAATCGAACAGCAGCTTCATAAGCCTGAGCGGTTTGGGCGCACTGGGCAGACTGAGCCGGCGATCGACTGGCGACAGCGGGAAGTGCGTGGACGAGAGCTGGAACCTCGACAAGTTCCCGATCCCAACCGGTCCACCCACGAGGGAACATTGGAAGGTATGTTTTGGGATCTGACCTTTTCCCAACATAGCTGAATTATTAGCTAACACTGCTGCGATAACAGCCCGATCACGAGTCTACCATGTGCGACCATGCGACATGCAGGAGAACCTTCACCTACTTCACGCGACGGCACCATTGCCGGAAATGCGGCAACATATTTTGTGACCCGCACAGCACCTTCGAGATCCCGCTCGACCAAGACGCCAACTTCAACCCCCGCGGGTTCCAGAGTCGAGCATGTCAGCATTGCTACTCGCAGTTCAAGGAGTGGCGTAGTCGCGCCAATAGCCAGTCCTCGGCCGCGGCTTCGTCTGAGACCGGCTCGACCGATTCCCCCGCAACCCCTATCGGCGCGTCGGCCGCTGTTTGTGTGGGGAAACCCGGACTACAGGACCTGGCCATGAGCGTGCCGCGGGACTGGAATTGGAGCACCTTCTGAGCCGGCCGCAAGACTCGGGGTCAAGAACCAGCACATGGCGCCAGCCCGAGAATTCGCGCGCCGCGGAGCCCAGAGATGGAAACTCGACGACCGAACCTATCGGTACACAGCAGTTCGAGCTGACAGCACGCCAACTCGCAGCGCTCGCTGAGCCGCGAATGTGGCCACCCATTAGACGATGTTACGAATGACGGCCAAGAGAGACCGACGAACCTAGAATGATTTCTCCGAGCTCTGAAAGCGCATTTACACGGAGATTATAGACTACAACATAGATTTGACAGCGAGCACGGCGGTAATTCTTGCTCTTATTGAGCGCGGCATAGACTATTTAGCGGAAGATTCGACGATGCATCAAAGCGACCTCGACAGAGGCACATGGAATCCCATCTTCCAACCTACCAACCATCCAAGGCCCCAAACCTAACGTGTTGACCGAATAAGCCCCCGGGCCGCCAAGGAGTCTCGGTAGAGTGAGACTGGCAGGTGGCGATGGTTGCGCAAAACTGCATACTAGACTGCAGTTCGCCACTAGGCCAAATACCCACTCGGCCTCATCGGACGCCTTTTCACGGATTGCACCGGGCCATCAACAATTACCGGCTTCGACCAAAGTTTCTTTCCTTCCAGCTGTCACATAGAAGCGACTTTGATCCTTTGGCTTTACCTCCTGTTTAGGATGCAGGATGGCTAGCGATTTTTTCCCTCTTGCTTTTTTGATTTCCCCTGGTTTTCTGCGAGGCGTTTGGTTGTCTTTTTGGTTCTCTTTCGGTCCGGCCCCGCCCCCCGCCAATCCCGCCAAGGACTACCTATTTGTCTGGGCGTTGAAAGAGGGACTTGTGTGTTGAAATACACACAACAAGGGGGTCGGTACCTAATTAGGGAGGTGTCTTGTCCACGGACTTACACCTAGCCTGCTGCTGCTGCGGATATGCCGCTGTTGTAATGGGTCGTCTTGCTAGTTTATGACTAGGGAGAAGTAATTGAAAGAATGCACGTTCTAGTGTTGCACTAGAGGACTACACTACCACCTAGAATCTGGATGAAATGCCAGAGTGGCCCACCTGCTTTGTTGCCTCAACACTGGGATTGACGCAAACTCGGTTTCAACAGAGACACGGAGTCATGTTGAATAAGAGGGTATGCGTTGCCCTGCTTCGTAAACCATAAATCGTTGGAAGAGCCATCGAAGCGGGGAGTATCGTATCTATATACATGCAACACAGAGGCAACGACCTCGCCCGCGACTCCATCTCTTCCACAGGTGCCAGTAGTTGGCTGCTTTAACCTCCCCCCTTTCCTTGTGTACTGTTCATTCGTGATTGCCCGTGTACCGGGCCGAGTAAGGCCAGACCGTCTAAGAACCAACCGTCTATACCGTTCCGAGTCCGTCTATCTGAGACGGGAGACACCCCGTCGTTCGTCCACAGTCAGCCTGGCGCCCAATCGTAAAATTATTCAGCTCCAATGGGTCTGGCTGGTAAACGGAATGCTTCCCAACAATGTTTGATGTAGCTCCCCATGTCGCTAACCAACCCCTAGCTCCTCTCGCAAAAATGCCGTTCAACGGCCACTTCCCAGACGGAATATATCCAAGGATCACGACCGGTTGCGCGACACCCGCCCCTTGGTCTTGCCACCGCCAGCGCGGCCATTCACCTTGGGCCGGGAGGGGGACACCGCCACCTCATCCCTCCGCTCATCATCCTCCTCATCCTCCTCGAGGACGACGGCGGTCCCATCGCCGCCCTGGCCGTAGACCTCCCTCTCGACGCTCCTGGCAGCATCCCAGCCGGCCTTCTCGGCGAGTGCGACGTTGCTGAGGCGACGCCCGGAGGCCCCGTGTTCCTTGGCTCCGGTCCCGACGGCCTTGCGGGCGCGCGCCTGCTCGGCGCTGGTGCGACGCAGGTAGCTCGTGATGAAGAACTTGACGAACAGATACGTCAGCGGCGCCAGGTAGAGCACGTTGAGCCAAACGGCAAATGTGGCCCCGTTGTTGGGAATGCAGGGGACCACGGCGGCGTGCGTAGTCGTGGTGGTCTGCTGCTGCTGCTGCTGAGGAGTGAGGACGATATCGTCCGAGGAGCCGCCGAAGAGGATCCGCTTAAGGCCGTCGAGGAGGACCTCGGGGGTTGCCGTGGGGGCGGCGTGGGCTGCTGCCGAGGGGCTGGACTCCTCCCGAGAGGTGAGGATGGGGATGGTGTATGATACGAAGGAATGCGCCATGGCATACGAGGCCCCCACCAGGAACTGGGTGATCTGGAGGGAGGTGAGGGTGCGCTTGATGGCCACGGGCACCTTGACCGAGAACGCCGTTAGGGTGTAGTAAGTGTACTGCAATCGATCGTGTTAGTCAATTCTTCACCAAAATGGCAAGGCTCGGCTCAGCCCGCCTGCAAAAGTGAGCGGCACTACCCCACGCTAATGCAGGGCCCCGGCTTCGAGACCTCTTTTTTTTTTTTGTTGGGCCTAAATACCCACCACATTGAACGACCTGGCCAACGGCAAGTTGAAGAGAAGGGAAAAAGACAATGACATACCATCATGGCGTGGATTCCCGAGTTGACAAACACAAACATCCAGATGGGCGGCGACATGTAACGCATACCTGCCCACATGCACATCATAGCTCCGGCATGGTGGTAGGTCTGCAGCGTGGAGCTGAACTTGCCCTTGGCGAGGATGATGAAGGTGTCCAGGACTTCGTAGAACTTGCTGAGGTAGAAGATCCAGCCGTAGAATGCAAGTCCCTCGTTCCACATGCGGCCCATATCTGTCCTAAGCGGCTCTCCGTTACCGCCCAGCGTGACACTCGGCGACAGGGCCTGCCACGACTTGGTCTCCTCGCTGAAGAACACCGCTTGGCCCAATCCCGCCGGTCCGTGGATCCGGCATACCGAGTCGGCGAACCCAGCCGGCCCAGCAGGTCCAAACGGACTAACCATACTCCGGCGCAAGGCGCCAAACATCCCCCACCACGTCCATGCCGAGTAGACGGCGAGGAAGATGTTGTGGAGGACGACGAAGGCACGGAAGGCGCGGGTTCGGCTCATGGCCCATGGCTTCTTCCCGGTCGACTTGTTATACGCATTGAGGGCCTTGGCGGTGATGGTGTAGAGGGCAGCAATGGTGATGGGCACCTTGGGGTCCAGAGCCGCCTGGTAAATGTGGTCCGGAATTGTGAAAGTCGGCGTGAATGGAATTGAAGACGCTGGCGGTGGAGGGATGAAGGTCGGGTTGCTGGAAGGTGGGAAAGAGAAGAGTGACGGGTCGGGGAGGGAGGTGAGGACGGGCGAAAAGGATGCCATGATATGATTCTCCATTGAGGTGAAGAGCTCGGGGAAGAGGTAAAAAAGTCAAAGACCAGCAAACTTCTGGAAAAGTTGGAAGCTCTGCTCTTCTCCCAATAACTCAGAGCCCCTCAGACCTAATAATAAGGCGCCGGACAAACAACTGACGTGGGTGCTTTGAAGCAAGGGCGGGGGAGAAGCCGGTGGCGTTCCGAGACGGATCCAAGAGATCAGGGTGCAAGGGCGCCAAGTAGAAAATGGTGAGCCAAGCAAAATAGAGCTGTAGGGGTACTCGTACGGATACAGCTATCGAGTGTTGGTCGGGGAGAAAGAGGGAGATAGAAATCTGCCCGAATAATAAGAGACGACGAGAAGAGAGAAGGAGCAAGAGGGTAGAAATAGCAGGAAAGACTGGGGATGACGCCAGTGCTGTGGAAACCGCCTGCTCTGGGCATGGAGCTTGTTATGCAGAGCCAATGGGTCGCATATTTTACGACGAGCAATGGATTCGTTGAATCGTTGACCAACTGTCACGTTTTTATTTTCCCCCTTCCCTTCTTTCCTCGAATTGGCTTCTCTAAACCTAGCTCTCGGCGCTGCGGAGACATGGGTTCCTCTGAAGTTGGGATAACTCTAGGTAGGTTCGGCTCACATGGTTGTGGAGGTAGGTACCTCATCATCGATTCTCCTGGGGAGCTGTCACCAATTGAGAGAGCAGCATCAGAGGCCTACTTGGGATGGCCAATTGGTGCCGCATATATCTGAAGAGCCTCCTCAGCTTATAGAGGTAGCTCACCCAAACTGATGTGAACGCTTGCAATTCTGTACGATCATTGTGTACTCGTGAATGTGAACATCAACAGAGGTATACATACAATGTGTTGGAACGAGTTTGGAAGGAGCCGCTTCCCCAAGCCGCGGCTGCTGGGCAATTATTTTGTTGGGGAGATGACATCAATTATCCAATTAGCATCCTCGGTCGTAGACGTCAACGTCAAGCCCAGCCCCGCCGTGCAACTGCCGTTTCTAGCTGGCTGGTTTCACCTCGGTATAGGTATCTCGCTACTTTGGGATCTGGCGACATGGATTTTCATTGCTGCGCATCCAGGTGCACATCCAGAATCTGGACAATCTCCATTGGAAATTAGGCTTACGAATACTCACGAGGATTCCGGATCCAATACTGTATTGCTGAAGGATGAGGCGGTCTCTGCAATCTCTGTTTACCTACTTACCATAGTACAGGACTCCGCGCAGCTGTAGTAAAGCACGGGCCCCACCCCGCCATGTCCTCAACAAATGTGGCGGCAAATTCCTCAGCGATAGATCCACCAAAGATCTCAGGGACCAATCCTGCGAGGAACACTCTATGTGGTGGGAAGGGTTAGGGTTGGTAGATGTTTAAACTATGGGTCCCGGCTATCGGTCTTGTTACAGACGGGATGTGTATTAGACACGGAGGTCCCGATCCCGTCAGTTTTCCCTCTCCGGGCCGGTCCCCGCTCTGGCTCCCGATCTGCTTGCCCAGCCCGCTCAGCCCGGCGGGATCATTGCTCCACATTATCATCCCGTATTTCGAAAGTGTTGTTAAGGAAGCGGCGAGAATCAGATCAGACTCTCCTCCATTTCTGTTCTATTACTCAACGCCGGGTTCCTATGGCCCAATTGAGGGCTCAAGAAGCTGAGAACAACCGCTTGGGTGAGAGATGCCTGTACTATGGTTTTTGCCTAGGAACAAATACACGGTTCTCCGTAGAGTCCTGCTGATCTAAGACTTGGCCGATGTTGCTCATGTGTTCACACCCCGGTCAATCCAAAACTGCGGGCCCTGCAATGTTGTTCAAAATAGAAACATACCTTAGGTGTAGGTACTAGGAGAAGGAGAACTATAATCCATGCATGCATTGCTAAGTCTAAGCTGAGTTACCTAGCATTCTGAGCATTCGCAGCTCATACCGCCCCAGAGTCGGAAATCGGAAGGTCGCTCGGAGGGGCCGCTGACAAACCAGCGTGGTCACCATTGGTACAGGGTCTTCTTAGCGTCGATTTGTAAGCAAAATCCACCAATCGGGCCAGTAACTGCCTTATCGTTCCTATGTAGGTAATCCCGACGACATCCAGACCCGCAGAAAGGATGTCGCGACCATCGCTCTGCCTCGCTCTGCGCGCCACCTAATATTTTCACGACCTCAAAAGCAGTTGCAGTTTTGTAAGCGATCGTCAACAGAAGATCCAGAACATGCTACAGCTGCCTATGACAACCTTGTAGCGGCAATGGATCTCGAGCTCGACGGCGGCCTTCATCAGAAGGTCCTCTTCGAAACCGGATCTTTTACGGGCTATCGACCGATTTTCGAGCTCGGCAGCGGATATCTCGCTGCAAGCGATCACTTCAAGCAGCCCCTATGTGGTAACCACGAGGGCTGGGGCCCATTGAGCCCCTTCCGCTACGACTTCACACCCTGCTTTATCGATATTTGGGTCGCTGTGGTTGCTGCTTTTGGAGTCGTAGCGGGATCGTTGACGGTCTGGTGGCTCCTACAAAGGAAAAAACCAACCGACATTCCCAAGGATTGGCACTTCTGGACAAAGCAGGTACATTGCGGATGCCCTTAAACCCGGTCCCCATGCAATACTGACGGTTGGTGTAGGTCCTCCTTGCACTCATCTTCGTCGACGTCATCATCCAGCTTGGGATCCAAATCGTCAACTACCCCCAGATTTGGTTTGGCGACTTCCGCGTATGGACTACGGCACTGACGGCTGTGTCGCTCATCGTCATCTTCTCTATCCAATGGCTCGAACATTCCCGCCTCCGGAACGCCAACGGCGTTGTGCTCTTTTACTGGCTCCTGCTTCTCATCGCCCTTACTGTCAAGCTCCGGTCTTTGATCTCGCAACAGATATATGCCACCAACCTTGTATACTTTGTCACCTATTGCGTTGGTTTCGCCCTCTCCGTTGTCGAGTTCTTGCTCGAGTGGCTGTGGCCTAAGAAGGAGAGTGCATACCAAGCCTTGATCGACGGGGAGGAATGCCCCATGGAATATGCAACCGTCTTCTCGCTCCTCACGTTCTCGTGGATGACGCCGATGATGAAATATGGCTACTCCGAATACTTGACTGAGGAGGATCTCTGGGGCCTGTCCAAGAACGACCAGACAAGCTCAACCAGCGAGGTCTTTGAGAAGGCATGGGCTTATGAGTTGAAACACCGCAAGCATCCTTCGTTATGGATCGCCCTCTTTCGAGCATACGGAGGCCCCTATATGCTTGCAGCGGTCTTCAAGGTGGGCAACGACCTCGCTGCATTCAGTCAACCGCAGCTCCTGAGGTTCCTCCTCGTCTTCATGGACACGTATCAGGACGGACACGCGCCGGACCCGGTGATCAAGGGTGTTGCCATTTCGATTTCAATGTTTCTTGTCGCCACATTTCAGATGATCATGATCCACCAATATTTCCAACTAACCTTTATCACTGGCATGCGGATCAAAGGCGGGCTTACTTCTGCGATTTATAGAAAGGCCTTGAAACTGTCCAACGAGGGTCGAGCTTCCAAGTCTACCGGAGATATCGTCAACTACATGGCCGTCGACGCCCAGCGTCTTCAGGACCTGACCCAGTTCGCGCAGCAAGTATGGTCGGCACCTTTCCAGATCACCATTTGCATGATCTCCCTTCATCGGCTCCTCGGTTGGTCCATGCTTGCTGGTATTGGAGTCATGATCATCATGATCCCTATCAACGGCTTCATCGCCCGGATCATGAAAAATCTGCAGAAGAAACAGATGAAGAACAAGGATGCGAGAAGCCGGCTGATTGCAGAAATTATCAACAATATGAAGAGCATCAAGTTGTATGCGTGGGGGGCGGCTTTCATGAACAAGCTCAACTATATCCGCAACGATCTAGAACTGAAGAACTTGCGGAAGATTGGTGCAGGGCAGGCCGTTGCGAACTTCACCTGGAGCACCACTCCGTTCCTGGTTTCGTGTTCTACTTTTGGCATCTTCGTTCTAACTGGCGACAAGCCCCTGAGCACTCAGATCGTGTTCCCTGCGTTAAGTAAGAAACCCATCAGCTTTGCGGCTCTGCACATTACTGACCCTGTTGCCTTCATTCAGCCTTGTTCAACCTCCTCACCTTCCCCCTTGCGGTTCTGCCCATGGTCATCACGTCAATTATCGAGGCGAGCGTTGCCGTTGGCCGCTTGACCTCGTACCTGACAGCCGAGGAAATCCAGCCTGATGCTGTCACTGTCAAACCGGCAGTCGAGGAGCTTGGTGAAGAAACTGTCCTCATCCGAGACGGCACCTTCTCGTGGAACCGACATGAGGACAAGGCGGTCCTGAAGCACATCAACTTTACCGCCCACAAGGGAGAACTATCTTGCATTATCGGGCGGGTCGGGGCTGGTAAGAGTTCTTTCCTCCAGAGCATCCTCGGCGACTTGTGGAAAATGGATGGCGAAGTCCAGGTTCACGGCTCCGTTGCCTACGTTTCCCAGCAATCATGGATTATGAATGCAACTGTTCGGGATAACATCATCTTCGGATATCGATACGACTCTGCGTTCTACGAGAGAACTGTCAAGGCCTGTGCCCTACTGGACGACTTCTCTCAGTTGCCCGATGGAGACGAAACGGTTGTGGGGGAGCGTGGAATCTCTCTCAGCGGTGGCCAAAAGGCCAGAGTTGCTCTTGCCAGAGCCGTCTACGCAAGGGCAGACATCTACCTGCTGGACGACTCCCTCTCGGCTGTTGATTCCCATGTCGGACGACACTTGATCGACAATATCCTTGGTCCAAGGGGTATATTGAGTTCCAAAACTCGAATTCTTGCGACCAACTCGATCCCTATCCTCGCCGAGTCTGACTTCATCTGCATGCTCAAGGACGGCGAAGTAGCCGAGAAGGGTACCTTTAGGCAGCTCATGGCCATGAAAGGGCTGGTGTCAGACCTCCTCAAGTCAGCAGGAGGCCAGAGTGGGTCTGGACCCTCTTCCGCGGCCACGACTCCGGGTGGCAGTGACAGTGAAACATCAACCGTGGACGACGCAGGGCGAAGTCAAGATATGGAGGAAGTGGAAGAGGCCCAAGAAGGGCTTGGCAGTCTGCAAAGCATCAAACCCGGGCCTAGCAGTTCAAAGGTTGGGGGGAAGCAACGGACTGACAGTATGGCAACGCTGCGGCGAGCAAGTGCTGCCAGCTTCAACGGCATAAGAGGCAAAGTGCACGACGAGGAGGATCCCAGTAGCAAAACCAGGCAAGCGAAAGAACACTTAGAACAAGGGAAAGTGAAGTGGAAAGGTACGAGAGGGCCCTCCACCACGTCGTTGAATCGTGAAGCTGACTGACTGACCTGCCTAGTGTACTCGGAATACGCCAAGACGAGCAACCTAGGAGCCGTCGCTGTCTATCTGACCGCCCTGATCGCAGCGCAAACAGCACAAATTGGTGAGTGGCACTAGCCGGTCCCTTCAAGCGTATCCTGTCCAGCCTCGATACGAAGCTATCACCGGTGTCTTTCTCTGCATGTCTGCGTTCTGAACTAACTCGCCCGTTTCTAGCTGGGAACGTCTGGCTTAAAAACTGGGCCGATAGGAATTCCAGGGCCGGCGGCAACCCCGACGTGGGCAAGTATATCGGCATATACTTCGCTTTCGGTATTGGGGCTTCGGCTTTGACAGTGGTGCAGACGTTGATCCTGTGGATCTTCTGCTCTATCGAGGTATGTTTCCTCTTCTAAGACCAAGGACGATATAGGTAACTAATGCTCCGGTGGCAGGCTTCGAGAAAATTACACGAAAGGATGGCGACTGCAATCTTCAGATCCCCCATGTCCTTCTTTGATGTAACCCCAGCTGGCCGGATTTTGAACAGATTCTCAAGGTGGGTCGCATTCCCATTTTGCTCCTTTCCAATGTCGCACAAACATAATAGTGTTGGGCGTAATGCGGGGCTCGTCCGGGCCAAGTGGCTTCGTAACGGGGTCAGGGAAAGAAAGGAAGGAGAAAAGAAGAGAAGCGCGGGAGTCGGGAGTCAGGAAGCCCCTATCAGTGAAGCTGCTCCAACCCTGGAAATCTGCTAACCAAGTATCGCCCCCTGCATCAGCGACATATATCGAGTAGACGAAGTGCTTGCCCGCACATTCAATATGCTCTTTGTGAACCTGGCTAAATCGGGTTTTACACTGATGGTCATCTCGGTCTCGACTCCCGCTTTCGTCGCTCTGATCCTGCCGTTGACTGCCATGTATATCTATTTCCAGCGCTATTACCTCCGGACGTCACGCGAGCTCAAGAGGTTGGACAGCGTCAGTCGCAGCCCGATCTATGCCCACTTCCAGGAATCTCTCGGCGGCATCTCGACGATTCGGGCATTCCGACAACAAAACCGATTCGAGCTCGAGAACGAGTGGCGTGTGGATTCCAACCTCAGGGCCTACTTCCCATCTATTAGCGCAAATAGGTGGCTTGCCGTGAGACTCGAGTTCATTGGAGGTATCGTCATCCTGGCCGCGGCAGGTTTCTCCGTCATGTCGGTCGCAAACAACAGCGGGCTCACTACGGGGACGGTCGGTCTGGCCATGTCTTACGCCCTACAGATTACGACGTCGCTCAACTGGATTGTCCGCCAGACCGTCGAGGTTGAGACCAACATCGTTTCTGTGGAACGTGTCCTCGAGTACGCCCAGCTGCCGAGCGAGGCCCCTGAGATCATCCACCGCAACCGGCCGCCCGTAAGCTGGCCAGCCAAAGGCGAGGTAGAGTTCAAGAACTACAGTGCTCGCTACCGAGAGGGATTGGACTTGATCTTGAAGAACATCTGCCTCTCTATCAGGTCGCACGAGAAGATCGGCGTTGTGGGGCGGACAGGAGCTGGGAAATCATCCCTGACCCTGGCCCTGTTCAGGATCATCGAACCCGACACGGGGAACATCAGCATGGACGGCCTGAACACATCTAGCATTGGGCTGCTGGACCTGCGGCGGCGCTTGGCCATCATCCCCCAGGACGCAGCTCTTTTCGAAGGCACTATTCGCGACAATCTCGACCCGGGCCATGTGCATGACGATACAGAACTGTGGAGTGTTCTTGGTACGTGATACTTGAAGCAATAAACTCCCTCCACCCCTGTTACGTTGCACACACACACACACACACACACACACACACACACACCTGCACACAGCGTTTCGCCGTGTTAGAAGCCGTTGCTTTATCTACTCCCGTATGTTCTGAACCGTCCCGGCTAACCTGATCGCACAGAACACGCCCGACTGAAGGAACATGTCTCTGGCATGGAGGGTGGCCTGGAGGCTAAGATTCACGAAGGAGGTATGTACCAGACCTATGATATCTCCTACCCCGTCTCCTCCCGGCCCTTTCTGCTGGTTTTCACATGCCCATCCATGGGTTCCCATCTGGTTGGCGCGCCCTGCTGTCCCGCTTTGATGCAGCTGCGGCTATCTGCATGGTTACCTGGGGATTAAATGGAGCCAGTGAAGGGACACGAGCAAATCGCACCTGGTTTCAGAGCGTGTATAGGTCTCTGGCGCCGGGTGTTCGCATGGTTGCACCGTTGTCCAACGTTGCAGATGGCATACCCACATATGCCGCAAACGACAGTGCCTGCATGATCGCCTACGCCATGTAGGACAGCAGATGATAATAGGCTCGTGCCAGGCCACTCTGCTCGTGTCCCTTCACCCATCTTTAGGCACACATGGCATTCCCGACGGATAGACTATCTGACATGCACCTGCTCTTCACCCGCGAGTAACTTCGCATGAAACGACCGCCTTGCTAACGACTTGTCGTACAGGATCTAATCTATCCCAAGGCCAGCGACAGCTCGTGTCCCTGGCACGGGCCATGCTAACGCCGTCCAACATCCTCGTCCTCGACGAGGCAACGGCTGCCGTCGACGTGGAGACCGACGCCATGCTGCAGACCACGCTGCGCGGGCCCCTGTTCGCCAAGCGGACCATCATCACCGTGGCCCACCGCATCAACACGGTCCTCGACAGCGACAAGGTGGTCGTGCTCGACAGGGGCGAGGTCGTCGAGTTCGGCACCCCGCAGGATCTGATCCAGAAGAAGGGGTCCTTCTACGGCCTCGTCAAGGAGGCCGGCCTGGACTCGGAGTGATGCGGGTATGTGCCTGCTCACTTTGTGAACTGAGGGGAGGATAAAAAAATGGGGTAGATGTCAGGTGCCCATCGTCCGATGCGAGGCCCAGGCGTGCGAACCTGCCAAGAAGATAGACACGCCTGGCAAGCAACGACGGTATATGGAAAGGGGACGGGCAGCATCGGGCGATTGGGACTCTAGCAGAAGAAAAAAGGAAAGGAGAGATCGTGGGGCCCGCATGCTCTGCTGTGTACTCGACGATCTCACTGTACATAACTAGGTATGTACCTACAGATTTAGCTGAACCTCAGGTTTCAGATTCACACCCCAAAAGAAAGCAAGAAGGCAGACAGGATTGCAGGATCTTGATTCACTAGTCATCGATCCACACACTTTCCCAGTAGCGTAGCTAGTTGGTTCCCCCTATCATCCATCCCCACCTCCAACCACAACTATCGCGTCGCCGCACACCACGGTCAGCATGTCATGTCATGTCGCCGGGCGGCGCAGCAGGTAAGTTGGGGCACGGATGTTGGGAGGAGCTTCTGGTCCTGCCTGGTTTGCTTGCAGACCCATCCCGTCACATCCCCCATGCACTAAGCTATTCAGATCGCCAGCCACGCCTCCCTCCTTAGGACGACAGCTTACTTTGAACCAACACATGGAGGAGATACGGGGGAGGGATGTGTGGGGCTTATTTCCCCCTGTCGCACTCCCGGGGAAGGGGGCCCGGGGGGTAGACAGGAGTAGCATCCCGACATGCTGGTAGTGTATGGGTAAGTGATAAGCACGAGGCCCGAAATGACGGGTCGGGTCTTGGACGGGGCGTTCCTGGGGACTTGTGACTGGTGCGATGTTGGAGGGGAGCGACCGGGGGGTTGTTGTCATTGTGGTGGCGTTGGAGGGGCCCCTTGCACCACTGCCAAATCTGAGGGCGCCATCATGAGGGAGAGAGGCAAAGTGGCTCCTTTCTTGGTGGTTGAGATGGTGAGATTTGGCTGGTATGGTCCTGCTCCAGACAGCTGGAAAAAGGTTTCGGTCCTGACTTTGATTCGCTGCTGATTAACTAGATCTATGTACATACCAAGCTCAACAACCCTGGCCAGACCCAAAATGTGACCCACTGGAGCAGAACAGTGGTGTGGACATGGAAGGTCACCAAGATTGGTCTCATGCAAGGGCAATCCGCCCGTCGCCCTCGGTTGTTGCCAAGAGTATGATGACGAGCAATGACTCGAGAGCGGAGAAAAGGGGCCCTCGCTCATATGTCATCGTGCTCAACCAGTTGGAACGTAGGAGCATACACGACGAAAGCTGGGCAAGACTCAGGAAGAATGTGGTTCATTGGCCAAAACTCCGGGCCTCGATTTATCGATCAGCTCCCTCAGACACGAGAGACATGGCTGAGGGCTGATTCGAGGTTGCGCCGTTCCAACCAGGCTGGGGTTTGTTCCATTCCTGGAAAAGCTTAACATGGATTGGCTCTCGATATTGTGCAAGATCAGCTGCAGTCTGCAGGCGGGAACGAACCCCTTCCCAGGAATGCTGGGGTTTCTCGTCTTTGTTTTGGGCTATGCTGCCATAGACGTGCGGATCCTGCCCTCCTGTAGCACCCCGGTTTCCGGCTCGGTTCTCGCCTCGGAGGATGAGCAGGCTCCTATGCAGCCAGAGGGCCGAAATTGGAGGAGTAAAAGGCAAGTTGACAAGATCGAATGGATAGGTATTTTCGGACATGCATCCAAGACAGCGGGAGTGATGTCTAAATATGCAAGGCAGACCCAAAACGGCTTAACGGCCTTCTTGTACCCTGCTGTGTGACATTAACTCACAGGACCCAAAAAAATGGCGAGAGGGGGGTCATTCAGCTTGGTGGTCAAGACACTGTGCTTCTTCAGCTTCAATCTCTTTCTCACATCTTCGGTAGTCGTCATCTTTTGGCACCATCTGGGTGGCTGATTGCAGACACCTTAGATACATACTTACTCATACTTACTCATACCACTGGAGCTTCCTGTGAGGTAGATGGGGTAGTCAAGCGCAAGCGAGCCTCTCGGTGATGTCTGACATGCAGTGGGCGTGCCAGGATAGGGTAGACGTGTCGTGCACACTAGTTGCGGGGAGCCACTGGCGTCATCCGGTTGGTCGTTGCTGGCGGCGGCGACATTCCGCTACTGTGCGCTAATGGAGATTGGGACTCTGTTGGATCTACAATCTTTCGCAAGTGCGGATACATACTGACCTTTGGCTCGTTCTTCAATCGATCACTCGGATGGCCTCGGGCGATCCTCAACCTCTCCTGTACATTCACGGAGCACAGGGTATTGGGCGCCGCCTATTGCCCTACCGCTGTCCTCCGTAGGTGAGGGACTTCCCCGTGACTTCACAATGTGAATGAAATTTCCCGAGGGCGGCCCATGGTCTCCTAACCCTGGTGCCTCATATAACCCTAACCCTGACACAGGGTGTCATCGAGCAGCGCACGTGGCTGGTCGCTGCTCTGCAATTAAAGAGCACGCCTAAGAAGGCACAGCCGCTCTTGTTCGACGATGTACGCCCGGCCGGCCCATATCCCGACCCGTTGATCCAGTAGAAGTGGTGCAACAGGATTAGACGGGACGGAAAGCTTGCCGGAGGTGGGAGTGGGAGAAAAAAGTAAAGGAAAACGGCTGCGGCGCTTAAGGAGCCCAGGAGCAAGGTAAGAAAAACAGACCAGCAGGCACCGTGGGTTGTGTCTGGAGATATCAATGGCGAAGACCAGCGCCTTCTTCTTCCCCTCCCCTCAGGTAGTACAAATCAGGAGTACAAGTGCGGCATCGACTGATCTCAAACCGTCCATATCAAGGACGAGGCTCGCAAATCTGTTTCCCCAATCGTGCGTCAATACTCCGTATGGCAGCCATGAACCTAATCCCGGGACGCGATCTCAGTCGATCTCGATGGAGTTCACTCGGGATTATGCAAAATATGATTATGTTACCGCTGTCCCATCAACCTGGCCATTACTATTGATTCTTTTCAAGATGGAAAAGGGGGGATAAGAGACGGGAGGGAGCTAGGGAAGTGGGGGAAAGACGGCCGGATGACACCCAAGACGGAACGGGACTAATATATCTACGGGCAGTTTATCAGACTCACATTGCATCTGGATAACCAAATTGGCAACGCTTTTACGCTTGCCTGGTATCTGTAACCAAAGCCCAGAGGTTACGGACCGTCGTACCCCCACGTTCGCCCCCCTGCACCACTTTACCACTTTACCCGGCTTTGATCTTCCTACCGCGCGCACTCATGCCACTCCTCCGTGTTCGACAAACGGTGCGCAGTCAGTTAGCATCTCCGGCAAACGGCAGCGTTTCGCAACGTATCTAAAAAGGGAACTGCCGGCTCCAACTTGCTCTGCTGTAGGTAGGTACATAGGTAGCAGAGCACTGCAGAGCACTGCAGTGCAGAAGGTAGTAGGTAGATGCCATGTCGATAAGCGATATCGCGCCAGCCAGGCGAGCAGCAAACATGAATGCGAAGATGACCCCCATGCAGGGTTTGCTTGTACCCGAGCACGCCGAGGTATCCTTAGGTCTACTAATAATTATGAATACTACCAGCGTACCGGTCCGTTAGATCCACTAGGCGACTAGTGGTCAGTGGGACCCCCTATCTACATAGGGTAGGTATAGAGTGACGGGCGTAGGCCGTGATTACGAAGCACAGCATGATTATGTACTCGTTTCCCTGACCAAGATAGGGACAGCTTTCGTTGACCAGATGCGGTTATCGCGAATTGAAGGTCAGATCGATTTTGGGTGCGTTGTAGACGAATGAAGGGTGGTGACGCTGTCTCACTCCACAGTGAGAGGGACTTCCCCCCCTCTATTACCGAGGTGAGGTACAAGTTAAATCCGGAGACCCTCTTCGCCATTGCCGAACCGCAGTGTTACCCCAGGCTTGGTACGTAGTATTGTAGCCTACTCCATATAAAATGAGCTGCTTGTGAATCAACGAAAGGAGTCAGAAAGCACACACATTTTTGATCCTATTTGCGTACACTATTTTGTACACTTCCGTATACAGTGCCCTCACTCATGGGGATCGGCAAGCCACATCTTCAGTTGACAAGGGCTCTTATTACATCCCCATCTATTACCTCCCTAGCCCTCAGACCCCGGACTCCCGTCCACGGGAGCCATACGACTCTGCTCTCTGGTGCACTGCGCTAGCACGTAGTTAATGTTTAGTACACAAGGAAGGTACCAGTTATCTAACATCGGGTATAGGGTAATCTAGGAAGGTATCTAGAAGCCTAACCCATGACCAGAGGTACCTTTTCAGCTAGCCAGGTACGCGACACTGCTATTGGGGCACGTCTCAAAATACCATCCAGGTACCTAGGTAGGCAAGTCAATGTCCGTCTCGGGAAGGCGCGTCCTCCCGCCAAACTGTACACGGCAGTGCTTACTGCTCAAAATGTTATAATACTTAAAAAGCTGAGAAGGAAGCCTCTACCACAGTGATGGCAAGGAAATACGCATGTACTAGGACCTAGTGGAGCAGGCCCATATTGGAAGGGGCGGTCTAGACGAGAGGCGCGCAAGTCTCGCAGATTCAACAGAAATGCGCCAAACTCTTTTCTCCAAGCCGGCTTCACCTGGACCCTTGTCGACGACAAGGGTGGGCATTCCCACACATCATGCAACATCCACCTGGTCCCTCTCTCGCAGGCCGCCGCCGGCCTCCCACTTCGCCAGAGGGGGGAAAACGCCCAAAGAGTCGTATCATCGAAAGGTTCCATTTGGATAGGAGACTCGACGCTGTGCAGAATTGGCCTGCCCGTCTGGTCTGCACGGCATGGCCAGCTCGCGCGATGACATTGCATTATCAACGCTGGGCACTGGTTTTCAGTTACTTGGTAGATCACTTTTATTTCCTTTTTCATGTTTGATTTATCTCGTTTTCCTGACGGACTTCTGTGTGTGTCATGAAGGCCAAGCTTAGGTACTAGGTACTACGCCGTAGTGCTTCGGATACGCAGGTCCTCCCAATAACGCCATCATCAAAGCTCCCCTCCCTCTCTACCCCCCATCTCCACTGCTCACTCACACCCAGAGAGGTTCCTCCTGGCTTGTCAAGAACCACATGCTTTAATCCATCCTCCCATGAGCCTGTAGCAGCCACGCCGGCCTGCAGCTGCCAATGCCCATGCCCATGATCGACTTTGCCCATCGCTGTCCCCAGCTTCCCATGTTAGTATTGCTTGGACAGGCCTACTCCGTATCTGCCTGAACCATCTGTCCTGGACTGTCTGTCTACGGGGCATCTTTCTCTCCACCCCAGAAAGGAACCCAGGTTTGCTGTCCCGTTTCTCCAGGGCTGAACACACCCTGGCAGGCCCAAGCCTCATCTTGTACTTACATGCCTACACATTACCTACCGTAGCTTCCTAGCCTAGTTGTAGAGCTACATGCATACACTACTGCGGGCTTTCCTCCCGCTAACTTGGGGCCAGACAAGGGTATTTTTCTTCTTCTACCAATTTTTTTTTTATCTACTTTGATCCCCGGCTTTTGTTTGGCCGTCCTAGAGCAGGAGTAGTTCGCTATCTCCAAGTACCTAAACTGGCTCTAATCCTCCAAACTCGACATATCCCCTGCCTGTTCCCGCTCTTATTAACCAACCCGCCCAGTTCTGAGCCTCTTCCAACAGCACTCGACTCTCTGTTATCCAGTCCACTTTCGATCAACATCACTACTCCCTATCACTGGCTTCTTCGGGACGCCTGGTGGCCCTCGTCCCTCGCCTCTCTTGTGGCATCCGTATTGCCTGCCCACCGCGCTATCCGTCCTGGCTTGCCCCCGTTGCTCTGGCTTAAAACCCCATCCCCGTCTACCTTCTACCTTCGGCCTCACCAGTTCTCCTCAGCGCTTCTGCTAGTTCCCTGCGTCCACCTGCCATCTTCCGCTGCCACCAAGGACACGATTGGATCAATTAATTGCATTACCCGCGCAGGAAACACCTGTATCTTGCGCGACCAAGTGTAGCTGCCAAACGGCATAACAAGCACACACCCCAGTTTGCCTTCTTGGGCCATTAGCTTTAACTTCCCCTGCTCGTCCTCGTCACTCTCTTCTGCTCCTATAAGGCCCCTTGCGCCCAAGGATCCTTGCTGTCTTAGAATCGGCCAGCCAACCCTCGACTTGTGAGCTGTGACAGGCGCAGTATCAGCTTCAACACCGGGGGCGCCCATCCACAACGCTATCGACTCTTCTACGTTCGAAATACCCAGTGGAGGTGGACCGTGTCTAGACTATCCGATGTCTTACAGCCATACCGCGAACAAAGGGAACTCAAGGGTACTGGTATATATGTCAACACTCACCATCTCCGCCAGCTGATTTATCTGTTTGAGGACCAGTCCCCACTTGCCCGCGGCCACAGACACTAGATCCAGATCCTCAGACAGCCTTCCCTCCACTATCCTTTGTCGCTTGTTTACCTCGTTGGATTCAACTGCTCCAGCCTTCGAATTAGGATCCCCACGCCACACGCTACTCGCCGGCCCTGTCCTTTCGTTTCCTGTTGGTCCACTGGCCATCTCAGCTATCCAGCTTGACAACGGCAGGTATCCGGCCCTCTGTGCCCCTTGATTGGGAAGCAGCTTCCTCGGGACTTGGACTTGCTCGCCGATTCTCGGCTGTAATTTGGGAGACCTGTGTTCGAATACCATCCTCAACGTCATCCCGCATTGCCACTTATAGAATCACCCTCGCACACCTCTTGTGGACGCAGCACGAACGGACAGTTTTGCAAGGAAGCAGCGTCTTCTCGTCCGTCTCACCTGCACGCCGAGCTTTCTCCACGGGACCGCTGATCGGCACGCCTTGAGCCGAAGGAGACAAAAAGACCATTTCTTCAGCTGCGAGGTCAGCCTCACACGGACCCATTGGGAACTATACGGCAACTATCCGCGGCTGCTGCAGCTTAGACCGCACCGGTGGCGAACCGGTACTTCAAAGAAGCGCTTGGCCTTGCTGTGTTAACACATATATTGGCAACCGTCACATATATTGCTCGCTGCGACGATAGCTCAGCTCTCCGTTTCCCGGCTCGCATGCCAGTCATTGGTTTCCCTTCCGCTAGTCGGCGAATCGGCTGCTTCTATAGGTAGTCATGGTTCACGACTATTCGAGGAACACCTTTCCTCGATCGCATTGGGTGGGAGACGGATTCCCAGTTGAACAACAAGCTGATGACGGCCGATACCACGAAGTTTCCGGAGTACGACGGCCACCTATCGTACGTAACCATCTCCGCATGTCTGTCACCCTCTTGTCGCTCATGAACTAACTGGCCGCAGAGTATCGACAAGGCACTCCGCGAGCAGTGCAATATCCCCGCCAAATCCTACTTCGTCGCCGTACTGCTCGATGACGACTCTACAGCGTATTTTGCAGGGCCGTCCTCGATACCCGAACAGGACCTCCCAAACTTCTTCAGCATACCCGGATACCTTCGCTACCTCAAACGTCAAGGACCAGGTACGTCAGGACTGACAAACCTCCCCTTGCTCACCCTCCCTCTGACTCGATAGGAAAAGGAGTTGCGACTCCCTCGTACGAAGATCCCAGTTTCCAATTCGACAATGAGTACCATCGGCAACCTGCCGGTCCTCATTACCCGAGTCGCCGAGGCTATGACAGGCGGCGCACCAACCAAGGGGCAGATCTTTTTGACGACGAGAACTTCTCCTTGAAGACGAGGAAGCGTCCGAGGGCCAATGTGTTCCGCCGTGATATGGACGACGACGACGCTCCAATCCCCATCACTTCTTCCAAAAAGGGGATCAAGATTGGAAACACGGACGAGGTGTGGAAGTTCTACGACCAACGCTTCAGGAATTGCCAGCAGACAGCTTGCAAGCTCATTGCCAAGGCCTGGGTGAAGGCCGTGGAGCCCAAGAAACAATCCAACCACCCGTACACTGGCAGTGATGAGAAGGCTCCCGAGTGGTGGCCCAAGCCGTGGGGACCGACTCGGGACGAGAAAGTCCGACACAAGGAGCCCGACCATCTCTACAAAAAAGGTTCGTTCCCCAGCCCATCCCCCAGGACGGGGTGTACCCGCGATACTGACAAGGCGGGAAAGAGCGTGTCCATCTTTTGAATCACATCCTCAGGATGGTCGTCGAGCCCAACGCCAAGCAGCATGCTGATATCCAGAAGTTGAACCTGAATGTCACAAAGTTGGAGGAGGTCACGATGGATGCGTTGTCGGCTTTCTTCGCCGACAAGGAGAACATGAACAACTCGAAAAAGAAACCGTTCCTGAAAGAGATCTTCAAGGTCGCCAAGTTCGAGGAGAGGTACAAGAATGGAGAGATTGGTAAGGGCATTATACGGCTGCTGCTAGTCCAGCGCTGGTTGCTAACCCATTGTCAACAGATGGCGATACGTGTGTCTTCGTCATGGCCGATGACAAGATACCGGACAATTACCAATCCGACAACGACGACAACAACGCGGCGAAGGACGACCAAAACGACCCTGCGTCGGTATCGTCAAGCGTGTCTCCGCACAAAACGACGCCCCCGAACGGCTTGATCCCGGCCTCGAATGCTGACCAAAGCCAAGCCGCACCTCTCCAAGCCGGCCCCTTCATTGGCGAGCTCCCCGTTCGGACAGCGCAATATGTCCCGCCCATGGTACCCCCTGATCTCGGCCAAGAACAGCACGGATATGTCGAGGGAGGGGGGATGGCGGTTGGGTCCCAGAGTCATCAACTACAGCCGCACGCGAGCATGGCCATGGCAGAGATCTGTGCCAACCCCCATGATGCGGGCCGTCGACCATCCCTGTTCAGCTCGCCCACAGAATACTCGACTCCGTCCGGCCCTGGGATGTATTCCGGCAATTGGCAGTCGGGCACGACCGCACCGAGCAACGCTCCCATGTACGCGTTCACACCACACCAGCAGCACCCCGGTCAAGCGCCCTTCGTCCAACCGTCGAGTGTCCCCCTCGGTCAAGGACAGCAATACATGGGGGGGTCATTCGACGGCATGACAAGAGGTTACGACCCCCACCAGGCCAGCCTGTTCCGCCCTGGAGCAGTTCATAATCCGGTACCCCAACCTCAGGGCTATTCGGGCTATATTGAGAACCGCGCCATCCCCAACGCAAACTTAAAAATGGAGCCCCTGGGACGGTCACGACTACACTAAGCCTGAAGGCTGGCACTAGTTACCGCCGAGTCGTCCCTTTGCGGCGAGCTGCGGTATTTGCCAGGGACGGCATGCATTTTTCCTCTGCAGCGTGGTTTGGCTCGAGTCTTCGCCAGATACAACGCCAGCCGTCGGCTTTACAGCCATTTCCGACTCTACCATGATGAGATATATGACCCGGCGCCGCACAGTTATAGAAACCGCTAGTGGGCACTTGCTGGCTGCAGCACAGCCGCGTCCCCTTTGCTAGAGGCCATAATATATCACCAGTCCGGCCTCAATTTTTATTGTCCATTGAACATTTTCATCCTTTTACAACATTTCCTACGTTACCATGGCGGCTACGATTTGTGCTAATTATTTCACCCTGCGGCGAAAACGAAAAAATACCCTTTGAAGGCTTGTCTGGGGGCCGCGAGCATGCTTTAGGTCGATCACAGGCGTCGTCGGGCGGATGCGGATTCTATAGTTATGGGAACCTATGGTCGAGAGGCCTGTGTTTCGTCTCGCCCTTGCCCCTTGCCCCTTTCCCTTTTATCCTTATAATCCTTATTTGCGTACGTGTGTCTGTTTCCTCCGCGTCGACAATTTATCTCGGCACCATATCCGCCGAGACTGAGCTGGGAATGAGGAAATGTTTCGTCCTGGGAAGCAAATACCACACAAGTTTACGCCATTCGAGATCACATCAATGGCCTACTGGTTTCCAAGACGGTCGTCTCCCTGGTTTTCGCATCTTGGGTCTGTGATGGGAGATCCCTTTCATGACCACTGGAGATCGACTCGGAAAACATGAGATAATATTGGGTTCAGGGGAGAGGCGCGAGGGTTGGGGGACAGCGGCGCCGGGTTTGTTTACTCCCAGGGGTTGGAACATCTGAAACTTCCGGCGCCCACCGGTGTGGATTTTCTTGGACTGGTTCTTCCTATGTTTGGTCACCTCGGTTTCCTTCTCCTTCCACTTTTTGGAAACATCACATCATTTAGCTAGCTGCGGCCTAGTAACGGCGGCTCTTCACTGCACTCTGGAGTTTTCGCTGCAGCCTTTCCCTGTCCTTAATTATATTGGCGTACATGGATGGGTGGGTGGGTGGCCTCAAAGCCAAGACTGGGGCGGATGCTGGCAGTTTCTATTAATTCAAGCCTGGCGTTGTTTATGAACATCCTCCCAAGTCTATTGATCCACTGCGTTCTCGTTGCGGCATCGTTTCGTGGCCCTTCCCGTCCCTGTCCCGACGTAATAGGGGTATACGGTTCTTTGACATGAAACCACCGGGATATCTTTCCTGGAGATCCAGGAACTATACCATCTATCCATCCACTTCACATATGCAGTTGGCGATGCCAAGTTTAGCAATCTCTCTGGATGGGGAGGTTAGTTAGGGTGGCTGGCAGGTGAGAGTAACAACTTCGTTTGCTTGGATCGTCGCCGCCTCGAAGTCTTCCTATTCCTTTCCTGGTCGCAACTAGATGATAAGATCTCAATGGGTGGGGGCCTGGAATCAGGAACTCGCTCACCATTTGCATATGACGATGGATGCCAATTTTCTGATTGGTCTGGGGGGGGGGCCGTGGTGGTAATCATGTAATGGGTGAAGACGACGAATGCCTAGCGAACGAACACGAAATACGCTATCTGGGGACAGATCAGAAATGATATGTCTACTACATATATCCTCTCCTTGTCCGCAGGGCATGATATGAGCCGGCGACCAGTCCGCACCCCTAGCGTTCTCGACCAGGCAAGCCTGCCAGCTGCAAGAGGCAATCAATGGCGGTTCTGCTCATCCCATAGGTACAGCACAGTAACATACATTGAGGCCGCATCCCATCCCACGCCTCACCGGGCTACCTGCTAAGTCGCCGCCACCGCCACCGCTGCCAGGTGCAGCGTCTCCCCCGCCGATCTCTCCTGTCGCGGCCACCCCCTCCCTACCCGGTGTCGCATCCTGCAATCGCCGCTGATTAGGGTTAGGTAAGCGTTGCGTGGCAGTTCTCACGCTGCCCTACCATGCGGCCCGCCCGGGCGTGCAGATCCATCCCCTTCCCCCCCCAACCGAACCCCCCAGCCTTCCTCCCCCCAGCCTTCCTCCCCCCAGCGAAGCAGAACCCCGGGCTACGGTCCAGCCCCACCCCCCTCCCCCAACCAACAAACAAACCCGAGGCTGGCTGGATGTCCAGGTAGTAGGTAGTTAGGTGGGTGGGGGGGTGGTACCGCATCGCCTAGCCTCCGTATCGTGCGTATGCATGCCCAGTTTGTTCGTCCGAAACAACATCCCGTCTCGGGCTCGACAGCCTCTCGGGCCGAGAGAGGGTGGGGAAGAATCCCGTGTCGGGTTGCTTACCCCTACGGGCGTAACATCGTCCGTGGTTGTTGGAACAGGAGAGAAGGCTGCTGACTGGGGCGGGAGACATATCATATATGATGTATTACCCTTCCCTCCCTTCCCCTCCCCCCAACCCACCCAATGCCAAAAGAGGTGCCCGGCCAACTCAGCAACACCCGGCTAGCTGGGGACCCCCCATGTTCCGTACGAACGGAACGCGGTATATTACACACGGCATATGAGTTTGGGCGTTGGCCTGGACAACGGCAGGGCCAGGGGTTTTCCGGGGTTTGGGGTCCGGTGCAGCCCCCCCTTTTGTCTTGGTCGGGCCCAGATCCTTGACGCTACGAGCCGTGCCAGCCGCGGAGATGCGACGACCGCGTTTGAGGCGGGGAGGTTGGCAACCGCAGCGTCGGGACTAGTGAAGGAGTGTGTGGGTTGGTTGGATTGTGACAGGGGGGCGGAGCTGGTAGAGTAGAAACACTCGGTAGTAGGCAGTGGACAAAGAAACCAGCTAACCGTTGGCATCCAGGTCTGTCGTGGTTATATGTTACGAGCTGCGAAGACGAGCGGGATTGGACAGGTCTGGAACCCGCTTGGTCAGCTGTTAGGGGTACATAACATGTCTGGGGCGATCACAGTCGAATGCCTTGTCTCGGTTGGCAGTCGATGGTTATCCAGAGAGAGACTAGCTGAGGGAGGTGGATATTCCGGTCACATTCTAGGATCGTGTGTCTTTGGATGTTCAGCCTCTTCAATTTGACGGCGGGTAGTAGACACGCACAGGGAGGAATCCTAGCTGTGACCTGGGACAGAAGCACCCAACTGCCTCTATACATGTCGAGTTCTAGAGCTTAAAGAAATATCGAATAACCAATGTTGAGGGACGGCACGGGGCTGTCTATGGCGACAAGTGGTCAGGGTTCTGACAGTGAATGCAACCCAGCCGTCGTTTACCAGTGTCTTCATTACTTGGACCGAGCAAACAGACGATGGGGAGGATGATCCACATCTCACAGTGGACACCACCCAAGTTTCCCGAGAGTAAGCGCCACATCACAAACGGTGAGGTCGAAAGCTCAACCTGCGGCCGCTACAATTTGGGCAACCTTGTTCATATAATATCTATGGCCGGTGATTGGGCACGCTGGTTCCAACGACACAATATCCATTTCAGACCAGGTAACAGGCATGCGAGCCACAAGAAGCGGGTGACGGAGCTAGCTAACTCGAAAGCATTTGGCCTCGGTGGTACCGTGCAGTACTGCTACAAGAGGAAGCAGCAATATCAGCTCAGGATCTTGACCAAATTCACACCAGAGTCTCACAAGGATCGCTGTTTGCAATCTCCTCATCCGTGGAGGCGACAGCCGGAGCTCGTACGGCTATGCTAGGGCCAACCAGAAGAGCTTTTGCAAAGCTCAGTCAGTCGAGAGTAGCATTGACGGGCCGTTTGACCCATTCCACATTCCTGACATAATATGGTTAGGTCAAAGGTGGGAGGGTATGCTCGTGCCAACCGTTGAATCGCCCGAGAGGGCTAGCTTGACGAGTTTCTGCCCGGCATGTTGTTTCGGGGGGACGATGTCCCATCCGTTGGACACTCGAGTGTCTGGGCCTAATCATCATCGTCGTCGGAATCGTCATCCCCCCGCTTCCTCTTCTTGGACGCCTGCACGGGCTTCGGGTCGTCGCCCTTGCGGGCGAACAAGTAACTCCTCGCAGCCCTGTCCTCGCCCCTCCACCCGCCGCCCGCCTCGCCACGCTTGTTCTTGACCACGCCCAGGGTCCGGGCGTGGTGGTATCCCGGGTACGCCGAGGGCTGGAAGCCGAAGCTGCGCTCCACCTGGAAGCCGGCGGACCTGGCGAGGTCGCGGATGTTCCAGAGCGTGTACGGCTCGCCCTCGAACAGCGTGACGACGACGGTGCCGCCGGGGGCCAAGGACAGGAGGGCCCTCTTGAAGAAGCCCACGAGCATCTCCTGGTTGTACCGCACCTGGCGGTTGACGTCGGTGCTCTTGCCGCCCACGTGCGGGAAGTTGAACATGATCCTGTCCATGATGCCCTCCGGGTCCCTGCCCTTGCGGGCGAAGGGCCCCATCCTGCCCGCGTCGACCCCGTACAGCACCTTCCCTCCCCCGGCCTCTATCTTCTCGACGTTGTCGGCGGCGTGGGGGTATTTTGCCGCGAGCTCGTCTAGGCTCTTCTCCAGGACGGTCGCCGTCACGTTCTCGCAGGCATGATGCTCGATCAGGGAGACCGCGAAGCTCAGGTCGCCCTCGCCGACGAGCAGGATGGCGTCTTCTGCGGAGAACGGTATCACCGGTTCTAGATGCTGAGCCTGGGCTTTGGGCTTCGTCGCCTTTGTTGAGCTGGAACCGGCGGCGGGTGCTGAAGCCGCGGGGCGGCCGGCGGCGTTCTTCTTGTTGGGATGCCGAACGGGCTGCTGGGGAGCCTTCCGGGCTTGGTTGGAGCGGCCACGCTTTGTGGACTTGGGCATGGCTGGGAACGTGGCCAGGCACGGGCGGTCTTGGAGCCTCTGTGGCCAGGAAACACCTGCGATCAGCACCCGAGAAGGAGGTCGATGTCACCTCAAAAGCATTGAGTTGCGAAGTTTATTAGGTTGGCACGTGGTGGTTCCCGCTTTCGGTTCCAGCCGTGGGGAATACGCTAGTGTAGCCGCATGGGGACGCACACGCGCCTTACACCACAATATGGCATGGGCATGTAACAGGACGGTAAACAGCAGCAGTTGCTGCTGCTGCTCGAAAAGACATCGACCTTCTCTTGTTTGGCCAAGACAAATAGCATACATTCCCCCTGTTTGCAAGGAATTGGGCTCCCCCGGTACAAGAACGAGGACAGTGATATTCAATGGCTAGTTCTGCACTCCGCAGCGGAATCTAATCTGGCATTCTGCACGAAAACTTGCCACCCGAGCCTTTTTATATATGTAGGTACTAACTGGCAGGTTGGAACGATAAGAGGTCAATTCTGCCGACAACGCGCCGAAACCCTTGCTGGGCGTCTTTTAGGTTGTAGCTTCGGTCCCGTGGAGTGAGCCGCGAGGGGTTGATACGTAAGGTAGTTCTAAGTTCTAGCTACGGAAATGTAGGTATCTCCGATCTTAATGCGGATTAGGGATGATGGATTCCGGCTCTTCGAGCTTTCTAGTCCCCTTGCTTTTTTGGAACAGGTCTGATGCACCCCAGTCAGGTCTTACTGAATTAGGGGTGCAAGAGAGTGGTCTGATTGGCGCAGGCCCTTGCACAATTAAGTAAGCAATGGATCTCACCTCCATGGTGGCCGGAGGTACGTACCGGGGCGGACCCGTCGCTGAATGTGGTATTATTCAAAATCATCACGATTTGAACGTATTCACCATTGTCGTCCGCAACAATACCCGTGCGGTCGCTATTGTGGGGAGATGAGAATAGGGTCTCTGACTGACCCTCTCGCGCATATTCACTTCTTTTCCTGGCAGCAGACATTTAATCAGTGCCATTTCCCCTTCCCTAACTTCCCCTTCTCACCATCTTCAACCATCGGACCAGCAGACTTTCGAACTTCTACTTCACATACAGATTCGGTTCAGCAAAGTCTGCTTTTGATTATTCATTCCGTTTAGTTGATCATACCATTGAGATACCATTACCCTCATTCCCATACCTTTTTATCACATTCCACGCTCTCACCAACATCAAATTCTCACCCCCGTCACACTAGCCTTCCGCGCCGTATTTCACTTTTGAGAGATGGCGACCACCGAGCAGCAGGATCTGGACCCCGTCACTGCGCAAGACGCGGATCTCGGGATCAACCTCCAGATTTCCTCACCCTCCGCAGCCAACGGCACCATCCTGCCCCCCCCAATCCCAGCCCAAGGTGACGTCGAGATGGCAGATGTTCCCGCTCAGCAGCCCAGCCCCTCCAAAGGGAAGGCCAAGGGCAAGGGTAAAGGTCGTGCCCCCGCGAAGAGCAAGGCAAAGGTGACCAAGCCTGCCGGCCGTGGTCGCCGCCAGAAGGCCTTCGAGTCCATCAAGGCTCAGGCGGTCCATGAGCGCCTGCAGGAGATCAAGGCGGCTTGGACCAACCTTGTCAAGCTCGTCAAGCCGGCTCTCCAGGAACTAGCCGACCGGACTCTGAAGAAGCTCGACGAGGACCCCACGGCCCACGAGCAAGTCCCAGAGGCAGATATCTGCAAGAATTTCCTAGACCAACGCCTCGCCGATACCGTAAAGGCTGCCGACCTTCGGCTGAAGATGGATCTCGACACCCAGAAGAAGACTCTCGAGATGAACCAAAATATGGCCAAGGAGTCATATATTGTAAGTTGGTCCATTCCTCTTGCCGCCGTGATCTCCACTGACAGTTTCATAGACTAAGGTCCATGAGGCGGAGTCCGACATGTACGACACGCTCCTCCTCCAATTGGACCGGCTTGAGTATCTATACGACAACAACTTGCCGGTTGATGTGAGTACCACAAGGGACCAAGAACCGCCATGTGGACTCTGTTATTGACGATACGTAGCTTCCTGATAATGGCTACAAATACAAGGAAATTAGCCAGGAGCAAGTTGATCTCCAAGGCGTCCACGTCCAGACCGTGGACGGGGTCGAGCAGCCATTTGGGCCCGCTACGTTCAGCGAGCTCCAGGAGCAGGCCTACTGGCTTCCTCCCAAGCGCAAGGCCGAGGGAGAGCCCGAGGGTCAGCCGAGCGCCAAAGAGGCTAGGACCGACGACTATGGCGCCCCCGAGATGTCGCGTCACGGTGGTGGTCTTCTTTCCGCTGTCGAAGACGTCGAGGGGCGACTCTCCATTTCACGGTCTCAGACACCCGCTGCTGGACCTGCAGAGGGACGTGAGATTTTTGATGTCGAAGAGCTCAACGGTCTTCCACTGCCCCGGGCGACCGGGTTGCCTGACGAGCTTGGATTCCGCATTATCAGGAGGAAGGGGAATGCTAATGACATCCCCAACAACCGGATAATCGCGCCTGCTTCGATCCGGTGGGAAGATGGCGAGATCGGCTTCAGCGACTCGACCAACAACCCCGAGAAAGGGGCCACGAAAGCCCGTCGCCGCGAGTACCTGGGCAAGCCAAACTCCCACGCCATGTACTACGACAGGCGCTGCCATGGTTGGTATGCCCACGAGCTGGAGGAGGACGACTTCGATGAGGAGAAGGTGAAGAAGTACAATCTCCATCCTCGGATGGGGATCTTCTTACCAAACTCCTCTAACGAGGCCGAGCTTCCGAGAGACCCAGTGCCGGGCGATCGGCCCATCGTTTGTGTCGGTCCCAAGGGCCAGATCATCCATGCCTCGCGATCTGTTTGGGGCTCGCGCCTCGATGCTGGCATTGGAGCAGTTGGCAGGAAAATGGAGATACGGTCGGTTCTCCGGGACTTCTGCGCGCGCGAGTCTATCCCGCCGGAAGAGATCGAGCCATCGCGAGAACACCGAGAGGCCCACCGTATCTCTATGCTCCTTGATCGGGGCGTCAATCCTGACCTCATCCCCGCAGCCGAACAGCAACGGCCCGAGGACGGGGATCCTCCCTATACCGCCGGGACAAGGTCAGGTTTGACGCTCCGATCTGGGAGCCCTGCTTCTTCTGCCCCTGGCATGTCCACGATATTGGAGGCGGCCTCAGTGCTGGATGCCGAGCAAGAAGCAGCCGAGTCGTCTCGGAATGCGAGATCGCAACCCCATTCTCGACCGTACGACGCAATCCGAGACGTATTCACAGATAATGCGCCGCCCTCTCCCCCTTCCGCACGGCCTGTCATAGCCGATACATACAACCTTTCCTTACTCGCAGAGCTGTCCGAGGACCGGCAGCGAATCATGGACCAACCAGCACATGGCGCTGCTCCGCCTTCGACAGAAATGTCGATGCTAGATCCCAGGCTCTTCTCGCCTCCTGGTCCCGGAAACAATCCCGGAATGAGAGGCCCCGAGTTCGGTCGGCCCAGCGACTACCCGCGAGCAAACCAACTCCAGCCGCCGAACGAGTTCGGTCCACAATCGCAGTGGATACGCTCGCAAGAGCACCCCCCGGCCAGTGTGCCCACGCGGTCGAACGACTTCCTAAGGACGGCTCTGAACCCGCAGCCATCCTCATATCCTCCCATCGCGCCCGCCCCGCCAGCACCCGCCCATCCTGCTCCTCCGGCTCGGGGACTTAGCCCACCCCCGCAGCGGATTCCCTTTAGTAACACTGGGACAGCAGGGGGGAGTCTCCCGGCTCTCCGCCCAGTGCGGAGCTTACTCGACGACCAGCCGCCCCTTCCCGAGTCACAGGGAAGCCCACCACCCATGTCACGCCCAGCCATGGTGGCATCAAACAGCGGGTCCTACTACCCCCCCGCACCTCCCCGCCCATTTCACAGCGGCTATTCCATTGTGGACCAGCCACAGATGCCGCCGAGGCAACCGGCGTTGATGCCGGGCCAACAGCACCTCCCACCGCCGCCGCCAGGGCCGCCGGCGCAGAGCCCAGCGCCATACCCGATGTCTCCGCCATCGTATCTGGCTTCGTCGCCACCACCTATGCCTGGGCCCCCCGGCCATATCCTCCAGCAGAGCCAGCCCCAACCTCCTCCATTTGGGGGCGCGCCCGCGCCAGCAGCAGCGGCATCGCCGCACACCCGTGGGGGGAGCTCGTCCGCCTCATCGTCGAGGTACCGGAAGTTGGAGCCGGCCCCGACCCCGCCCCACAGGATGAGATACCAGCAGCCGCTGAGGACGGTGCCTTTCGATTACCGCGAGGCAATCAAGCACTACTCGGCGGTGGAGGCGCCGCCGCAGCAGGGCCCCACCCACATCCGTGGGTGGACCCACAACAACATAAGGCAGGTGAGAGACCCTGGGAAGGGGGACACCCCGGCACCCGAAGATCCCTCGTAGGACGAGGAAGAAGCGGAAACCGAGGTCAAGCCAAGGCGGCGGAAGCGGGGCGACGATGACGAGCCAGCCGACGACGACGACGACCAGCAGCCCGTGTCGAAGCGGACTCGCCGCGCTGCGCGACAAGTCGTCGGCGCTCCGCCCCCCGCCGCCCAGGAGGTGGTGACGGCACCACTGTCAGCCCTCCCCACCGTAGAGGAGCAGTCGCGGCTCGCGGAGGCTGCCCTCGCAGGTGGGCGAGAGGAAGTCGTCGAGCCCCTCGCGGGGCCGGCGCCTGGTGGGGTGGCACCCGCCAGAATAGTTGTCCGGAACCGTCCGTCGAGAGAGGAGCTCGAACGTGACGTTCGGAGGAGGTTGGCGGAGGGGTGGGGGTTGGAATGGGAGGGATGGGAGATGGGGGCGTAGGTGAGGGAGGCAGAGGAGGACGCGGAGGAGAGAGAGCTGGAGGAGAAGGCGGATGAGGAAGGAGAATTGTCACGGCCGGATTCGCCCCCCAAGGGGCGAGTGAAGGCGCTGAAGAAGCAAGGGCCGCCTCGTAGCCCCTACATGCTGCGTAGCCGAACCAGGAAGGCGTGATGGGCGAGGTTGGCGCCAACTGCTGCCTTCCATGTTTGAGTCATGTAAATTTCCAGGGGAAGGTTTACTATCAGCGGCGGACTTTGGTTCGCAGTGGAGTTACAGTATCAGCGAAACTCCTATTTTCATTGTTTTCATCCCGCATTTGGCAGCCTTGGCGCCATCTAATAAACATCGTGGCCATCAACGCGCTTGGAAAGTGATCATGGAAGCTACCTAGGTGCCCTAGGTGCCCCTCCCCGCCTGGAGGAATTCCGTTGCACTATGGACGTTCATCTGTCGTGGCTGGGCTCACCTCGGAAGGACTGACACACCCTCAGACCTGCATATTCCAGAACCTCAACACATTGTGGAGGCAGATACCTCAAGGTTCTGGCTACAGAAACGTCATAGCGCCAGTACAGATAGGTTACGTGGGTAGGACTTTACAGTAATGCACGTGTAAATGTATCGGTTCGGACACAAAAGTGTTGTTGCGATAATCAGACTTTTTGGTATTTTCCCCCCACCGCCCTTCGTTTTGGTGTCCATCTAAGGTACCGGGGCTTTAAGCTGCCCCCAGAGCAACCAACTAACGCCGACTGACGAGGGATCATATCGTCCTGAATGTAAGGGGAAAAAGGGAGTGGGTGTTTGCCCTAATACAAATACTTCCTCCCCGGTCTCATGACTGTTATGACCCTGCTGGTTTCGACGGCGGGCAAGCCAGAAGCACTGCTCGCTATCCAGGCCCCTTTCTTCGTCCCCGTTTTTTGTCCTCCATCTCTATCTCGAGCCACCCATCCCCCCCTCCCTCTTCTCACGTCCGAACCTCCAGTAATTAGATTGTCGTCCATCATTCCTGCGGCTGCTGCGGCGGCTGCTGCTGCTGCTGCCACAGTTCAGGAGGAATCGCGTCGGGTGCGGAGACGGTGAGGAGCAGCTTGTACCCAAGGTCGCCCTCGGGATGGAGCGGATACACGGTAGCCTCCATGGTGTTGCCGTCGAAGACGACCATGTTCTGGATGGGCTGCTGGGCGCGGCCGAGCACGTTGATGACGTCCTGCGCGAGCTGGCCGCCCAGGACGGCCGTGACGGGCGCCACCTCCGTGCCGATGCTCTGCATGAAGCTGCGGAGGAGCTCGCTGCGCAGCGTCTCGGACGGCAGGCCGAGCGCCTTGTGCTTCTCGTTGACCAGCATGGTGAACCTGGTCAGGTCCTCGCGGCTGTGGCTGGGCGGCCGGCCCGTCTCCTGGACGAAGGACCAGAGCGCGCGCAGGCAGCTGAGGGCGGGCGTGACGGCGCGCTTGCGGCGCGCCGAGGCCGTGATCTCGCGTGGCAGGCCCGCGGCGTCCGAGGCGAGGAACCAGGTGCTGTACAGCTCCCGCTTGGTCACCAGCTCGACCTTGTCGTCGTCCTGCTTGGCCGACACGGCGACGACGGAGCGCGTGTGGGTCTCGGGCCCGACCGCCGTCGGCATGTTGGACCGCGCCCGCTCGATCACGTAGTCGTGCTCGATCAGGTCGGCGAAGATGAAGCCGAAGAGGCCGTGCGACCCGGCGGCGTAGAAGGCCCGTTTGTTGAGCCGCGTGGCCGTGTTGATCACATTGAGCGTGTTGGGGTCCAGGTCGGTGGCGATAACGATGTCGAAGGGTGCGAAGAAGCTGGGGCCCTTGGACCGTATGTCCGCCGTGTCGACGTGCACGGCCACGCGCGGGTTGAGCCGCCGGATGGCGGCGCTGGCGGCGAGAGCGCGGTTCGTGCCAACGTGGCCCTCCTCCGCCGAGAGGAAGAACTGCGCGCCGAGGTCCGCCTCGGTCACGTCCTCGTGGTCCACGATGGTGAGCGACCCGATGCCGGCCAGGACGAGGTTCTTGGCGATCTCGTTGGCCAGCGCCTTCATGGTGATTAGGAGCACGTTGGCGTTGCGGATCCTCTCCTGCGCCTGGATGCCCCAGAGCCGGATTTGCCTATCATAAAGCGCGATCTCGTCTGGCCAGAAGAAAAGTGTCAGGACGCGGCGGCACCAAAGATGAGAAGGATGGGCTTCCTCTTACCGGCACTTATCCCGTTTGAAGGCGCCGGAATCGCCGTGCCATTGCTCTCGGCAGCCAGGGCAATGGCCACCCCATCGTCAAGAACCGGTGCAGGCATCTCAGACTCGTGGTGTAATAGTGAAAACAGCTGAAGATGAAAATGAACAGGGACTGTGGGATGTGGGATGTGAATGTGGATGTGGATATCGGCTCTTCTTTTATATCACAGCCCTCGAAGATATATCGCTTGTCAACCTAGGTATGCAAGGCTCACAGGGCGCAGAGCTCCAACAGAAGGGTGCCTGCGTCAAGGCAGGGAAGGCGCGATGAGAGTTTTCTATGAGGTTAAACCGTCAAACCAAAACATGCATCTAAATAAGTAACCAACCTACCTAGGCACCTGTATCTCGAAACCTTCCACAGCTCTGGCCCACCTAGATTTCACCTAGATTGAGAGCATGCATCGAGACAGGCAATGAATTGTGACAGCCAAGGCTACCCTGCAGCACTATTCTCACCGGTTCCCTGTTATCTCAGCACTGCTCAGATCGTTGCGAATTGCGATTCTGCAGCCTGTAGAGAACAGTGAGACAATGGTATCTCGCACCGTAAGATGAGCGGAAAATAAAGTTTAAGAGGTACCAATCGTTTGCTTCCATTTTACCAGAGGGTAGGTGGCACAATGATGAGATCATGAGGTACCCGCTACCAATTTCGCCGAAGAATCGCCCCAATTAGGCACGTCGAAACCCCCGCCATACGGGATTCTACTGTGGCCTCCATTTCCGGTGCCTCATTCACGGTGCACACTGATCTCGTTCTCCACAGCCTCACAAGCCAAGCAACCTTCTATTATCCTCGCACAATCCAAAAAGTCATCCCGTTAAACTTGGCTCGAGGTCTGGAGGCTTCCCGTCTTTTTTGTCTCCTTTAACCCTTGTCCTTTGTTACTTCATGGTGAGTCGCTCCGTCGTTTTCGATGGTCCCTTATTCTAGTCTGTTGGTCTGCCAAGTTATGGGGCACCAGGTCGACTAGGAGGCTCCAAAGGATTTATCTCCTGCTACCTCAAAGAGCCTCCCACGTGTCCCATAGCCTGCCTTGGATCGTGGTTCTCCCAAGCATGTCCTTTGGTATTCTTACTTACGTGCCCCTCCAATCACCTAGTTTGGGAACCGTTCCCAACGCTCGCCGCCCGACCGACGACGATACCGCACTGCCCACGAGATCGTCAGCTCCATCCTCGATGACAGGCCCTCAACTGCTCCCGTCAGCCCTTCCGGAGAGTTGTATAGAGCCATAGAGAGATATATTGGTCGAGTTCGGCCAGAATCATCTGCTGGCCGGCCTTCTGGAACCAGCATGTCCGCAGGCCCAGAAGGGGACCTTCGACGAAGATTCAACCAAGATCCCCAGACGTCCAACGGACCCCCTCGGAACGTCACCCTACCGGGAATCTCGAGCATCCCTGAAATTGCCGCCCCCCTCCCACCTCTCCGCTCTCTGGGGACTGCAAGGGGCTCTGGCATGAGCACACCTGGGGGTTCAAGCGGACGCCCCACCCGCTATCGATCAAGTGATAGGTATCTTGAGAGACATCATCGGACCAACAACGTGGACAACAGGAACATGAACCCGAGATTTGAGGACTTGGATCGGAACCTTGAGGACGCCAACTCGCACCTGCGAGCTCTACTCGACTTTACCAACAACAGCCCCATAATACCGCCCTTGATGTCGCCCTCTGTGCCCCCCCAGGATCACGCCGAGGAAGGTCGGCGGACTAAGCGGCGGAAGCTGGATTCCGAGAGTGGCACCCATACATATCGAGGCTTTCGTTACGGGAAGTACGGCCAGGTCGAGCCTGGCCGGCTGACTATGGAGATCGCCAGCTGTGACGGGGGCCTCTACTCGAATGGGGATGGTTATGTGGCAGAGAACATCTTAAAAGATGATGCCTCCGTGTACTGCACGAAGGGCAACCGGTGCAATATTGTTCTTCGACATCAAGGAGCCACTGTATTCAGCCTCCAGGAACTGGTCATCAAAGCCCCGGGATCTAATTATTCTTACCCGTAAGATATCTTTGGTCTTCGATGAGAAGACGTGGTTTGCTGACGGCTGCCCAGAGTACGAGAGGGGATGATCTTTGTTTCCATGGAGTCGGACGACCTTCTTGCCAGAACAGCACAGTATCAGATCCAGTACCTCCCGTCTCGGATTTCGGAACGGGGCGAACGAGAGCGGCGCAACACAGCAGCGGTCTACTCGATCTTACACCACGAAGATGGAACCCCTATCACGAGACTGCAGTCGAGGCAGCGGCGGCAGCACGCCGCTGACATAGACGAGGATGAAGAGGATGAGCATGATAGAGTTGCGCAGATTCCGGCCGAGTTCACTGTGTCGCCTCCGCCATTTACCATAACAACGGCGTGTAGCGATGACGAGAGCGAATCCGAGGTCGTTGTTAGCGATCTCGGGTTTAGGCGTGCACGTCGGCGGGCGCCGAACCGCATCGGCTCGCTGCCGTTTGAGAGCGACAGCAGCGAGGGCGGTGATGTATGGGGCCCATCGGGCTCAGCCTGGTCTACGTTCGATGGGCTGGCGCGCGAGCACTATAACCGGGAACGTGATGGGGCCGGCCTAACGCTGGCAGAGGCGCGGGACACGGCACAGATCGCAACCCAGGAAGCTGTTCGTGCGGTCGGCGGAGGCCTTATGACGCCCCTAGCACGCTTTTACATCGAGAAAGACAAGAACAAGTGCACGATCCAGTTCGACCCGCCCGTCAGTGGGCGATTCATCCTCTTGAAGATGTGGAGTCCGCACCACGGACCGTCGGCCAACATCGACATTCAGGGGGTTATTGCGAAGGGGTTCGCGGGACCGCGTTACTTCCCGGCGGTTGAGCTTCGGTAGTATCTGTTCTGATGGTGCAGGCATAGTTCTGGGAGTTCCTGTGGTTTTGCGGTGGCGGGCGTTTTATGATGAGGGTTTGGGGTTACGATGGACGGTCCTGAGCGACCTCTTCACGGTTCAACATGATGTCGATATTCGAGCTAGATAGGTATCCTGGCTTGACAACCAACCCGAGTCTTTCTCCAGTCCTACTCCAGCACTGTACGTGCTCCCCTCTCGACCTCGTCTATGTATCTCATTTCTCGACTTGTGGATTGTGGCTGGGCTTTATGACTCACGGCCTAACATCGGTATATGAGTGAGAGGTGAGATTGCGGGCTTCCCGATTGGCTTCAGGACAGGAGGATTCTGTAATCTGTCGGGCCCTGGACATGAGACAAAACCCTTGACTACAAGCAGGAGGTTCCATCATATGGATAGTAACACAAGAAAGGAAAAGAGCGGCTCAAGCGAAGGTACGAACATTCAAGAGTCACTTCGGTAAGGTACTTAACCTGAGTCTGTGAGTCAAAAGGTCATGCCTGACTCCTGAGTCATCAGCTCTGGAAAAGTGTTAGCTCAAGCTGAGGGGGGCGAAGAACCAAGTTAAGAACCCCACAACCACAGGCGGCTGGCTCTGCTTAATAACCAATACTATCCCATCCAAAAATTCCATCCAAGCCTCATACTTTGGACACCATCGACGACAATCCACAAGCTCAGCGAGTCCACAACCAAAACTTCTCACACCCCTTCGATCCATTTCCACTTACCCTCTTCAAACTTATTTTACTCCGAGAAAACAAAGAGAGCCACTATGGCGGTTCGCGCACAATTTGAGAACTCCAACGAGTACGGCTGCCCCACCATCGCATCCTGCTACCCCGCCATGAGCCCGAAGTGCTTTTGCTGACATGCGTGCCTCGCCATAGGGTTGGTGTGTTTTCAACCTTGACAAACTCGTATGCTCTGGTTGGCATTGGTTCCAGTGAGAATTTCTACAGGTTCGTGCCTCTCTACATGGCTCAAGGGCGCCTTCCTGGCTTGCGCCATGCTGACCGATCACCTACCCGCCAGTGTATTTGAAGCCGAGCTGCAAGATGTCATACCGATCTGTCGGACTACCATTGCTGGCACAAGAATCGTCGGCCGGTTAACAGCAGGGTAAGAGCAGCCCTGATCTCTCCTCGGACCTTCCCCGAACCTGTCTGGGCACCAATGGCCATCGCGGCAGGGAAACTGACAAACTGGAACAAAAGAAACCGCAAGGGCCTTCTCGTCCCTACCAGCACATCCGACCAAGAACTCCAACATCTGCGCAATAGTCTCCCCGACGAGATCCGGATACAACGGATCGAGGAGCGACTGTCGGCGCTCGGTAACGTCATCGTCAGCAACGACCACATCGCCCTAATCCACCCAGACCTGGAGCGGGAGACGGAGGAGATCATCGCCGACGTTCTCGGCGTGGAGGTGTTCCGGCAGACCATCGCGGACAACGTGCTGGTGGGCAGCTACATGGCGCTGTCGAACCAGGGAGGGCTAGTCCACCCAAAGACAAGCATCCAGGACCAGGACGAGCTTAGCAGCCTGCTGCAGGTGCCGCTCGTGGCGGGGAGTGTCAACCGCGGTAGCAACGTCATCGGCGGCGGCATGGTCGTCAATGACTGGCTCGCCGTCACGGGCCTCGACACCACGGCCCCCGAGTTGAGCGTCATCGAGAGCGTGTTCCGACTGGGAGAGGGCGCGGGCCCGAGCAATATCAACACGAGCATGAAGGAGACCATGGTAGAGTCGTTCTACTAGATTGGTGAGACGGAAAGGAAGGAGAGTAAGGCGGCGGCTCCATCGATGATGCTTGATGGTTGGTTGTTGATATCTGAGGGATACCCTTCCTCGACAACTAGACGAGGAGAAGGCATGAGGCGATGACAGACAATGCCGCAAACTGCGGACTAAGAAAGACACGGGACCTTCCCCTGCCTCTGATTACGCTCTCTCCAAAGATTTTTTTTTTGGGCGGGCTGGTTTTCTCTTGGCCAGTTAGCGACGGCTCTCCTATTCTTCGAGCATGTACACTACGAATATGGCCATGAAGAAAATCATCGAGCACTGTCGATTCCGTCGGCGCAAAATGAGGACCCGCATTGTGTTTATGCAATCTGTGATGTCAAGCTTCGAGACGATGCTATGCAATTCGCGGCCTATAAACCCCGGATCTTGAGCGGTGGAAGTGAGTAGACAATGCTCTTGACTAGGTAGGTACTATGGGGACTGGACTTCGTCCACGAGGCAAACATTACCCACACTGGTAGGTGCCTACCTACGCCTACGTCCCACCTAGTAGCCGCCGAGCCTCGCTGCTAACCAGCAAGTAACAAGACTCCCTCCACTCGGACAACCTGCCCATTGCTTTCCCGGACGACTCGGTCCTCTCCCGGGTGGAAGAGGGCGAGACCCGCGAGCCATCGGCGTGGAAGCAAGTCGGCGACACCCTCTCCTATGTCTCTCGGTACATGCTGGGGGGGTGCCAGCCCGCTTACCCCCTGCTCTTTACAAAGCAGGACAGGCACGCATCGGCGGCGAGCATGGCGGGAGTGTCATGCCGATGCAATATCGAGCGCCGGAGGTTATTCTCGATATGAAATGGGGACACCCGGTGCATGATTGGAGCGTCGGGCTCTCAGCATGGAACCCCCCCTCTGCTTTGGCCGGAAACGAGAAGACTCAATTCGTTGACTTCAGCCAGTCGCTTCTCTGCTGGCTTCCGGGGGACCGGCTCACCGTCGGGAAGGCTTACTACCATCCTTGGTTGCGACTGAATTCTTGAGCGGGGACCATCCTCGCGCCAGGTCGAGTTTGCAATGCGGCAGTCTAACAAGGAAACGAGGCATGTTTAACCAAGGACCATCGACGGAATAAGTCTGGCAACTTGCCCCAGCGCACGGATACCTAGCTCCCGCTACGTAGCCGGAATTAGAGCAATGGGGAGCCCCCAACATCCGATTCGCACATGCATACGGCATGAATGCTTCTTCGTTGGCTGCTGAGTGGCCGAGCCGAGTCCCGATTCTCTGAGTCATTTACAGCCCAGAGCGACAGCGAGCTATGCCATATATGCAGCGTGAGTTGTCGGGCCGTGGTTCGTCATGGTTAGACATGGACTTCGTAACTGAAAGCTCGAGTTCAGCTGCCTTTAGCTTCATGTTGCCTGCCTCTTGCAAGTGGCTTCGGTTGGCATGTGGGACTGCATAGTGGGGATCCCTGCAGATGCAGCTGCTTCGCCCAGCCGTCATATGCTGTGTAAGCTCCATAAGAGTGTGGGATTCGTAATACTGGGCTGCTCTGTTTACCTATTTACCTTCCTACGTAATCGTGCGTTGTTGCTGATTTTCCACAACCTCCAGGAACACTTGCACTTTGCATTTCTACGCCCTCAAATCGTTGCCAGCCAGCTTGTCGTCGCCTCGCATAGACACTATACACTAGTCAAAGCGATATAAACACCTACTTATGGTTTGCTTCGGAGCATAGCTTCGTCCCTCTTGGTTGCATTGTCTGGTTCACCCGGAAATCCTGGCCCTGTAAGAGCAGGCACCCCGGGTCGAGCAGCACGCACGCATTGTTTCCTTTATCAAAGGGAGATCCCAAGTACCCGGCAGCCACAAATCACCAACCTGGAATCATCAATTTGGCCCCCTTCTCGCCGAGTGCTGAGCTGCCACACAGGTTCATGCAGTCTCGCAGCCCGTGTCTGTTGACTTGGATTGAGAGCGCGGAAGCTCTGGGTTGGCCTTGACGAGTTTCGGGCCTCCTTATATTTGCTCCCCTTGGGGAGTCTCCACCTCCCGCCTTATCAAACTTTTGACACAGAAACTGGCCACTTTTAGCCGTGTCGTTCGTTTATGGAAACAGTTAAGGGGATCCAGCGGGGCCTTTGTGTAGGCTCAATTGTTCACACCATCCAACCCCGCAACGGGCTCAACCATCCCCAACAGCGACCTTTCGGCCGGGATCGTCTCCTGCCCCACCCCCCAAAACTTAATCCATCATGCTAAGCAGCCGGGCGACTGCTCCCTCCGCCCTTCCCGACTTGGCCCCCTGTCAGACATCCGCCCAGGCCTTGCGAGGATCCTCGGCCCAGATCTTTGAAGATGACCAGCATGCTTTATCTTCTCGCGACCAAGGGGACCTGCGCGTGATACTACCCGGAACCCCACCGAGGCGCGAACAAGCTTCCAAAACTCCGCGCTCTGCTCTTCAACCTCTCCAAGAATACCACAGCGGCTTCTCAGATGTGGACATCGGATTCTCCGCTCCTCGCCCGTCTCACCACCGCCGGCAGCAGTCCTTCCCAAACCTATTCCCCAACGTCCTTGGGCACAGGACCCCATCCCCGACCGGGAAGACGCTGAGGTTTGCAGAGGAGATGCCTTACACGGGTGACTGGAGGCCTGGGAAGGCCGAGAGTCCAAGAGGCGGTCTAGCTGGCTGGCTAGGTGGCAAGGCGTCCGCGGGTGCATTGGGCGTGTCGCCAAACCCGGAAGACCTCACTCTGGATACTCCTCCACGCTCGAGGGCCGACCCTTGGCAGCCGAATCCAGACACGACACCAACGAGACTGCGAAAAAGCCAGCCGGCGAGCGGCGATTCCCCAACGCCCAAGAATACGGTAACATCGACGGCTTCGAGGTTCATCTCGGCCATCTCGAGATTTACTCAAGCACCCGCGAGCCCCACGCTCGACGACGAGCTGTGCAATTTCGACATCGAGGCGGCCCTATATCCACCCGGGTCGCCCACGGATCGTGATGCCTTCTCACCCGCCGCCTTCAAGAACCTCCAGACGAATGCGACGGGCCTGTTGTCGAAGATGCAAAACGCCTATCGCCAGCGAGTCATCGCCGTCCGAGATTTAGAAGCCGAGAAAGCAGCCCAGAAAGATGAACTAGAGGAGGCGGAGACTCGCGCAGCGCACCTGAAAATGCAGTTGGAAGGGATGGCTCTTAGGGCGGCGGAACAGGAAAAGGGGATGCAGCAGCTGATGGACCAGCTCATGGCCGAGAAGAAGGCCAGGGCGGAGGAGAAGCTGGCCCGGGAGAAGAGCATCGCCCTCATGGCCGGGGGGCCCATGGTCTCGGAAGACATGGGCGTCGATGTCGACCAGCTGCGGCGGACGTGGCGGAAGAGCGGCGACACTGTCAAGACGGACACGAGCTTCGAGTCGGACGACGAGAGCGCGGCGAGCGAGAGCGTCTTCTCGCGGTCGCGCAGTCCGACGATCCCTCCGAGCACTGTGGACGGCAGCATCATGGACGCGCCGAGCTCCCAGGCCAGGGGTAGCACGCTCAGTCCCCCGAAGCAAAAGCCGGGCCAGCAGATGAGCACGTTCCAGAAGATCATCAAGGGTATATCTGGAGATGCGGACGAGAACGGCGTGAACGGTTGCCAGAATTGCAAGGGCCAGGATGCCAGTGTCGCATGGGACACGGTCAGTGTGCTGAGAGACGAGAACAAACATTTGAAGCAACGGGTCGGCCAGCTGGAGGCGGCCGTGGAAGGCGCATTGGATTTGGTTAACGGGATAGGGCTGTGAGATACGAGTTGGCTGGCATTTTGTTGGATCTTCCCAGGCGTTTTGGGGTGGTAACGGGGCAACCAGGTAGATTGGGCAAGGATACGGGATACACCTGTTCGTGGACACAGTGATTCAGGTTCAAAGTTATATAGATCACGTATTGGCGTATGACAGGGTACACGCGCCCCAATTATACAGACGAATCAGAAATACACCCATCCTAGAAGGATTCCAAGCTTGAGGAGCAATATTCGCCAGAACAGCTGCTTGTAGAGAATAGTGAGAACGGGAAATTCCCATTTTGTGATCGGTACCTCTTGTCAGGGGGGAGGCACGGGTTTATTCAGCCCTCAGCTCAAGCGTCAGCACCCGTAGCTTGTCCTTTCCCCAGCAAACTTCAGCTCGCCCCGGGAGCATCGCAGGTTCAAGACTTGCACATATGCAGCACGCAGAGGTGTCTGGTCTGGCAATGCTTCATCCCACATCTATATGTACAGTGTCCCCTCCACAGGTTCGCCTCAGTGCTCAGTGGTGACCTTCCCCGTGGCCCTCGCCGTGGTGCTCATCCTTCATGAAATAATGCTCGTACGCGCAGTATGCCACGAAGGCCGCCGTGCCGATGCCGAGTCCGGGAAAGGCGCCCTTGAACCGGTTCCATCTGGTGAAGATTCCCCTATATCGCCATGCCTCCCTGCTGCCGAGTCAGTTCCCTAGGTCAATTGAGCTCCTGGAATCTCGGGTTGCACGAACGATCTCTCCCACGGATCGTAACGCGGGGTCCCTGTCGAGGCGACAAACTTCCTGACGTCGAAGCCGGTAATGTTCGGGCGCTCGCCGTGAGGTTGGTAGGATCGTAATATTCTGCTCAATCAATTGCGCGACGCCTTAGCATGCCAATTCCGTGTAATCTTGACATAAATAAATTCTGCGCCGAGGGCTGTGTTACATACCTTGTTGGATGCATTGTGACTTGCCAATTGTCTCGTCGTCAATCGATGATGTCCACACCACCGAGGCAGGGTAGTCGTCCTAAGTCGGTTCTGGAGATGGGACCTAGTGGGCGTGTGGCCCGGACTAACTTTGGCGCGGCAAGAAAGGCCAATGGTCCGTGCGCAAGCCAGGCGCGCGGATCTGTCACCCGCCTCTGCTGGCAGACCTCCATGCCTCCTTCCATCCGACCTATTTCACAGCTCAAGGACAACTCACTCAAGACAAAATCGCGATTCTCGAGTTCTTCTCTCGTGTTAAAAGAGCGAACACACAAGATATTGCTAACCCACCCAGCGCACGCTCAGCACTGGCCAAAGCTTTCCGAGTTTCCTCCCAGCTCAGGAATGGTTGATTTAGCAGCCGCCCTCACAGACACAGCTCTTAGGATACGGACACTGCGATAGAGGATTAAACCAGCGGCGTGCAGAGTGATGCCTCCAACGCTCAATCGGTTCCCAAGCGGGCCGGCGACCATTTCGCCCTACCACCAGCAGTTCCCTTCCCACGGCCAACACTCAACGACTCATCCCCCGCCCTTGACCGCCAACCCGTCCTACCTTAATCCCAACTCCCAGATCAACGCCTTTACAGCGAATGGAAATTTGTTAAGTTTGGCGGGGGGGCTGAACTCTGGCGGTGCGTTTGGCATCGGTGTCGGTGTCGGCAACGAATCGGGACTTGCGAGCCACGCCGCGCGCATGAGCTTCGCCCATGCCGGTAACCTCCAACAACAGCAGCAGCAGCACGCCCAGCAGCAAAGCCATGTGCTGGGCGAGCACCAGACAAGGAGTCAGGCCAAGAGCCGGATACGCGAAGTGTGGAAACACAACCTGCACGAGGAGATGGCGACCCTGCGCGACCTGGTGGACAAATACCCGTATATTGCCATGGTGCGGAACAAATGCTCTGCCCGAGGGTAACACTGTGATCTGGATAAGGCTGACGTGCGCGCGTTAGGATACCGAGTTCCCGGGCGTCGTGTCGAGGCCAATGGGCGGTTTCCGGGGCAAAAGCGACTACCACTACCAGTGCTTGCGGACGAACGTGGATATGCTGAAGGTCATCCAAATAGGTCTGACCTTGTTCAACGAGGCTGGGGAGACACCTCCTGCGAGGCCGAATTCCTCGGACTCGACAGAGCTGACTGGATCCGGGCGGAGAGGCGGCAATACCGGGCCATTCCCCTATGCCTGGCAGTTCAACTTCAAATTCTCCCTGAAGGATGACATGTTCAACCAGACGTCCATCGAATCTCTGCAACAAGCAGGGATCGACTTCGCTCTGCTCGAGCGGGATGGAATCGACCCTCACGAATTCGCCTCCCTCCTGATCCCGTCCGGGCTGGTGTGTTTCGACAACGTACGGTGGATCAGCTTTCACGGGGGCTACGACTTTGGCTACCTGACAAAACTCTTGATATGCCGGCAGCTCCCCAACGACGAGGTCGAATTCGACCAGATCATGAAGCTCTACTTCCCCTCTACGTACGACGTCAAGCATCTCATGAAGCACGCCATCAAGCTCCACAACAGCGGCATGCTCACCCCGAGCGATCCCAGCTCAGCCGAGATCCTCCAGAAGTTTGAGCACAAGTCCGGCCTCGAGCACATCGCCGAGACCCTCAAGATCAAGCGCGTCGGCAGCGCGCACCAGGCCGGCTCGGACAGCCTGATCACGGGGAGGGTGTTCTTCGCCCTGCGCGAGAAGATCTTCAACGGCGAGATCTCGGACGACCACCTGGGCAAGGTCTGGGGCCTCGGCATCCCCGACTTCTCCCTCGTGGGCATGACCATCGGTGCCGGCCAGGCCGAGAACACCCCGTCCAACAACAACAACGGCCAGAACGGCACGCAGAACGGCGCGCCGAGCACACCCAACACGGCCAACGTCGGCCTCGCGAGCACGCCCGCCGCCCAGTCGCACAACACCAACGGCATGAGCGGCCTTGGGCCAATGACGCCCGGCGGCGGGGGCGGCGTCTTTGGCGCGTTTGCGTTTGGCGGGAATGCGAGGTAAAAAGGGCTCGGGGGCGACGGCGGGGTGGGGATGCTACTTCCAACAAGGCGGGGGTTTTCAGACGACTTATTATCTCTCGGGCGAGGGGGCGGGTGTTCCCAGGGGTTTTTCGGGGCGGAGGGGTTTTTGGCTTGACTCCTGCTCTTTCATCTTGTAGGTCAAAGGGAATCCTAAAAAAAACGGCTCCTTCTTTTCGGGTGCTTCTGTTTTTATTCGCTGGGCGGGTCATGCTATCTCTCTCTAAATACCTATACTGTCTGTCAAGCCCTGATGGATATGCTTCCTACAGCTGGAAGTCGCTGTGGTTCTCTCTCCATCCCTACCTATCCTCCATCTATCCTCCAAAACCAACATGACCGGGAACCGTCGTTTCTGTATTTATATTATGCTCTGGTGTGTGTATGTATGGCTTCCGGTTCTAGCGGACTTTGGAGGGAAGGTTGAGCGCTGTTTCTGTGTGAGTGCATACTTAGGTAGGTAGCAAATCAAGGCCATGAACGTTGGTTGATTAAGACTCATGGACACGAGTGAGCCCCTGGATGTATGGATAGATGTATAAGGAGGTGGGTGCCTGGCTCCTTTTCATGTTGAAGCCCTGCCTGTACCGTAGGAGATCCCAATACGTTGGGTGCTGGGTTCGTATCTACAAAGAGCGCTCGAAATACCCCAAAAAAAAGCAAGAAAAACAAAAGAACGCAACCAAGTTAAGCCCCCAATACGCCCGTCCCTCGGAACGCCGCTGGATGCAATCTTCGTGTCCAGTTCCCAATACGCGCTGAAAGGAGTATGCCACACTTACTCTCCTGGCCAAAGCAACGCCATCATCAGTAGATACAGCAAACGGCTCCAGGAAACCCAATCTCCGTTCCGCCTGATGTGTCGTTGGATTCTATCCCAATCTTCCCACAACCCCACCATCCTTTCCCCCTTATATCAGGTGATGAACACCTTCTTCATCTTATCCCGCGGATAGATATCCCCCGTGACCAGATCCTTGACTAGCCCCTGCGGCAGGTTCGTCTTGACGGCGTACTCCTCCAGGCGGGCCTTGCCGTAGACCCTCCCGTTGGGCAGCAGCATCAGGTCGTGCTCGACGTGGCTCTTGCTGTGGTGGGCGTAGGGGACGTGGCGGGCCAGCTCGTTCAGCTCGGTCGAGCAGATGGGGCAAACGCTGGCGGTCAGGCTCATGCTGTGCGACGGCTGCGACGAGCTGGTGGCGAGCCAGCCGTGGCAGGCGGGCGTCTTGAGGGCGGAGAGCCCCGACGAGAGCGCGACATGAAGGAGCGGGTAGGAAGGGAGGGCGAGAAGCCTGTTATGGTCCCTGGCGAAGAGGTCCGATAGCATCGTCCAGCGTGCCGGGCTGTAGAGCTCCGAGTAGGGCCAGGGGGCCATCGAGGACACCGTCGCGGACGGTTGGCCGGGGCTGGCGTGGTCGGGGTGCGGGCGGAAGGCGAGGAGCCCGGCTGCCTGGTTGACGAGGACTGGGTACCTGTCGCGGTAGGGGATCAGATACTTCTTTGCGTGCGCGATGGCCTCGAGGAGCTTGGGCATCGACTGGGTTCGCACAAGCTCAATGTACTGCTGGAAGCGAAGCAGGAACTCGAGACAGGACTAAAGAGCATGGTCAGGCAAATCTCTTTTGGGAGGTGAAATATAGCCGACACAGAGGCAGACGGGGGGGTTGATACGTACGTCCATCTTGCGCAGCTCTTTCTTATTGTCGTTGCACCAGGCCAATGCCTCAGTGACACTGCCCTCCTTGAGCGATTTGCGGATCTTGTTCATGGCCACGAAGGTCTCTATATCCACCAAGTCCCCGATCTGGCGTTCGTCGGCGAGAGCAGAGGCAGAGGCGCAATAACCGTGCCGGAGGAGGTAGTCGACCAGAAGCCTGTCAAGCCGCTGCTGTGACCAAGCCTCATACTTGACATCCTCAATAGTGTGCATGTCCGATATCTCCTGGAGGTGTGCAAACCGAGCATTGATCTGCTTATACAGCCGCGCCTCCTCGTCGGCATATCCACCGAGCTTCTGTTTCAGGCCCCTCATCTTTGCCAGCATCGTATCGAGGCTCTTGAGGACATCTTCGGGCGAGTTCTTGCCGTTTAACGAGCCGGTCGCGGCATCCTTTAACAGGCCCTTCACTGTTGTCGAATCCTTCTCGAAGGTCCAATGCGCAGACCGGAAGTTTTTTCGCAGAAGTTCGTATGGCAATCGGAGGAGTGGTTGGTCCTACATAGAAGGGTAATGAGCATTGCGTACCCCCACTAGGATACAGTTATGCAGGTTGGAATGATGGGGCAAAATTCCCCCTTCAGTAAACCCAGTTGCACTTACGAGAAGGAGATGATTGTCATGGTTAATCTTGGATACTTCGTAGTCTCCCATCGTGAAGCTGTATGAATAGGTTACGGCATCTACAAGAACGATCAGGTAAAACGAAAGAGGAGGAATCAGAGCTCCATCATGCTGTCACGAGCGAGCTAGGTGGATTTGGGACTGGAAGGAGAGGGTGGTGTTATCGTTATCAGCACGTGGGGGGGTTGGCCACAGAGTCGACCCCACTTCCGCGCCTCCCGCCAACGCTTGCAATAGCCACAAGGCCAGCCTGACAAACAAGCAGAATAGGGAGACGGGACTTCTTTTTTTGGGAGGAGTACATCTAGTCATCTAATCAAGTGCTGCCTACCTACCTCCCTAGGTACCTACCTATGTATTGGATGGCAAGCTCCGCCACCATGTAGTGTAGGTAGATAAGTCTTGACGATGGGTTGCTAGTGTCTGTCTTTGTTCAGCAGAATGGTGGGGAGCCCCGTGATATCAGGGGGAGCCTTGTAGCTCGGAGATGGTGGGGCAGCCGACCTTGGCATGCTCTCTGAGGAGTGTGAGGCCCATCACTTGACGCAGCGAAAAGGGCCACAAGTGAAACAATGGGATGGTAATCTGTCGAGTACACTTTACAATGATAGTGCGACAGCCAGAGTGGAACTCAGGGCTATTCCTCAAGTTGAGGGACTTCCATCTGGAGAATACCTAGGTAATGTAGGTTCCATGTAAGGATATCGGGATATTCTTATCAAACTGCCTTACATAAGATTACGAGGTTAGCCACGATGATATCACAAAATACATACGCGGTGGCGTCGCCAGCCAGGAAGGTTTTTGGCTTGAAGAGCCGAGTCATATGACATCCTTGTTCATTGTCCTCTGCAGCAACACAAACATTAGGAGTGTGCACCCACATGCTGGTCATCCAAGGCGCTGGTGTGGTGTGGGGGGAAGTATTTCGCAATACGGATCTTGCCATTGCCTGAAGTGGCCCGTGCTCACACCAGAGAGTGTCTAGCCCCCTAGACACTGGTCTCTGATTGGGCAGTAGCCCTTACTCTTGCCTGAGGTGACGGCCAACCTATATATACTTCACGTGGTCGCCCGCTCACCTGACTTTCCTCCCTTCTCCCTCCCACTCAGGCCAATGTGAGATTTGCTTGTCAAGATCGATATATCAGCCCGGCAAAGCATATCTCGAGGCATTTTTTTCTCGACATCATTTTCCTTCGTTCTCAGGAACCCAGGATTGCCTACCTGTTGATGGGGATCGGCCTAAAGTTGTTGTCGCCGCAAAACACGTGCTGATTCACGATCCATCACGTTTTTTCGCGCACGTTTCAAAGCACATGATCTGAGCGAGACCAGATCACCAACAGGTACGCTAACGCATTTCACTCTGTCGAATGTTTGAATAGAGCGCGACGAGCATTTGTACTTTCAGTCAGATTTGATGATGGGCATGTTGCCGCAGTGTTCAAGCATTTTGAGTCTGTCGGAAAAGTTTGACAGGTTGTCGCAGCCTTATTGAGGAGAAGAGGGCACCCCAATCTTATCACACTTTCATCACCAGCCCTCCCAACGTTTCTCCACAGCCATCATGACCACTCTATGAATGCTTGAGCGTATGTTTGCCCCTTTTTTCCTGGCACTTTTTGTATTTCTTTCCTTCTGATTTCCTTCCTTTTTTTTCTCTTTTCTTTTTTCTTGTGTTTTCTTTTTTTCGCTTCAAATACACAAATCTGTTTTCATGATTGCGCCTGGGCTGGTGTCACCAGTTGGGCAAGACGGCGTATTCTCTGCATGCTGCATGCTGTAATCGAGAATAAGCTGTTCTCTGCTTTAAAATGGCAACGTCAACTTCTATTCAATGGCCGCTTCCCTACACACCAGTTATCACAGAGCCATTCACAACACCAGGCCTAATTCTTGTGAATCATCGCCATCCAGCCAGCAAGCCAGTGCATGTTATATTTCTGTTGCCAGTGACATGGCACCTTCTCCTATGACGTTTCTGTGGAGCTAAAACACCCCCTGTATCTCCGTGTACGCTAACAGTTCAGACAACCAGCACCGAGAAATACCCAGAACCTATTACTCAAATAACAGACCTCTGCCTTCAACCTTGCAAGTCGGTATGGCTGATACTCTCGGCGTGGAACAGCCTGATCTTTCTGGTGTTGGCATCACCTCAACGCACAAGCGCAAGCGTGACTCCGAGTCTGCATCCCCTGATTCCCGTCGTTCTAGGCGGGGTCAACCAGCGGCAGTTATGGGGGAGCCAGATGCTGCCACAGCAGCCTTCATCGAGAGTGCTGTTAACGCAGCTCAGGCTGCCCAGGAGCATGTCAATGTAGACGATTTCAGTGCTCTTCAGCAAGCTGCTGCCGATCACAGCGAGGCAGCTGATCCAGCCAATGCCTCCAGCACTGCCGCTGCCGCACTTGGGTCTATGTATCCCACTCTACATGTTCCACAGTCCACCGAGGAGACCTTTGCTGCCCAAACCGGTGCGGAAGTCGATCATCATCCTGATACCTCTTTCAACACGTCGGCTGTGAGTCAGCCCGATGGTCTCCCTGCTCCGACAGCTCCCATGCAGCACCCAAATGGTGTTCAGGAACAGCGATACAGTGGCCCTGCCAACCCCAAGCCAGCAGTTGGGTCTGAGGAATGGCACAAGATGCGGAAGGATAACCACAAAGAGGGTAAGATTCCCTCATTGCCCTTGATTGCCCCCTCGATACGTAAGCATAAACTTACATGCTTTCAGTCGAGCGTCGCCGCCGCGAGACCATCAATGAGGGCATCAACGAGTTGGCCAAGATAGTTCCTGGCTGTGAGAAGAACAAGGGGTCAATCCTCCAGCGCGCTGTTCAGTTCATCACACAGCTCAAGGAGAATGAGCAGCAGAACATTGAGAAATGGACTTTGGAGAAGCTGCTTACAGAGCAAGCCATTGCGGAACTCAGCACTTCTAATGATAAGCTCAAGCAGGAGTGCGATCGCCTCTATCGCGAGTTGGAGACTTGGAAGAAGGCTGCTCAAAGTGAGAAGGATGAGCCTGGTATCTCTGGCTAGGGAGCCTTTGGTAGGGGCTGAACTCTTTTCTTCGCTTGGCGTCTTGGTTTTTGTTTTCTTTGATCGCTTGCCTACAACTATACCCGGGTGTGGGATTTTTGCCGGCCCTTTAGTGTGTATTATCGCCGAGTTTTGGGACTTGGTTGGTCCCTTACTTGGTCGAAATAGGGATGGGGCTAGTTCATGGTTGGGAGGCTTCGTTGGCATTTCTTCTTCGGTTGGGTTGGTTTGGTAGGGATTTTGGCTCTTGGGGGGGGATTGTGCAAAGGCATCATCATGTGATGAAAATTGCTGCAGGATCTTGCAACCCCTGATGACCCGGCACTATGGAACAAACATATGACGAGGTCCAGGAGACACTAGGAGTTCGGAGTAGGATATGGAGTTGTCTGCCTGGCAGGCCTCAGCAAAGCATGTATTGCGCAATGAATGTCCCGAGACACTCGCCAGATTTACTATGATGCTGTACTGATGGTGTTATTAGCATGGTAAGGTTGTTACTTTGACCTTGGGAGGTAGTGGCGTTTGTTTTGCCTCGTGCCCATCAGTTGAGAAGTCCTTGTCAAGCGTGGAACTTCAACTTTATGACCCCTGCAGGGGCTAGACTCCAGTCTCGGTCACCTGGATAGGCTGATGAGTGCAGTCAACCTAACTTACCCCGCAAGCTTTGGAGGCGACCGTCGGACCTAGGTGGGGTTTGTTGGCAGCATTCCGCACCAGTGGGAATCTACCCGCTTCATGACGTCGGTACTTGAGCCAAGCCAACCCCTGTTGTTTGCGAGCTATCGTGCTGTTGTGACTCCTCGCCAACCCGCATTTGTGCAAGCCTCTCCACTTCCACATCATCAAGCCTCTTTGCCCCTCCTGCGAGCATCCTCTGAGGCTTCTAGGGCGCTCCTGATAAGCCGGCGATAGCCAGTCATACAACCACCTCCCTCCCCTCCCTGTTTCTGTTTCCCAATCGTGTGCGCCCTTGACGCGTCCGACAACGGTGGGCAAAGATATGAGCACAATGGCTGCAATACGAACCAGTGTACTAAGACGTTCCTTGAGCAGCCCTATTCAGAGTCTCCCACTCATTTCGGAAGCTGGCTCACTGCGAGCATTCCCCAAGATTTCTCACCGTCCATTTTCCATTTCGAGCTCCAAGATGACGTCGTACTATGCCGGCTGGGAGCCCGAGGGCCCGACCGTCAAGACGGAGATTCCTGGCCCGAAGTCAAAGGAGGCGATTGCAAAGCTGGACAAGGTCTTTGACACGAGGGCCTTGAACATGCTCACCGATTTCCAGAAGAGCTCTGGAAATTACATCGCCGATCCGGACGGCAACGTCTTGCTAGACGTGTTAGTCCCCCCCCCCCCTCTTTCCAATTCCTCCTCTCCCTTCGTTTGCGGAACGCAGTCTAACCTGCCTGCCCCCAGATATGCCCAGATAGCCTCCATTCCTCTCGGGTATAACAACCCGGCTCTTGCCAAGGCTGCGCGGAGCGATGAGATGGTGAGCAGTCTCATCAACCGTCCCGCCCTCGGCAACTTCCCTCCGCATGACTGGGCGCATGTCCTTGAAAGCGGTATCCTCAGGGTCGCCCCCAAGGGCCTCAACCAGGTCTTTACCGCCATGGCCGGGTCGGATGCCAACGAGACCGCCTACAAGGCGGCCTTCATGTGGCGACGGCAACACGACCGCGGCGGGCCCAACGTCGAGTTCACCGAGGAGGAGATGGCGAGCGCGATGAACAACGCCGAGCCCGGCGCCTCGCAGCATCTCAGCATCATGAGCTTCAAGTCGGCCTTCCACGGGCGCCTGTTCGGCAGCCTGAGCACGACACGCAGCAAGCCGATCCACAAGCTCGACATCCCCGCCTTCGACTGGCCGCAGGCCACGTTCCCGCAGCTCAAGTACCCGCTGGAGCAGCACGCCGAGGAGAACGCCGCGGCGGAGAAGGCGTCGCTCGACGAGGTCGAGCACCTGATCCTCAACTACCACATCCCGCCCTGCGCCGTCGTCGTCGAGCCCATCCAGTCCGAGGGCGGCGACAACCACGCGTCGCCGGCCTTCTTCCGCGGCCTCCGCGCCGTCACCCGCAAGCACGGCGTGCTCCTGATCGTCGACGAGGTGCAGACCGGCCTGGGCGCCACGGGCAAGTTCTGGGCCCACGAGCACTGGGACCTGTCCGACCCGCCGGACATGGTCACCTTCAGCAAGAAGGCCCAGACCGCCGGCTACTACTACGGCAACCCGGAGCTGCGGCCCAACAAGCCGTACCGCCAGTTCAACACGTGGATGGGCGACCCGGCGCGGGCGCTCCTCTTCCGCGCCATCGTCGACGAGGTCGAGCGCCTCGACCTGGTCTCGCGCACCGCCGCCGTCGGCGACTACCTGTTCGGCCGGCTCGAGGGCCTCGCGGCCAGGTTCCCCGACGAGTTCCGCAACCTGCGCGGCAAGGGGGCCGGCACCTTCATCGCCTTCGACAGCCCGCGCCGCGACGAGTTCCTTCGCCGCGCAAAGGCGCTCGGCGTCAACGTCGGGGGCAGCGGCGTGAGCGCCGTCCGGCTCAGGCCCATGCTCATCTTCCAGGAGAGCCACGCCGATATACTGCTGAAGGTGTTTGAGAAGATTGTTTCCACGTGAGATAAATAATTGGGCGAGGGAAGAAGGGGAGAGGGAGAGTGTGAATTTGTTGTATCGTCTCTTCCTAGGTAGTTTCATTGGCTTGGCACCGGGATAAAAGGGGATGAAACAAAATTGAAGAGAAATCAACCAGAATCCAGTATGATCTCTCAAGCCTTAATGGCAAAGCCCCCGAGAATGCCCAGTGGTTTGAAGCAAGTCTTCAACGGTGGATCGACGAATGGTTTCCACGTCTTCTATGTTTTACCACACCTAGCCTAAAGCATACACCAATGGATTCATGACATTCCATGATTTGGCTGGGTGGCCATCGGACAAGAACGGCCTGATATCTCTCTATCCTCGCTGTCTATGTTGAATCCCACAAGTTACCCAGCCGGCGCAGCCCCCCCCAAAAAAGAAAGGGTATCTTCACTCTTGAACATATTGTACATATATCATACACACATGATCACCGCACCGGGCCCACGTCCGATCGGTCTTTTCTTTCGTCGAAGCGAATCATTCCATTATCCGGCCTTGCTTGGTGCAGCCAGCTATGTCGAGTCATCATGACCCGAAGCAAAAAAAAAAAAGGATCCACGGAAACCACCCGGCCGGGGCATTATTTTCCTCTCGGCACCCCCAACCGACCGACTTATGGCAAATCGGGTGGGTACACACAAATGCATTTCGACCTCCTTCCGTTGCAAAGAGCTCCAGAAATGATAAGAAGAAAGTTATAAAAACAACGAGGAGAAACACCGTCCCATGGCAAGAGGTATCACCGACACCAAGTTGCCAACCCTGACGTTGTCAGATATACCAGCCTTCTTCCGGTTCCAAGTATGCGTAAAGCGAGAGGAAGAGAGAGAAACACGAGGGCAAGAAATACATGTCCCCCCATGGGGCTAGACGGTGCCTAGATGTTCGCTGCCCTGCCCTGTCCTTGTCCCGTGCATGCGTCCAAAGACCGAGGGAGGGAAAAAAGGGGGGGAAATAAAAGATGAACAATAGGACGAGGAAAAGAACCGAAAGATGCTACCAGCAATGCAATATGCCCCTAAAAGTACACGGGATGGTAAAAACACACACAAAAAGTGGCCGCAACGCCTCGGGTCCATCATCCATGCATGCCTGGGCTTCGAAAAAGATCCTGGGCATCCCCATTTAGCCCTTATTACGTTTTAGTGGCTGAGGACCTCCTGCTTCTGGGACTTCTCATGGCCCATGGAGCTGCTGCCTTCTGCAGCCGACCTGGGCCCATCCGGATCCACGTCACTCCCTGCCTCGTAACCACCCAGGCTGTTGTTGGTCTGGAAGTGCTGCTCGTCCAGCCGCGGGTGTTCGAGCTTCGCATCCCGCGTGGCCGCCTCGTCGTGCGGCCGCCCCAGCACCACCTTCTCCCCCTCCCCCTCGTTCTGCAGCTTGGTAGCCTCGGCTTCATCCTCCAGCCGCTGGGCCTCCTCGTTCTCCCGCATCAGGGCCTCCTCCTGCTCCCTCATCGATCGCTCTTCCTCGGTCATCGGCGTGTCTGCCACGCCCGCAGGGGGAGGTGGCGGGGGAGGCGGGGGCGACGGCGCGTCCGCCTCGTCCTCCTTGAGTCGCTTGGCCGACGGGGTTTCCGAGGGCGTCAGCTGGCCCGGAGACTCTGCCTCGTCGTCCTCCCGCTTCCGCTTCCGGTCCTGCGAGCTACCGGGGGAACTGACAAGGTCTTCAACCTCCGACATCATTACAGCCTCGTCGTCTTCCTCGACCGCCTCCTTACTCGCCGCCTCAACGGAGGGGCCAGCGAGGTTCGGATCCGGGCCACTCGAGCCCCTCCTTGCAGCGTGTCTGGCAGCCCGCTCGGCCTTCTTCTTCTCATGCTCCCTGAATTTCTCGACAGCACGGTCAAAGAAGTCCTTCACGTACTGCTTGACCTTCTTCTCCTGCTTGACCGTGATGGAGGTCGGGTCATCTACTCTGCCGTTCTTGTAATCAGACGCAACGAGCTTCTTGTTGATGTCCCTGCCAAATTTCTTCAACTCCTCCTTTGGGAGCTTATGGCGAAACTTGTCCATCACATACTTGACGTGGGGGAAAAGCTACGAGACGTTAGCAACCGGGGGGCTCGTCAACAAGGATGGGGAGCGTGGCAAACCGTGTTCTCGTAGATCTTCATCTGTTTCTCGACCGGTAGGGACCGCCACTTTTCCTTCTTGGGTTCCGGTACGGGCGTGCCGACCTGCTGGGGTGTGTGAGAGGCAGACGGCCTGGGCGTAGGCTCCTTGGTGAGGCTGTCGATGATGTCCTGCAGCGCCTTCTGGTTCTCCTGTGCCTTTGAGGGGCCTCTCGGGACATCATTGGCCGGTGCGGTGGGACGTTTCCAGGTCGTCGCCCCGCTCTTGTTATAGTAGTAGTAGGCGCCGCTATCGTCAGTCGCGACGAACCAGCCAGCAGGCAGGTTATGTGTAGGCGGTTTGCGTAGCGGTCGTTGGCCATTGAAGAAACTGGAGTTGCGCTGCGGAACATTGCTTCGAGGGCCCTTGGGAATCACGAGTTTCGCGAACGGGTCGGGCTTGGAAGCCTCCTCCTCGCGGTCCATGTTGCGGCGCTCCTCAAAGGAGTTCGCGGTGGGCGCATTGGGATCAAACTTCTTGCGGGGAATGCGATAGGCAGTCTCCAGTTTGCTCCATTCGTCCACCAGCCGCTTGGACTCGAACGCGACGTCTTGGTGCTCTGATGAAGCCAGGTCCTCGATCGTGGCCTCGATCTTGGAGTCGGAGATCTTGTTCTTGGTGAGGCGGGGCAGTTTGTACAGAATGTCGAGTATTTGCAGCACGACGTTGGTGTCGTCAACGAAGGTGTTCAGCGTGGTTTTCAGGATCTGATAGCCGTGCATGCGGACTACCCGGTGGCGCACCCGGTCATCGTCGGCATTCTGGATGCGGGCCAGCAGCTTGACAGCAATCCATTTCTCCTTGCCTTGCATCAGAGCAGCCATGACCTTGGTGACGCCTTCCTCAGAAAGGCCGCGGGGCTGCAAACTGTTAACATACTCCTCGTCGTCCTCGCTCGGTTTTTTCTTCCGCGGTCGCTTCGCAACGGTCGTGTCCCAGCTGTCGCCATCGTCGATGCCTAGGGCCTCGATGGTGGCTAGAGGCAATTTGGTGGCGCGCTCCGTCTGGGTCTTGCCGCCAATGTAGCCAGTGCAGTTTGGCTCGGCGCAGTAGCAGGGCTGGGGATCGGCGCCGTAGCGGTCCACGTTGTAGTTGAAAACCAGCTCCTCTCCAGCCTTGATTGCGCGCGAGGAGAAAATGCCCATGCGCAGCTTCTCGCCAACCACCCATTTGTCCACGTAGCAGTTGGGGTTGCATGAGTGATTGCAGAACCGGCCGAGATTGCCCTTCTTGGTTGCGTCGACAAACTCACTCTTGGTCAGTGACATGAAGTAGAAGTGCTTGATCCCCTCCTCGTCATACTGTATCATGCGCCGCCGGAAAGTAGGCTCATTGATGACCTCGCCAATGTATTCGAAGATAAAGTCATTGGCCTGGAGGTCGACGTCTGTCCTCAGTCCAAACCCCTTCTTCTCGGTCTTGATGACCGAGACGCTGGCATATTGCTTTTGCTGGAATCGTTGGTTCTGGCATCCGTCTCCGCAGTTGCAATCGCGATCCACACACTCCATCTTCGTAGCCCTGTTGATGCAGTCGGAGTCCTCACCGCAAGCGTAGTTCTTGCCATCACCTGCTCGGGGGAGACCAGTCAGCGAGGGTGCCACTACAGGGTGCGCAAAAATAGGAATATTGGGCTACTTACGCCATCCTTCTGCGCAGTCACAGTCCAGGGCATCGTGTTGTGACGAGCCCATATGCTTCGAGCCGTAGAGACAGTCATTAATTACCTGGAAGGTCTCGCAGGACTCGGTAGTGACGTCGGGAAGGTGTGAGAACAGCCGCGGGGTAGGCTTGACGCTTTTCTGTGAAGCTTTCCGGGAAAGTCTGGGGAACGAGCCGTTGCTGGGTGTAGAAGCGCTGTCGCTACCGGCCTTCACATCGTCGCGCGACACGCTTGAAGCTCTCGAGTTGGCATGGGAGAGATTTGGGCTGGTTGATGTACTCCTCTGCTCTTTCTTGTTGGCCTTTATGCCGTTTATTTTCGGTACGTCTTCACTCTTCGCATCCCCGTTGACACCTGAGATGTGCTCGCCATCCTCCCTCTTCACAGTCAACATCCTTGGGTCGAGGCCAGCGCCTGTTCAGTGGCTTTTGTTCTTGAATGGGAAATGGTGGTGTTGTTGGGAAGAAAAAGTGAGCGCAGGAAACGGCGGAGGTGGGAGAAGTGGGCAAAATGGCTATTGTTGACTGTATGTGCCCACGCAGGAGGATAATTTGGTGGAGAGTTGAGGAAGAGGAGAGCGCCGTCGTTATTCGTCTTGCCGGAGAGTTTGCGACATTGCACCAAAGTATTAGGTCCGCTGGCACTTTGGATAGGGAGCCCTTTTGATTATCGCTCTTCTCCTGTTATTCTGCACCCGACTGGTTCCTGGAGTATTGCGAAAGTGGGTGAAAAGGATCGGTATTGAAGGGAGCAATTCTTAGACCTCTGAAATCTATCAGCATCGGCGAACACCGCAATGCACCTTCAACTTCAATTGGGAGCCTTTCACTGAAATCGGAGGACAGTAATCCCAGTCCGAAAGTGGGGCAACACCAATTAAGGTGGGTAGGTAGAAACTAGGATGGAAGGCGATTGTGGAGTTGTGAGGACGACCTAGGTACCTCCTCTGTATACGAGGGCACATCCACCAACCAGAAGTCACTGATTATCTCAAACACATCACCAACAGCATTAAGGGTTCAGGATATCGGGCTGTCCAACGGGCTCTGGGTGGTCATTTTCCTGGTCTGCTTGTTCTTGTTGCGGTAAAAAAAAAAAAAAGTTAATTGCAAGTAGTTTTGATTGAATCAAGGACTAGATACTCCCCCCTCCTAGGTATATAGCTGGGAATCCCGGTTCTGGAATAAGACGACCTTTCTATTCACTGTCCTTCGATTCTGGGAGATCTATAAGCTTAAACACTTCGAGTATGGTGGAGAAGACTCCGGTGTCTCTCAAGTCAACCTGATGCTGTAGAATCCTGACCGAATGTGGAGTGTTTCGAGGCCTTGTTGACTTGGCTGTCTTCCTCCTAAGTTAGCAACCTGAGAGCCTATGTGGATGCCTATGTTTGGATCCCTCGAGCGATCATTCTTCGCCCGGATAACCCTTAATGATGGTCAGGGTATCTCAGTGATAACAGCGGAGTGCAGCTACGCACGTTTATGTGGCCCATATCTGAGCCTCGAGGACGATGACAGAGACCACCACCACCCACAGCGCTTGCCATGCTCCCGCATTTCAACATCATGAAAAATGGTGCCTATTCCACACACCCAGCGTTGACCCTTACCTTTTCCATTGTGAAGTTCGCGGGCTTCCATGGCAAGCTAGCGAGCACTGACGTGATACAGTGTCGACGAACCAGGCTACAATGTAGACAAGAAGCAGGGCAGCCACTAAGCTTGAAGGACATTGCAGTGGTCCCGGATCCCAAGGTAAAACAGGGCATCAATGCTGGAAATATGTACTTATATATGGCTGTGGCCTGTAGGAGGTTGGAATCGTCTGCCGCTATATCATCCGGTGCTTGCCAGCTCATCGTGCAGGAATTATGTGGAGAAGGTCTGAGGCGTGGAAGTATTTAAGATGGCGGTGAGGGCCTCGTCGGGCCTCTTCAGGCTACCAGGCATTCCGAACCCCATCCAAAACCCACGCAGAGCCGTTGTTGACAATCCTGAGCCGCCGCGACGACCTCTCAGATCGCCAACGGGGAGGAAATGCGGCTCTTCGCTAAGAGAACTGCTGGTATGTGCTCGAAGTGACGAGAGAACTGGTGTGATGGATGACAGAGCACTTCAGCGATGCCATTGGCGAAGACCACCCAGGACTGCCGACCACCCGAGATCGCAATGGCCGCAAAAACTGGCCCTTGTCCCACATTTTCCGGCTTATGGGCTCCAATTCCCAGAGACCGTTACGGGAGCGAGAGGGCCAATTGGAGCAAGCCTTGGAGTGAAAGAAACAACTTCCATTGTCTCATGCCTCCCAGACCAACCGGATTCTCGATGCAGCATTTTGGGTGCGACCATTCCCGAATCGGAGACCGCTAGAGGCGGTCATTTCAGCCGGAACGGGCGAACTCGAACGGGCGCTTGTCGCTGAGTTGGTGGTTGGAGGTGTCAGGCGGATTGAGCTGCGCTCTCCCAATTGGCCCATCCCACACGACTTACATGTGCAGTCCAGCTGCAACTGTCGAGAGCTGCAGACTGCCAGCCATTCATTTCCCAGACCAAGTCTTGGAGCTGCATGCGATATGTTATGAGGGAGTGCGGCCGTGCCTGCAATGCTGGTTATTTGCGGCAAAGATCGAGCGAGCCTGGGGGGTGCCCCGGGTAGATCCTGGTGCCAGTGCGAGGCGCACGACTCCCGCCTCTGCTGCTTGGACCTGGGTTTGCCGTCCTGGGAGTTGCTTGCTGCAGCCCAGCGCCAGTTTTAGTTCCCGGAGCTCCATGACGGCATGCTCGCCGACGCCAAATGGGTTTTCTTCCAGCAATTAAGAAAATCTCGTTGGGAGAGACCTAACTTTACCATCGATGGGGCCAACTCAGGGCACCAAATAGCCACTACGGATATCAAGTGCAGGAATCGGACGGTGTCTGGTCTCGGAGTTGAAGTGAATCACTCCCAACCTGAATCACCCCATCCAGGGTGATGCGTGACCTTACGCAGGATATCCTGGCAATTTTGGTCCAACAGTGACTCAACGGCCCCAACCCAGAAATTACCCTAGACCGAACAATATCGATCTTCCGAGGGTCCTCGCAGGTGACAAGCGAGACCGGGGGGTGCCGTGAAAAAAAAAACCAGAGGGAGGCGAGCAAGCGGGCAAGCAAGCGGGCAAGCAAGCGGGCAAGCAAGCGGGCAAGCAAGCGGGCAAGCAAGCGGGCAAGCAAGCAGGCAGGCAGGCAGGCTGATGAGAATAATCAAGGGGGCAGACATAACTTGAAGAAGCGAAGGCAGCGCGCATGGTGACGCTTGGGCGTACACCTAACCCACTAGACCCCATCTCGCTCCGTCGCATATGGATTCAAACAAAGCCCACCACACAGGTACCCTGGTACGGAAGTACTAGCGACAGAGCCAGGAGGTCTAGCAAACGACGATTAAATTTCTGGCCCAAACCGAACCAAAAGCGGCCCACTGCAACCACAGGGACCACTGCAGGGTCCTTCCTTCCCTCCACGGTTTCTCTTTGCTTCTCGTTTGGTCCCCTGCTGCAAAGAAAGACGCGCGCTTACTCGGTCAGTCGCGCGTCTTTTGCCGGCTTGCCCGCATTCCTCTTTTTGGGTTTGACGCCTTGACTTGGGTTCTGCCAACCACTTATGTTCGTGGCGAACAAACTTCCTGAAGCAACCCCGTTCGTGCGGGCTACACTTTCGGCCGGCCTTGACACTCGTTTGGCACCTCGTTCCCTCGTTATACTCTTCTATACTATCCTTTGCTCCTCCCCCCCATCGACTTGCGCTCCGCCCCTGGCAAGCGATTCTCCCATAAATGCGCCTCACCACCGCGACTTTGACGTCTCCTGACCATGCGCAGCTCGCCGGGCGATCGATCACATTTCCGCCTCAAATGACTAACCACCGACCTGCCTGGCAACCTCTCCTTATCGGACGGCAGATAGTGCGTTTTTAGAATGGAGTCTTCTTTCACCGACGCCGAGAAGGTATGTACCCGAACCTAGCCCCTATACTTGCCACGCCCCTGCTCAACCTGGTGCCAGCGCTTCGTCCTCGCCGAGATGATCAAGGTCAGTCATATGGACGTTGGCACGCTCGTCGGCTTTGTCAAGCATCACGACATCCACCCGAACTGGATGCATATGCAGCTCCCTAGCGGTACGTCATACACTCAGATAATCACCGTGTTTGCCCCTAACCAAGACACGCCTTTTCGCAGGTCGAAATATGAGTCAGTGTCTTCGCGCAGCCGAGACCATGTTTGACAAGCAATTTCTACCACCCGTAATGCCCATGTTAAAGCGCAAGTCTTTCGATGAAACCAGCGAGCAAATACTCAAGAGACAGGCCGTCATGTCGCCCATGGAGCGGCAGGCTTATCCTGCCCCCCGCAGTTTCGGATCTCAGAACGCCAGCACTGCCCAACCAGTCAGTATACAACCGCGCCCGTCTCCAAATGGCTATGCCGCAGCCTCTCCTTCCGTCTCCGCAGCGCCTGTGTCTGTGACGACTCCGGTTGCTATGCCTCCTGGGCGAAAGCGCGGCCGCCCCTCAAAAGCCGACAAGGAGGCACGCGCCCGGGCTCGTGCAAATGTGTCGCAGTCAGCCGGCTACACGCCGATTACTCCTGCTCCGATCGCGCCGTTGCCCGCACCGCCTACACCCCAGCAGACATACAGCCCCAGCCCAAGTGCAACCTCGGCATACCAGATATCTTCCGAGAGCGCGCCCGAGCCAAAGCCGAACAAGAAATCTCGACCCCCAGCCCCAGACAACCAACAGCAATCGGAGAATGTTCCTCGGTCAGTGCAAGGGATGGTGACCAGCACCGAATCGGCAGACCAGCAGACAGCGGGACCCGAAGGGGGGCTCGGATACAGGTGGCGTGATAATGCGCTGCGCGAGGATCAAAAGGATGCTGGAAGATATTCTGGCCCAGTCCCGCTGGAACCCCCCATACAGACTCAGAGACCAGCAGAAAACCAACCCCTACGGGACTCGCACATGTCTCTGGCTACGGCAGGTGTACACAGAGCGACTGGCCCCGTTCCGGCGATGGAACACGCGATGAAGGACGGACATCCACGAGTGGCTAACCAGGCATGAAACGGCGTTCCAGTTCTCGGCTTCTATAACCGTTATTTTATTATGTTCTCGAATCCTTAATACCCTTCCTGGGTCATACAGGAGGATGTTCCTATTATGGCCCAACACCGCCCGTCCTACTTATCTTCTTTTCGTTCCTTCCGGAAACCGTGGGACCAGGGGGGCGGCTGTGTGACTTTGACGAGGGCAGACTTGGCGCCTGGCTATGGCGCAAGTAGACTCGGGACCCCGAGATTTCTCTCTCTTTCTCTCTCTCCCTTTTCACGATATTACGATACCCACAGACGAGATGTCTTCACGGTATAGACTGGCGCGGAGTCCAGGAGACGGCGGAGGAGGTACCCGTTTTTTCCCCAGTGCATCTAGGCGGCCAAAGACGAAAGGATAAATGCCCTTTGCATTCGGATGGGTTGTTCGGTGGCATCTGGTCGTTTGATGCTATCATGAATGGGGTGAGCTGCGTGACGATTGTATGTATGAATAGTTGCTAGTTCCTTGGCGTTTGGGCCTTTCGACGGTCGGATATCGCGTTGATTCTTTGCTTCTCTCGACAGGCGGTCGAGCATCTTTGGGATGGGATGATAATCTGCGTCTGGTAATAAGGAGATGGTGGGATTGGAACGATATGCATAATCCCTGGCCCCATGGACTTGGCTTCCTAGAGAGGGGGTAGCTGCCAACGACTGGCACTATGGAATCAATCGGATTTCATGACGAATCAAACTCATGCATCGACTCCTTTTGCCTTTGTACGGTCGTAGATTCGAGCATCCCGTCCGCCAATGATATTTCAAAGGGATCAGGGCATCTATAATGCCTATATATTCTCCCTTTATATTGTATTTAGACTTGCCTGGTTTCTTGCTTTAGTCGCTCAGCCGTGGGGCTTCCCCAATCGCCACGGCTTCCTCCATCGTCAGCCCGAACAACTCCCCCCCTTTCTCGCGACCACCCACCCCCTTGCAAAGCAGCTCCGAACCGACCACCTGTACTACAAGGCGCGCCTAATCACGTCGAACTAGAAGTCTGTCTGCTAGGCGCCGTAGGGGAAAACCGCGACGGTGGTCAGGGTGGGCCAGGCTCGCTCGCCGTACGGGCCCGGCCTCGTTCACGGGCCAGCGCACCGATTGGGTCGATGTAGCCTCCCCTCGGCATTACCCCTGGGTTTCCCAGAGCATGTATGTGCCCTGTGGTCCTGGTACAGCTCCGTGCCGGCGTAGTGGCCGTAGTCGGAGCTGGAGAGGACGGGGGCAGTGGCAGCCCGTTCCATCTGATCGTCGGACTGGCTATGTAGCTATGCATTGACTTCTCGTGGTAGGCAAAGGGGCGACATTGTCGATCTCCCGAAAGGCTGCCTTGAGCTGCGGTTGGGCGAGTAGACAGTCTCCTGATACTCGGTTTCTGTCTACTTCAGGACGATGGGGCGCGTTGAAGTCAATTGGTCTTCATCTTCTTCAGCACATCCTACCGGGTCCGGTCTATGAGACGTGACTGCGGTCTCATTTACATAGCAGCGTACAACTTAGTTGCCAGAGTTCCGAGACCTGGAGTCTCTGATGATGGGGCTCGCCCAACCTAAGCACCCTCGGCCAAGGCAGAGGCTTGACTCAAGAGAAGGCCCATTACTCTGACTCGACGAACACCTATTGCCGTTCAAGATGAGGTTGTATTTGTCCCAAGTCACACCATCGGCCACGCTGTTGCAGTTCGCTAGTATGCTCTAATCGCGGCTAAGGCCAGAAGCCAAGGATGCTCGCTGATAGCCACTGGGCATAGGGTCACGGCAATCACAACAGTTCAAACATATTTGTTGAGTACAGCGGGATCAAGGGTCAAAACCCCGATCTCTCGGTGCAGACCGCCTGAGCCAAGATCGGGGTATCTCGGGCGGTTCCATTGTTGAGACCCAGCGACGGAGGCCAGCGGTTTCCTGGTATCCCGTGCCAGGTTTCAGCCAACGGTGCTGTTCAACCATGAGAGTTGGAAGCCCCTAGCTTGTCACTGGCACAACCCTAACCCTGACCTGGAACCGAGGATAAAGAGTCCAGCACACAGCAGCGGCTTCAGCAACAGGAGATTCCTGGGGCTGAACACCCTAGGAGACATGGCCAGACTGACCATCTCTCGCAACAAGGTCTTCTAACACATCGGCTCGGTAGTCGGCTCCGTTTCCCTGCATCGAACGCGCTCCATGCCATGTCCTCGCAGGGGCAATCAGGAGCTCAATCTCCTGATGACAGTGATCGTATGCTAGCCATTGGCGGCTTGTGGGTGGGATTGCTTTGATCGTTGGAGGCTCATCAGTATTGTCTTGGCACACCTTGTTTCGATCCTCGTCATTGGCGTCAACGGCGTTGCTCATGTAATTCAACGGCCATCTGTCTGGCAAGTCGAAATGAAAGGACGGAAGTGTGGATATCAGAACGTTGTTCTACGATGTGAGCAGGTGTGAATAGGTGGTATCAGGTACCTCAGCTTGGAAAGCTGTAGGTATGTGATCCGTAATATTGCGCGAGGCCGGAGCAATATTACACAACTGTATTCGTAGGTACTAACCTAACGTACATATGCATATGCTTTGTAGTTCGTACTTGACGGAGGCGGAATAAGCACGCACGGATGCCCTGGATCATCCATCAGAACGCGACGTTGTCACCTCGAAATGCACTCTCGGCCGTCGTGCCAAAAACTACCATCATCCGAAACGACACGTGAGCTAGCTCCTGGCGAGCCCAACGCGAAAGAAATAGCAAATTCATCGCATCACATGGATCTGGAAATGATATGGGCATGAGTCCAAAGTAAACGGCAATGGTGCGTCATTCAGCTTATTGGAATTCGCCGAGCCCTCCAACGGTATGGATGGAATTGTCCCCTTGGCGAAGTTGGTTGAATCTTGGTTGCCTCACACTTCATCGTCATGGAGCCTCCGTGACATCAATAAACAAAACAAACACTGCTGTGGAGTGTGACTGTGAAAGATTGGAATCCGAAGTTCCCCACATCGTTAAGACATGGGAGATTGAGCGATGGAACATGGATCATAATCGCCAGACAGGACAAGGACAAGCCCTGCTGGGTCGGTAGGTGGCTTGCGCACGGAGCACCCCGGCAAGCCCCCGAAGTGACAGGCTTGGAACCTGGATCCGCCATCCAAATCGGGCATGTACAAAAACAAACCCATCAGGACAGACGGGAAGCTACACGCGACGCGTTCTTTGCCTCCTGCCGTTAGCTGTGTGCCATACATTTAGCCGATGAGCCCGCTCCCGCGATGCCCAGCGAATCCCGTCTCCTCTACCTTCCTCCCACTTGCCCTCTCTCTCTCTCTCCCCTTCTGTCAACTGCCTCTTTTCTCTCTTGTCTCTCCAGCTAGGTAGCTCTCTCTCGATTCCTCGCTCTTTTGCTCAGAACCCCCACCTCAGCCCACCTCAGCTAGAGGTTTTCGATATTCGCGCCTTCCGTTCATCCACTGGTCTTTCATATTCTTCCAACAGTTCCGGCTTGAATCAACGACGGCCCTTTTCCCAATTAACCCCCCGGATCCAGCCAACCGGGACGGTGGAGGCCAATTATTGCGACCGCAGTCTTTAAACAGCCCTCACCCGCCTTGGTCGTCTTTCCCGAATATCATCTTGGCTTAATTATCCTGTTCTTCCAAATCATTCCACGGCCATTCCCGGTTCTGAAGGCCATCTATCAAGCCATCTCAAAGGAATCCCTCTGCTCTGTGTATGCTGTATTATCTGGCAGCTGCAGTCATCCGGGAACTGCATCCATCACCCACATGAACACGGCTGGCCAACCGCGTCTCATATATATCCCAACCAGTCGTTCGAGCACGGCTGTCGACCTGCCCGCTTGTTTTCATCGAATCCAACCCACCCTGGCGGCCAATTGATCGGCTGCAACTTCCGTCTTGACTTCTCCCGTTTCCGTGGAGCCTGGAAAAAGAAGCGCTACCAGTTATATCGCCCTTAATTCCATTTCCACCCCTCTTTTCCCTGCCACCGAACCACCTCAACCTGGCTTGCTGGCGGACCGCCGCAGAGAGCAAGCTGGATTCTTGCATTTTGTCCGCTTCCCTTGTCTAGGTCTCTGGGAGACCGCCCCCTAGCTCCTGGGCCTCCTCTCTATTGGACGAATCCCTAGCTCTGACCGCAGCTTGGAACCAGCTCTACCTGACCGACTCTTCGCCTGGAACCAGGTAACACACCGCCTGTGCTGATTTTGTTTGCGCTCACGGGACAACCCACGGCACGACAGGCGATATAAGTCGTTCCCGATCTTGCCACTTTTGACCGACCCGACCCTTGTCTCACCACTTGGAACTGGCCCGGGCAGTGCATCATCCCTCGCAAAGCATGCCAATACCCCGGGTCCTCCCAGTGATACTGGGTGCGACCGCGACCCTCGCAACCACTGCCATCCTAGTCCTTCACATCATTCTCGCCCATGCCCTCTCAAGCGTGTCACACTCTGTCCGGACAGCCGCACTCCTCTCTTCGGTCCTGGAAGCACTGATTTTGGTCTCGTTAGCCTGGCTCCTTTCCTCGTACGTCGGCCTACGGGGTCTAGGAGGCCATGGGGCAAATTTCGGAAACATATGGTTCGCTTCGAGCTTGCTATTGTGCGCCATTACAGCCGCAGCCTCAGTGGCGACTGTCATCTGCCTCAGCAATGCCTCGTCTACCATCCTCCCCGGCAGGATCCTGGGATCCACGACAACGGGCTTCCTAGTCGGATCGTCAGTTGCATTGGGCATCTCGTTCGCGACGCAACTCGTCTTCCTCGTCGTGCACTACATCATTGGGCGTATGCACTGTCACGAGGCATCCTCTGGCCTTGAGACCGAAGAAGACCCGTGCCGACCACCCCAACCGCAGGCCAAGTCGGTCCTCTACCACCAGGCGGACTCGCGCTTGCCCAAGGCTCAAGGCAGCACCTCGATGGATTCCCGTAGCCCACCGGGATCCAGTGCCGGACGGTCAGCATCCGAAACCATGAGTTCTATCCGGTCATCTCTGTCCCACGTTGTCCGGCCTATATCCTCCAAGACGCGCCTACTATCAGGCAGCCAGCGGTCCTCCCGCAGGCCGACCTCAATAGACTCCAATGCCTACCGCGACCGGTCGAGCATGACTGAGGACGGTTTCGATTCGTGGGATACGTCGGCCGTTGACCCGCAGAACAGACAGACGGTTCTTGAGACCACCTCGTCTACGACTCCGGCACGTTTCCTAGAGACGATTCCCGCCAGCCCCGCCACAAGCAGGAGCCCCAGTCCTGGCACACCACTTGACTTGGAGGCCCCTAGGACCCGCAAGAGGAGCCGCAGCTACAGCCCCGCGTCACAATGCAGTCGATACTCGCAGCGGGCCGCGTTCACCCATCAGTCCAATGCTAGCGAGGCACATATTCACCCGCTGTTCCGCTCCGATTCCCCAACGCCGCCCCCTTCTGCCACACCGGGTACAGTAGTTACTGCGGCGCCAAATGCCGGCCAGGTCATCTCTGATCGGCAAAGTATACAGACCCTGAGGCGCATGCGGAGTGACAGCCTTCCAGTTGTCCGCAGTCCACTAAGCCAGCACGGCAGCCTTGACGACTTGAAGACCAGGAGCGAGAGGGCGGCCAGCCACTCCCCGGAACCTACCCAGGAGATGGAGGGACTAGGGTCAGAGTCGGAGAGGAAGATGACGCCTCCCATTCCAGATTGGATCCTTAGTGCCGGCTCAAGAATGAGCCTCTCAGGATACCACAGTCGGAAACTCAGGAGTGCCGGGGCCTAGGCAGGGGGGATGGGGCCGACGGTTAGGTATGACGATGATGAGATGGGAACATGATGTTTTCTTTGACCTTCATCTTTGGGTTTTAGATGAAGATACGGTACGACACGACGTTAATATCTCCTTGGATCTTGGGGTTGGGGTTTGAATGAGGAGGGGGAAGAGGCGCAGTTCAGGATTTGGTGGGCGGATACCCGTCTTTTTTCATGATACCTTTTTCCAGCGAGGCGTTGTTCATGGTGAGGGAGTGTGGAGCTTTAGAAGGGTCAAGTCCCAATGTAACGATGAACGACTTGATTGACGGGATTGACGGGATTGATGGGACAGGGAAATGGAAAATAAAGACTATTGTATAAGTCAATGACATGGACCAAACACCGGAACAAGTGACAGAGACTGTGTTGTAGCTGTTGTTGGCAGACGACTGCCCTAGCAGCTGTCAAATTATTGCCAGATTGAAGAAGTGAGGCTGAAGCAGCCCCCAGTCTGACCTTCAGACAAGCCAAGTACCCAGGTATCTCACCCCGCCATTCTAGGTTCCACTTGAAACAAGGTTTGTGAAGCTGGAAGCATCAGGTAAGCTTCCATTTTTCGCCGCCTCTTACCGCATAGTAGAGCAAAATCCCAAGGCAGATGCGCCGCGCAGACCAATCCCCTAGTCGCCGCGCCTTTTTGGTTCCAGGTGACAGATACAACCCCACAAAGCCCAACTCACCTTTCTACCACTACTGCCCTTCTCCTCGTCACCCGCGTTTGCAAGCGGCAAACAAATTGACAACTTCGTTCTCATCCTTCCCTCCCAAAAACGACCCTGTTTTTTTTTTGCACAGCCCGATCATTCTCGCCAAAGTAGCTGCCGGCTACCTTCTCACTGCCCATCATGAAGGTTACGTTCAAGGTATGTCAGCTTGGGCTTCGGTGTGCGAGCTGCCGAAGTCCGCGCGTCGGGCCCATCAGCCTTCCCTTTCCAATATCATCCATCCTACTTCTCAACTGCTTCCCCGGCCCCGACACATAAGCTAGATACCCAGACTGACCTCCCATTCCGCGCTCTACAGGACCTCAAACAGCAGAAGTTTACCCTCGATTTCGAGCCCACCGACCTGGTATGTTGCCCCTCACCAGCACATAGGCTTCCCCGCCACCCACCATCCAGCCAAAGCTTATATCCTCTAGATCTCGGCCGTTAAGCAGAAGATCTCCGATGAGCGAGGTTGGGACCCGAAAAACCAGAAGCTCATCTACTCTGGTACGCTACGAACTCTGCCTAATGATAACCCATACCGACCCTAACCCCGCTGACCCCGGCCCCAGGAAAAATCTTGAAGGATGACGAGACGGTTGAGTCCTACAGGATTGAAGAGAAGGGTTTTGTTGTCTGCGTCGTGAATAAGGTTCCGTCTTGCCAATTAACTCTCCTGCTATCGTAAGGTATGATATATCTAACCAACATCGTTGCAGCCCAAGGTCCAAGCTGCGCCCGTCGCCGAGTCTTCGTCGTCAAATGAGCCACCAGCAACCCCAGCTCAACCTGCCGCTTCCTCTACACCGGCCCCGCCAGCTGCTCCGGCCCAGAGTGCCGCTAGCCAATCCGCGGTGCCGGCCACTCCGACTCCGGCCCGATCTGCAGATGCCCAGGCTGGTGCGCTCGACGAGAATGCCCTGACTATCGGGCAACAGCGCGCCGAAGCTATTGCCAACATGGAAGCGATGGGTTTCGAGCGGCCGATGATTGAGGCAGCTATGCGTGCCGCATTCTACAATCCAGACCGAGCTGTTGAGTATCTGTTGACTGTGAGTCTTGCCTGCCATCTTCTCGTTCCCTTCTGGTCCTTGCTTGGTCGACCAGCTAACCGGCCCCCCACTATTTAGGGCATCCCCGAGAATCTTCAACAGCAGCAGGCCGCCCCTGCACAGCGCCAGGCCGCCGAACAGCCTGCCGCTGCCTCCCCTGCCGGTGCCGCCCCAGCAGGCCTTGACGATGATGGCAACGTCAATCTCTTCGATTTGGCAGCGCAACATGGACAGCGTGGCGGCGCCCCGGCTGCCCGCGGCACAGCCAATCCCGCCGCAGCCGTTGCGGCGGCCGCCGCCGCAGCTGGTCAACAGGGACTCGGCAACTTGGACTTCCTCAGACACAATGCCCAGTTCCAGCAGCTTCGCCAGGTCGTCCAGCAACAGCCGCAGATGCTCGAGCCCATCCTCCAGCAACTCGGCGCCGGCAACCCGCAGCTGGCGCAGCTGATCGCCCAGAACCCGGACCAGTTCCTGACCCTGCTCGGCGAGAGCGCCGGCGACGACGACGCGCCCCTCCCGCCGGGCGCCCAGGCCATTTCCGTGACTGAGGAGGAGCGCGATGCCATCGAGCGCCTGTGCCGGCTCGGCTTCGACCGCGACCAGGCCATCCAAGCCTACTTCGCGTGCGACAAGAACGAGGAGCTTGCTGCGAACTTCTTGTTCGACCAGCCCGACGAGGATGAGGGTGGCCCGCAGTGAGGGGATCGCTGCTGCCCCTCCTCACGCCCTCCCTACTGTTGTCTCCTGCTTTCTTCGCCTTGAAGCGTGTCAAAGAGGCCGTTGGTTTTTCTGGTTCGGCGGATAGGGGTCCTCGTCAGGGTCGAAGGGATTTGAGCATGGGAGTGCTGGAGGAACTCGGAATCAGGTCAGGGAGGGGTTGGGAATGGATTAAGGATCACTATTACCTGGGCTACTGGTCTTTGCGAAAGTATTTTACGGAGGTGGAACGGGGATGTGATACTGCGTGCGCTAGTTGATAATAACCTCGCTCATCTGACTGACGACCGTGGTGGCCGACTGGGACGGACTGGCCTAGAAATTTTGGCATTCGAGAGGATCTCGCTCCGTTGGGTTGTATGAGAAGGAATAACCACCGCCTCTCTCCCCCCACTGAGGAAAAGAAACAAAATGCAACCCCTTGCTCTACATTCACGGGTTCGAATTTGGCTCGTCTGTTTCATCTGTCTTTAGAACATGGAGTTTCTAGCCTGCGATAGCTATCTATCTAAACTGCGGATGAAACTATTCAATGATGGCAGGGTATAGGTCGATATCTCACCCTTGCCTGCTGCTCTCTGTTTTGACGCTGTCGACTCGAGAACATCCATAGTCCGCCGATGCCGTTTGCCCCTTTTTGCGATTCCTTGCACGGCATCGTCTATTCCAGCCTTGCGCACACGTACCTGTGTGTGTCTCCTCGATGAAAAGGGGGAGATGAAGGGGGGGTATCAAAGCCTTTAAACACCGAAAAAAGCATCGCAAAACTGACCTGCCACCTACCCACCCCCCTTCCCCTCCGTGAGTTCCGTGCCACCGATTCTATTTTCTATTTTCCATTTTCCCTCCAGCAAAAGCAAATGTAAGGAAGTAACGCAGGTCTCTCACGAAACACTGGTCTCGGTACGGATATTCCCTTGAGGAATGACCCCAAGACTACTCCCCACCCCCTCCCCCCAAAAAATAAAATAAAACAATCGCCTCCTCGGACCATTGTCAACCGCCCAAACCGGCGGAGACGGGGGCCTTCTTCCTCCTGCCGCCGCCTCCGCGGCCCTTGGCGCGCTGGCCGGCGGCGCCCTTGCCCGAGTCCCCGGCGCCATTGTCGGCGAAGAGCTCCTCGCGCTTGCGCCTGGCCTCGTCGGCGGCCTCGTCGTCGACGCGGCGCTGCTCGGCCTCGAACTCCTCCTCGGCGCGGCGGTGCTCGGCCGTGATGGCGTCGACGGTCTCGTACTCCTCGCCCGTGTGGCTCTTGTACTCATCCAGGTCCATGGCGACCGTCTTGGTGCCGACGAGGGCGGCGTTGATGCGCTGCGGCCGCAGGCGCTCCTCGCGGTTGAACTTGAGCTTGATGTGCCGCCGCGTCTTGCCGGGGAACATGCGGCTGATGATCTGGAAGTCGGCCCCGATCATGCGCAGCGCCATGTAGAACTTCTCCGTCTCCGCCGGCGACCAGCTGTTGCCCTTGACCGGCCGCTTGCTATACGACGACGACGTCGTGTGGTGCGTGAACTCGTCCTCGATTTCCTCCTCCATCTCGCCCGCCTCCTCGGCCGCGTGCGCGTGTCGGTCGAACTGGAGCGAGTCCGAGTTGAGCACAATCTGCCCGTCGATGATCTGGAACTGCGGCGCCGCAGCTCCCGCCGCTTCGCCCTCCTTGGGGATCGCAGATGCCTCATTCTGGCCCGGCGCCGGGGTAGCAGCGCTTGAGCCGGCTCGGCTCGCCCCGTCGCCGCCGTTGCTGAGGCTATCGAGGCCAGTCTCCTTCAGCCTCTTGGCCACATAGTTCTTCTGCCGTTTCATCCTTTCACGCTCGAGCAACTCGTCGTGGCGGCTGAACTTCTTGCCGACTCGCATGTCTTTGACCAAGTCGCCCATTTTAACCTGGCGGATGTCGATCTCTATCGCTTCAGCATCCTCGGGGGTAACTGAGCGGTGCCGGCCGGCCTTTGCGGACTGTTGACCACCATCCCCACCTTCGCCCTCCTCGTTGCCGGTCTGCTCCTCCCCAGTTGTTATCTTCCGCTTCTGCACTCGCTTTCGAGGAGCACCAGCCTGGTTTCCCTCACCAACCTGGGCTTCCTGACCCTCGGCTTTCTTTTTTCTTGGCCGCTTCTTCGCCGAACCGGCAGCCGCATCCCCACCTGCCGCCTCGGCCGCCGATTTGCGCTTTCTCCCTGGTTTCGACTTGGGTGCTGTGGAAGGCCCGCCATCTCCCGTCTCGCCCGAGGCTTCGATGCTTGGCTGTGGTTGGTCTGCTATGGCTTCAGCAGGGGGGGTCGCAGCCTGTGTCGCCGGCCGTGGTGCGGTCTGGGTAGCTCGGTACTGTTGGGCTGAGCCTGGTTGAGTCGTTACGCTAGAAGCTGGATTTGATAGCCTAGTTGCCGCAGTTGTGAGGTTTGGAGGCAGAGTGGGCGTGGATGAGGAGGCAGTGGTTGCAGTTGAGGCCTGGGTAGGGGCTGTCGATACGATAATTCTCAAAGCCGGGTCAATGTTAGACTCCACCGGAGCAGCAGTTGGGGGAGTCGTCGTGGCTAAGATCGGCTCGATACGTGCGGATGCGGGGCCCTTGGCAGGAGGAGCGAGAGCATCGGATGTGGCATCCCGTCGAGTGGAGGCTTCGGCGCTTTGCGTAGGTATCTTCTCGGTGCTCTGGACCTCTTTGGTCGTCACTTGCAGAGCATCGGCCACACCCGATGTCGCTTCAATTGGGGGCTCTGGGGCTGGTGGTTCTCGAACATCGCCGTGTTCAATGGTTCGTACAGTCGGAGCCTGTTCTGATTGCGGCGGTCCGGCAATTTCTGCAGAGGGAGAGACCGACGAATACATAGATATAGGCGCTTTGTGTCGTGACTCGGCCTCATGGGTTGAAGGGCTGGCTTCCGGGGCCCGAGGCTGGGCAAGTGACGGAGTTGGGGTCGAAGTTGGGGCCGACTGGTCGCTGGTCGGAACCGGAACCGCAACCGGAACCGCAACCTGGGCCGGGGTCGTTGATTTTTGTTCTGCAGTTGCGGATCGTTCTGGGTCTTGAGAGGATGTCGTGGGCACGTTGCGTCGAATAGGCGCTTTGGGCTTGAAGCCCGCCTTTTTCTTGAGCATATTGACGTGTCGACCTGCTCGTCTGTCACGTTTGTCGAAACGGTTAGAAGAAGGTCATCCCCAAGATTCTAGCTCTAGTACCCGCGGGTTGTCATTGAGTCGATGAGGTCAATGTAATTTACTCGCGCGGGCAGAGATTATGAAAGAGAAGAGGGTTGATTGTGGGCAACTTTTAAGTGCTAGGTGGGGTGGGGACCAAGAACAAAGAAAGGTTCACTCCCGCAGTGAGTCAAGTGGTGAGGCACCGAGGTTGATAAGAATGCCCATTGTGATAAGCCCATCCCGAATCGGACTAGCGCAAAGCCGCCCGGCTTCTTTGAATTTTTGTATCGACTCCTGGCCTTGTCTGCAACGCTCGTCCTCCTCCCTGATCCACCACCCCCATCTTTACGCTCCTTTCTAATGACCATTTTCCTACATTCACGCATGGTATCGCCGGGCTGAGGGAACACCTCCAGGCTGCGCACTTTTCGTTTTCTATCGCTTTCTCACTTCATCTTTTTCTTCACGTGGCTGCATCTCTCCCGCGCCTTTTCTCATGCCGATTGCCACTTCGCCCTCCGACACGCCTCATCCGACCACCTTGGGCAAGATGGAGGACAGGAAGAGACCTGCCATCAGCACCGTCGAGGACTTGGCGCCACCAAGCAAAAGGCAAGCTGTCAACGGCAGCAGCAAGTCAAAAGATGACTCCGGCGACATGAAAGAAGAGGCCTGGATCGAGGTAAGTCACGTCGACATGACATGAAGACGTGTATCATCGCGACCTCCCTTTGATCAAGCACATGAATCCCCATTCCCCCCTGCTCCAGCCCTCTGCTTTCAAATCCTTTGCACCAATGCCGAGGGAGTCGATCATCGTTAGCATAGAAATGTTTCTGCGGGAGCATGCTCTTTGATCATTGCTAATGCGTGGCTTGCTGTCGCCAGCTTGCCCTGCTCCCAGGCTCACCTTGTTCATCGTCCATTCCCCCCACTCCATAAGACATTGCCCCGCTTGCGTCGAATCCTGTATAGGTTGCCATTCATAAGTTTCGCGACGAACATTGGACTGACTGCTGGATGTTTCAGGAATATCAAAAGGGTGCTATCTTCCGCCAGATGCTTGAATACAAGCGAGAAAAGCAGAACATAGAAGCGCGACTGCAGGAAATCGAAAAGAAGTCGACTGACCATGACGATCATATCCGGATCATCGATGCCTGGTGGCTGCAGGTATGTCCAGCCTTGCGCTGGGACGAGTTTGCATACTGACAGGGCCAAGCTTTTGCAAGAGATCGAGCTACTCGTTGAAGGCACCGTATCTTCATCAGCATCTTCAGGTAATTGGACCTTTCGACACCTGCTGCGCTCCATATCTGACTTTCTTTCGCTAGGCTTCCCCCTCACCTCCGGCCTGTATTTCAAGGACAGCAGAGACTTTCAACGGCACCTCGCTGATAAGGGGAAGACACTCGAGGCGAGGATTGGCGCATTGTTTACGCGACTTGCCAGTTCTCGGGGCGAGGTTAAGCCCGAAATGTCCGACTTGGAAGCCCAAGTCAAATCGCTTCTGGCAAGCGAAAAGGAGTACCTCGTCGAGCTAGATCGACTGAAGTCGGAAAACGAAACCCTGTCGGAACAGTACAACACGGGGATTCTGAAGGTCATCAAAGCCGAGAGGAAACTAGATAGGGTCCGAAGTGCCCAGGTCCAAAAGCTGGAACAACAAGCACTTGCAAATGCGACAGCACGCCCGGCCGGCGGTTTCGACGAGAACGGCGCTCCGGTTGGCGAGAATGGCAACAATGAGGCCCTCCAGCTACAATACCAGGAAGCGATTGCCGTTGTCGCCAAGCAAAAGGAGCAGCTAGCATCCGTATTGGCTCAGCTCAAAGAGCTGCAGGATGAGAATTCGACATTCAAATCGCGGAGGGAAACTCTCACAGACGATGACTATGCGCGGACCGAAGTATTCAAGCAGTTTAGGAGTCAGAACGAGGATCTGATAAAGCGGATCAACAACCTCGAGGCGACTAACAAGCAGCTCCGCGAGGAAGCCGAGAGATTGCAGGCAGAGCGAACCTCTTTCCGCGACCAGCTCGAGCGAGAAGCGCAGGCTCTGACACTGGAGCTTGAAGACCAGCTCCAGGCAAAGGAACAGGACCTCACCCGGATCCGGTCTGCCAGGGACGAGCTTTTCACCGAGAACAGTCAGCTAAAGCAAGTTCAGGGTCATGAGCGCGTGGCCTTGGAGCAACTAAAGGAACTGACAAGTGCGACGGCCGACCGGGTGAAGGAGCTCGAGTCCGAGTTGGAACGCCTTCGACCAGGCGAAGACACGTCCATGTCAGATCCGCGCCCAGACGTCGAGGCCCTGTCATTGGAGGAGTTGCGGCAGAAGTATTTGAAGCTGGAGAAGGACTTCGAGTCAATCAACAAGGAGATGCCTCTCCTCGAAAAGTCGTACAAGAAAGCTATGAGCTTGGCCCACAAGAAGGTGATGGACTTTACGGCGTTGGAGGATAGAGTGGCTCAACTCTCGGCTGAGAAGAGCAAGGCCGACCAGAAGTACTTCGCGGCACGGAAGGACATGGATATCAGGAACGGCGAGATCCGGTCTCTTCGTCTCTCCAACGGGAAGAGCTCAGACATCATATCCCAGCTCAAGGAGGCCGAGGCGCAAAGTCGCGCTTTGATCAGCAACCTGGAGAAGCAGCTCGTGGACTTCAGGCAGTCCAACTCGTCGCTAGCGGCGGAGCACAAGAAATTGGAGGCAACTAGTATCGAAGCTAGCAGGCGAGCGGATGGCATGAAGGCGCAAATATCCGAGTTGAACAACCTGGTCAAGTCACGGGATGCAGCGAGCATAGCCATGCGGGAGCAAACCATCGCCCACGAAACCGAGTTGGAGAAGTTGAAGGTGCGGGTGGACCATGTCTCGAAAGACCGCGACAACTGGAAGACGAAGAGTCTGAGCAACTCGACCACCGAGGAAGAGATGATGAGAGTGAGTTTTTGGCCCCGATCTCGCAGCGTATCTGGCCGATGCTGACTGTCTCTAGAACCTCATTGTGTGCACTGTTTGCCGGAGTAATTTCAAGAACTCGGTCTTGAAAACATGCGGCCACGTCTTCTGTAACGAATGCATCGAGAACCGCATCACTAATCGCATGCGGAAATGTCCGAGCTGCAATAAGGCCTTTGACAGGGTTGATGTCATGGCAGCGCACCTTTAGGACAACCCGAACGACAGATCAATGGCGTCGAGGCAAGACGTCAAAGGGAGGGAGGGGGTAAGCCCAGCTGACTGCATCGGCTGCCATGCCGAAGCTCGGGCCCGATAATGCTGGGAAAAGGGGAATTGCAACTCAGCCCCCGGAATGGATTCATTGGCTTGGTGCCTGAAATTCTGGTTTTGAATCCTGAGCTCGTGTACTACTATTGTTTGATGCTGAGGGAATTACTGAGCAGCAATCGAGGGTGTTAGGAGGACAGGATAGAGTTAGACGCGAGATTACCCATTCGTATTCATGTACTGTACAAACAAGCGCCAGTACAACAAGGTCATTATATGTAAGAGTACGAAAGCTCGGAGCCGAGGGACTCTTATCTCTATTCCAGTGTATATTCCGGTGCGACCGTTCTGATCTCTCACTCATCTCCGGGTTGTGGACCCAAACCCGGTACTCTCATGCCGGGCGTTCGAGCCGGAACTTGAGCTGGACGAGCCTTGCCTGAAGGAACCACCGCCCCATCCACTCCCATAGTCTCGGTCCCCGTAGTTGTCTCCCCAACCAGCTCCTTGCCGATTGTTAGTTGGCCTATTGGCTCTGTTCCCAGCCATATACCCTGCCGTAGCGCCACCAGCCAATCCGCTCCAGAAGCCCGGTCTCCAGCCTTGCTCGCCCGCCGGCTTGGGTCCCGAGTAAGGCGGCGGAGGATCGTTCCAACCACCACCACCGCCTCCTCCTCCCCATCCGGGGCCCCATCCTCCTCCTCCACCACCGCCGCCCCAGAAGCCTCCATTCCCTCGCCTCCGCGGCGCCACCGGTCGCGGCCCGTTTCCGTCGGCCATACAGGCGCTCCACACGATCCAGACGACCACGGCGAAGAAGATCACGCCAAAGAGGTACGCAGACCAGTCGGTCCCGCCGTCACCGGCGCGGACGTCCGGGTGGCGCCTCTCGCCCTCGTCGGTCAGGACGACGCGGTACTCGACGCCGCAGCTGCCCTTGAGGACGTAGGGGTCGTCGGCGGACGAGTAGCCCTCGCAGATGACATCGGTGCTGCCGAGCTTGAGGGTGGGCGGGAGCGAGGCGGTGCAGGCCCACTGGACGTCCTCCCGGTCGTAGCCCGAGCCCTGGTTGGTGCATTGCATTGTCTCGATCTTGTGCAGCGAGCACAGCGCCCGTCCGGATATGCATTTTAGCTGGGGGATCGCGGTCACGCGGCGGTGCGTGGTCTTGCGGTCGGCGCGGAGGGTGAGGGATTGGACCTGGTGGGGGAGGGGTCAGAATGCTCGCTGTTGCTTGGCTGGTAGTCGGTGGTGGCTGGCGGGAAGTGTGAGTGAGGGTTTTTCTTAACTTACATCGGACAGGAGAATGGCATCCTTGGGCTTCGCTTTCGCTGCCAGCGATGGGCCAGCAAACTGAAGGGCGGTTAGGAGGCAGAGCGCGGGGTAGAGAAAGTCGAGTCGCATCGTGATTAATCGCGGTCTAGGACGCGCCGCTAGTGTGCTCAGGATCTGCAGTGTGCTCAGGATTTGAATAGCGGTACTCTGAAAACCAAGTCTGGTCAAGGAAAATGACGCGCACGGAAATAGAAAGTTGGACCGAAGTCCTGCAAAGGCAGAAGCAGATAGGGCTGCTCCAGGCAGCCAAAAGTGAGGCGGAGGACAGATGTCATGAGAAGGAGCAATGACGTTGATTGGATGATGGGCACTTGCCATCTGGCACAGAGTAGAGGTAATCCGTATTCACCTAACAGTACGGATAGGTATGGATCCATTATTTACTAAAGGTACTTACAGTACCTTAACTCAGGGTCCAGGTACCTACGTACCTACCTATTTAGGTAGGTAAGTAACAACACTTCTGCCAAGTTACCAATAATAATTTCTCGAGTTTCAATTATCCGTCAACACCCAGCAGGCACGCCTCCTTATTAAAGTCTTCTTGAGACGGGAGTTTACACTTTCTCCCGGGTTCCCCCAGAAGAGCCGCAAACGGTGGCTTTTCATTTATCATGCAACAGACACGCGTTGAATCTGGTGGTTCCCGGTATCACTTGGCGGGACGGCACCACCCCACATGGCATGGAACCCTGGTCTCGGTGGTCGGGGCCCTTAAGAGTCCGTTTCCCGGGTCCAGACTCCAGGTCCCCACCCAGCCTTAGGGGCGCAATCAAGACATTCACCAGAGAACCAAAGAACAGGGCGCCAATTGCGCCCGAATTCCTACCGGATTTCGGTAAGTCGGGGCTGATCTGCACTGCGATCGGTCCCCCGGCCGTACGTAAGATTCGCATAGCAAGAGTCATTACGCAGTTGCCGTAGTGGTCAGGCCGGGAAGACGCCCTTCCTTCCCCCCTTCGCCATCTCTGGCTTAGCGCCTGATGCAGTTTTCCCTTCGTTTCTCTGGCTTCGGAGAAATCTTATATTTTGTTTGGCTTCCAGCATCTTATGGTGGCGACTTGGCGAGCCGATCCTTTAGACTAGGGACTGTTTATGTATATCTTTGGCGGTCTCCACGCGACCCTTCGTCCCTTATGTCCCTATAGTATCCTAATTTTGCACCTTTTATTCGTACTTCTGTTCCCTTTCACGTCGCTCTCTACCTCTCTGTTATGACCTGGTCCCCCCTGTGTCGTTGTTAATCACCAGGGACATCGCCAAGCAAACGGGCTTGCTGCTCGCAGCTTCCAACACGAGGCGCAAAGCCCTTTTGGCTTGTTGGTGAAATTCCAACGATCCATACCTATCTTTAGTTCTCGCGAAACCCTCGACAGAATCCTCAGTCCGATCCAGCGGCGCAAGCCATGGCTGCAGAACTATCGGAGAAGGCCGCCGCCAACGGCCCGTCTGGCCGCTCCTCGAGCCATCGCAACTCGACTGACGGCACGATCATGGCTGGCACGACGGGGACCCAGCGAGGCCTGAGTCCCAGCCCGAGTCCCAGTCCCAATCCAAGTCGTTTAGCTCTGGAAAAAGCCGACAGCAAGGCCGCTCCTGCAAACAGCGCTGACGATGACGACCCTTTTAAGCACCTGCCCTCCCACGAAGCCGAGATCCTCAAGGCCCAAGTCACCGTTCCCGAAGTGAAGGCCGGTCTCGCCGCTCTGTACCGCTATGCCTCGCGCAATGATCTGATTATCATTGCCGTTTCGTCCGTGTGCGCAATTGCTGCTGGCGCCGCCTTGCCCTTGATGACTGTTATCTTCGGTAACCTTCAAGGCACCTTCCAAAACTACTTCAGCGGGATTGGCACATATGATGACTTCGTTGACGAGATCAGCCATCTCGTTCTCTTCTTCGTCTACCTTGCCATTGGCGAGTTCATCGCCAGCTACGTCTCCACTGTAGGATTCATATACACGGGAGAGCACATCAGCGCAAAGATCCGCGGGCACTACCTGGAGAGCTGCATGCGCCAGAACATGGGTTTCTTCGACAAGCTTGGCGCCGGCGAAGTCACGACTCGCATAACCGCCGATACGAACCTCATCCAGGAGGGCATCTCTGAGAAGGTCAGCCTGACTCTCGCCGCGATTGCCACCTTCGTCGCTGCTTTTGTCATCGGCTTTGTCACTTACTGGAAGCTCACCCTCATCCTGCTGAGCACCGTGTTCGCCCTGCTATTCTGCATGGGTGGCGGCTCGACCTTCATCGTGAAGTTCTCCAAGAAGAACGTCAACGCCTATGCCGAGGGTGGCTCCGTCGCCGACGAGGTCATCAGCAGCATTCGCAACGCCGTTGCGTTTGGCACACAGGACCGCCTAGCCAGGCAATACGACACGCACCTTGTTCGTGCCGAGACCTACGGTTTCAAGCTGAAGTCCACCCTGGCCATCATGGTTGCCGGCATGATGCTGATTCTGTACCTCAACTACGGTCTTGCCTTCTGGATGGGTTCGCGATATCTTGTCGACCACGTCATTCCCCTGAAGAAGGTCCTTATCATTATGCTCAGCGTTATGATAGGCGCATTTAACCTGGGAAATATTGCCCCGAATGCCCAGGCTTTCGTCACCGCCCTCGGTGCGGCTGCCAAGATCTTCAACACGATTGACCGTGCCTCTCCCCTGGACCCCTCCAGCAACGAGGGCGGGAAGTTGGAGAAGCTTGTGGGGACCATCCGATTGGAGAACATCAAGCATATTTACCCGTCGCGCCCGGAAGTTGTCGTCATGGAGGATGTGTCGCTGACCATACCTGCGGGTAAGACCACCGCCCTCGTCGGCGCCTCGGGAAGCGGGAAGTCGACTATCGTCGGGTTGGTCGAAAGGTTCTACAACCCGGTCGCTGGCAAGATCTACCTTGATGACGTTGATATCTCCACCCTCAACCTCCGGTGGCTTCGCCAGCAGATCTCTCTCGTGTCCCAAGAGCCGACTCTCTTCAGCACCACTATCTACGGAAACATCAAGCACGGTCTTATCGGCACCAAGTGGGAGAATGAGTCGGACGAGGTGCAAGAAGGGCTCATCTACGAGGCTGCCAAGAAGGCCAACGCGCACGATTTCGTCAGCTCCTTGCCCGAGGGCTACCAGACCAACGTGGGCGAGCGCGGATTCTTGCTCAGCGGAGGTCAGAAGCAGCGTATCGCCATTGCCAGGGCCATCGTTTCTGACCCCAAGATTCTCCTCCTCGATGAGGCCACAAGCGCTCTCGACACCAAGTCTGAAGGAGTCGTGCAGGCAGCGCTCGAGGTCGCAGCCGCCGGTCGCACTACCATCACCATCGCTCACCGGCTGTCGACCATCAGAGACGCGCACAATATCGTGGTTATGTCGGAGGGTAGGATCATCGAGCAAGGTACCCACGACGAGCTCCTAGAAAAGCGCGGTGCCTACTACGGTCTTGTCACGGCCCAGAACATTGCGGTTGTCAACGAATTGGACTCGGAGGAAGAAGAGGCGATCAACCAAGAACAGGAGAGGCTTCTTATCCGGAAGGCTAGCAGCAGGGCCAAGGAGGCCGGCGATGGCGGCAGCGGGGCCTTCGCCGAGGACCCTGATGACGCTATTGCCGCGAGACTCGGACGCTCGAGCACACAGAAGAGTGCCAGCAGCATGGCCCTCGCGGCGCGGCGGAAGGAGGCCAACCAGAAATACGGCTTGTGGACCCTGATCAAGCTGATTGCCAGCTTCAACCGGAAGGAATGGAAACTCATGGTCATCGGCTTGATCTTCTCCATCATCTGTGGTTGCGGAAACCCTACTCAGGCCGTCTTCTTCGCCAAGCTCATTTCGGCTCTGTAAGTTGAAATACGTTTCCCCTGTCAGAATTTCGTTTCTGCAGAGGCAGTATGTGCTAATTCTTTCCTTCTCCTCTCTAGCTCTGTTCCCGTCACATCAGCCACGATCCCCCAGATCCGCAGCGATGCTTCCTTTTGGAGCTTGATGTACCTCATGCTCGCTTTCGTTCAGTTCATTGCATTTTCCCTTCAGGGCGTTATCTTCGCCAAATGCAGCGAGCGTCTCATTCACCGGGTCCGGGATATGGCCTTCCGTTCCATGCTCCGCCAAGACGTCGAGTTTTTCGACATGGACGAAAACTCGGCAGGCTCTCTGACATCTTTCCTCAGCACCGAAACCACCCACGTTGCTGGGATTAGCGGCGTCACCCTCGGAACACTGCTCATGGTCACGACCACCCTGATCAGCGCCATGGTTGTCGGTCTGGCTCTGGGCTGGAAGCTGGCTCTCGTCTGCATCTCCACCATCCCCGTCCTCCTTGGCTGCGGCTTCTTCCGTTTCTGGATGCTTGCGCACTACCAAAGACGTGCCAGAAAGGCCTATACCGGCTCGGCGAGCTACGCCTCGGAAGCCATCACGGCTATTCGCACCGTCGCCTCGCTCACGCGTGAGGAAGACGTCCTGAGACAGTACCGGGAGTCGCTCGCTATCCAGCAGCGCTCCAGCCTGATATCAGTCTTGAAGACGAGCACCCTCTACGCTGGCTCGCAGTCGCTCACCTTCCTCGCCTTGGCTCTCGGTTTCTGGTACGGCGGCACCCTGATCGCCAAATATGAATACAGCATGTTCCAATTCTTCGTCGTCTTCTCGTCGGTAATTTTCGGCGCCCAGTCTGCGGGAACCGTGTTCAGCTTCGCCCCCGACATGGGCAAGGCCGTCGAAAGCTCCCGCGCTCTCAAGACGCTCTTCGACCGCAAGCCCACAGTCGACACGTGGTCCGAGGAAGGCTCCAAGGTGGATTCAGTTGACGGCCACATTGAATTCCGTGACGTCCACTTCCGCTATCCGACGCGGCCTGACCAGCCAGTGCTACGGGGTCTCGACCTTGCCATCTCGCCCGGGCAGTATGTCGCGCTGGTCGGCGCCTCGGGTTGCGGCAAGAGCACGACCATCGCCCTGCTCGAGCGCTTCTATGACCCTCTCGCCGGCAGCATCCTGGTCGATGGCAAGGAGATCAGCAACCTCAACGTCAACGAGTATCGCAGCTTCATTGCGCTTGTATCACAAGAGCCGACGCTGTATCAGGGTAGCATCCGCGAGAATATCATCCTCGGGTCGCCGCACCAGGTTACGGATGAGCAAGTCGAGTTCGCTTGCAAAGAGGCCAACATCTACGACTTCATCCTCTCGCTCCCCGACGGCTTCAATACCGTGGTCGGCTCCAAGGGCACCCTGCTGTCGGGAGGCCAGAAGCAACGTATCGCAATAGCACGCGCTCTCATCCGCGACCCCAAGATCCTGCTCCTCGACGAGGCCACCAGCGCGCTCGACAGCGAGAGCGAGCACGTCGTGCAGGCGGCTCTAGACAAGGCCGCAAAGGGCCGGACCACCATCGCCGTCGCGCATCGCCTCAGCACCATCCAGAAGGCCGACATCATCTATGTATTCGACCAGGGCCGCATCGTTGAGCGGGGCACACACCCCGAGCTGATGAGGATGAATGGGCGATATGCCGAGCTTGTCAACCTGCAGACGCTGGAGAAGCACGGATAGATGTGAACCCATTTAAGATACGGTTGGCTTACCTGGCATTGCGTTCGCTATTCTACAATATCCCCTTTTTGTCATATCCTCGGCATTTTGCATTTCATATTGCATCATGGAATGGGCAAGGGAATTTCCTTGGTGAGCAACTTTCTCATGGAACAGGAAGCGTTAAAAGTCGTTTGTATTTTCCTTTGTTTGTCCAGATGAAAAGGGCGTAGCACTGCTGTACTGGAAAGATTAGATGTCTCCTCCCCCCAGTTGTTTCGTGGGTTCAGGGGCTAGGCGTGAAGGGACACTTCACTCCTCCTTTTGCCTCGCCCACGCATCCTCTTAATCATACTTTGTAATCAACAATCTACTCTGATACAATTGCAATCGGATTGATCCGATATCTGGCATTCTCGAGTGATTCACAGTGCTCTCGCTGTGCATCTAACCATAAGCTGGGTACGTAGGTTATGCATAAATGCATATCACAAGCATGGGTCACTTTATGGCATTAAATCAACTTGTCCCGCCGAGCTGGATCCCACCTGTGACAAACAAAACAACGCCCATGACAATCCGAATTTGGCCCTGACTTCACTGGTGCCTGTCGGAAACCGAAACTATTTGCAGCGAATTACGTCTCATCCACTCACAATGGGTCGTCCTCACTATACGAAGCTGCAAATGGCCCAGATCCAGATGCTCCTCCTGGAAGGCAAGGCTTCGAACGTGGAGATCGGGGCGCTAGTGGGTTGCAGTGAACGTCAAGATACAGCGATATAGGGTGGTTTTCCAGACTACCGGGACTATATACCACCCAAGAAGGTCGTCTACCAATGCTACGAAACTGACCGAGGCTGATTTCCAAGTTAGTGCTTTGCGTCAACTGCGTTTGACGGTTGACTAACTGTATCTGACCTATGTAGGAACTACTGGACCACTTGAAGCTCAAGCAAAACCTATATCTTGATGAGATGCAATGGTTCTTGAGCGAGCACTGCGGCGTGTTTGTCCATACCACGACCATCTCGAAGCGGTTGGCCACCGTGGGCTGGTCGAAGAAGAAGGCGGATATTATAGCTAGCGCGCGTGACGAGGCCCCACGAAGCTATCACCTGAACATCATGGCGGATTATTCGGCCGAGCAACTTGTCTACGTGGACGAGGTCGGTGTTGTTGAGAAGCAAGACCGTCAGCGCCGTACCGGAATGTCACCAAAGGGGGCTCAACCCTCTCCCACAGCACCCCTTGATCTGAGCTCACGGCTTCATCTCTTGCCTGCCCTGACGACTGAAGGTCTCTTAGACCTACTCGTATACCGAGGGTCCACTGATCGAAGAGGCCTTATCGTGTGGTTACGAAGGAATGTCATACCGAAGATGAATCGATTCCCGGGGAAGCACTCGGTCCTGGTAATGGACAACACCACCTGGCGCCACGGCCCTGACCTTGACGCCCTTCGTGACGAGTTCGGCATACGGATCATATACCTGCCTCCATATTCGTCAGACTTCAACCCAGTTGAGGGGTACTTCGGCGACGTGACGGTGGCACTTCGAAAGCACTCCCGGTTTAAGCTTGACAAGTGGGACAGCCCTGAGGAGTTCCGGGATTTCCTCGCTGAAATTGCGCGCGAGGTCGGGTCAAATCTTGAAGTGATACGAGGGCATTTTCGTCCAGCTAAAGCTAAAGTATGACATGGATGCATAACCAGGTACCATGTAGGTAAATCTAAAAATACCCCCCTAGCGCCCTGTGGATATGCGAATTGGAGCGGGCTCCGCTGAGGAGGAGGGGCTGGCCGGAACGGGAAAAACCTGGGAGGCGGGGTCTTGAATTTTTCGCTCCAGACCGCCCAAAAAGTTTATGGCACCCAGATAAGTTTCGATACGAGTCAACCAAACCACACCTCCCTATACGACCCTCTAGAGCCCAAACACGTTCACAGAGGTCGCCATGCCCAAGTCAAAAAGAGCAAAGGTGTTTCACCTCACCCAAGTGACGAAGAAGACACGGGAGCAGAAGGAGAAGCTCTTCGAGAACATCCGAGAATGCATCCCCAAATACGAGCGCTGCTTCGTCTTCAGTGTCGATAACATGCGCAACAACTACCTGAAGGAGGTGCGACACGAACTGAGTGACTGCCGGTATGTGCCTATACCCCCCCTCCCGCTGGCTAATGGAGCACCTCCCGAAAAAATCCAGAAACAGAGCAGCAACAAGCAAACAAGCACCTCTTGCTGACCCCACCCGCAGCATCTTCTTCGGCAAGACCAAACTCACCGCCCGCGCCCTGGGCACAACCCCCGACAACGCCCAAGCCGACGGCATCAACCGGCTGACCCGGCACCTCTCCGGCTCGGTGGGGCTCATCTTCACCGACCGCGCCCCGGGCTCCATAGTGACCTACTTCGGCTCCCTCTCGCCCGTCGACTTCGCCCGCGCCGGCGCCACCGCCCCGCGCACCTTCGTCATCCCCGCGGGGGTCGTCTACAGCACGGGCGGCGCCGTGCCCGCCGACGACGACGTCCCCGTCTCGCACTCGCTCGAGCCCGAGCTGCGCCGCCTCGGCATGCCCACCCGCCTCGTGCGCGGGCGCGTCATCCTGGGCTCCGAAGACCCGGACGCAGAGGGGGACCTGCAGAGGGACGGCTACACCGTCTGCCGCGAGGGCCAGGTCCTGGACTCGAGGCAGACGAGGCTGCTGAAGCTGTTTGGCGTGTGCATGAGCGAGTTCCACGTCCGGCTGCTGGCGTACTGGACCGCCTCGACGGGCGAGGTGACGGAGCTGGATGTCGGCGGCGATGGCATGGAAGGGGTGGAGAATGTGGACGAGGATGAGGCGAGCGATGAGTGAGTTGAATTGATGAGTGCCGTGAGGGCCGGGCCTTTTGTGGGAACGAGGTGGGGAAATTGGGAAGAGGCGGAAGGAAACTTCTAGGCGTCCCTTCTCTTCCCCCCCTGCACCCTCCTGAACTGAGAGAGAGCGCAAGATCCGGGGAAAGGAGATGAATCGTGCTTTTGCGCCTTCGTGTTCATATAGGGGTGTTTTGATACCATATACTCTCTGGGTCGGAATGGGCTACGGGCGTTTCGAGTGGGAAAAGAAAACACACAATAAACGACTGGCATGACTCCTGCAAGCTGTTGTACTCAAGTGACCCGGACACCCCTTTGTTCGATAACTAGGTGCCTACCTACCTACGTATTAACCGAAAACTTGGATGTCACAACGTATATCTCTCTATCCATCGGCAAGGAGGGACCTTTTTGCCATTTTGTCCTTCTCGTACACTAAGACACATGAGGTAAACAAGGGTGATGGGTAAGTAAATAAAACAGGAGACAAGGAAAAGAATATAGGAAAGCCCTGACCGGCCGAACCCGATCTCCCAAGGTCAGCAGGCTTTTCACTCCCTTACCTCTGACCTGACCTCACCGGGCCCCGTGTGTCCTCTAAAGCTAAGCTCTTTCCTGGGCCACCCGTGGGCAAATTGATAAAATACAAAAAACGGATTACCTTCCGAAACGAACTTTTCTTTTCTCCCGGTATTGGTGCATAAGAGCTTCTGCATAGGCATTGCTGCTTGGGTTGGTGAAACGGCGCAGGGAAGTGATGCAAGTAATAATGAAGTCCACTGAGACATGTGGATGGCGGAGATAGTTGCAGGGTCGCGGTTGTTGTCAGGGTATCTGACACACAAGGATCATTACCTGTGAGACGTCGATCTTCCGAAAGCTCTCTTGGAGGTTGCTGTGGTGGCCCATGTAGTGCCCGGGATGATGAACCGGCTTACCCTTGATGGCGAAGGGATGTGAAGAGATTGAGACGAGGGGGTGAGTGAGAGTAGTTTAGATACCCACCACAAGACAAGGGCGATCGCCTCTTTAATAGCGTCGCAGTTTCCGAGGATCTTCGTATCCCCCACCCTCATGGCTGCGCTTCCGCGAGTCGTCGTCTCTGGGCCGGTCGTAGTCTCTGCCGCCACGAGCTCCACCGTCTCTGGGTCGGATAGGGTCCATGTTGCTGCCTGTCCGCCGGTTGTCACGGTCTCGGAAGCCGCCGCCTCCAGATCTATCATCATATGAGCGACCACCTCCCTCACGGCCATACCCACCGCCCTGACCACCGCGCTGCTCAGAGAAGTCCCGCCGGCTGTCACGGCCGCCGCCGCCGTAACCACCACCGCCGTACCCGCCTCCCGGTCCGCTAGGGGCGTGGGACGGGGCAGAGAAACCATTCGGCCCTCGGTCGCCGCCCCCTCGGCTACCAAAGTCACCACCCCCACGGCCGCCGAAGTCGCCGCCCCCACGGCCACCGAAGCCGCCGCCACGGAAGCCACGGTCGCCACGGTCGCCGCCGAAGCCGCCTCCGCCTCCGCCCCTAAACCCGCGGTCTCGGCCGCCGTAACCACCCCGGAAGCCTCCTCGGAAGCCACCGCCGCCGAAGCCACCGGGCCCCATGGGTCGGGACGGCATCGTCTTAGTGTAACCCCGACCGCCCAGGCCTCCGCCGAAGCGGCGGGGTTTCCACCCCTTCACAGTCCGGCCTCTCTCGACGTCTACCTTGATACGCCGATCCCTGATACGGATGCCATCACAACTATCCAGTGCAGCTAATCACATGCGCGCCGAGCGCGCATTTGTCAGTAACGCCTTACCATGTTTACCTTTGGCTTATGACTCGTGATTTGGATTGGGTGTGGGGGGGTTGGGAACAAGAAGGGCGAGACAGGCAAGCTTGAGGGCCATGGTCTCGTGTGATACATGATGAGTCTGCTGGGTGGGGATAGAGTAGAATGGGAAAGTCAGTGGTGGGTTTACCTCTCATATCTTTTTCGCGTTCGAATACTACGAAAGCATAGCCACGGTGGGGTTTACGTTTCTTGTTACCCTTCTCATGCGCATGAGTATCTGTGATAATCCGAATCTATCACCATATTGTCAGCTGCGAGGCTCAAAAGATTTTCCTGTCATGGCGGAAGGCTCACGCGTTCAATGGGCCCAAAGCGGCCAAACTCTCTCTCGAGATCTTGTTCGTTCGCTTCGTAGCTCAGACGCGCCACGATCAAGGTCTTGAACGCATCTCCCCGAATATTGGGGTCCTGGCTGGGGTTATCTGCAAACAAGGTTTCGAGTTAGTTAGGTATGTCTAGAGAAGGAGGAGTAGTCCAGGTAGGAAACGGGGGTCTCATACATGACTTTGGGGCCTCGTTCACGAGGTGATGTATTTTGGCCTCGTGCTCGCGCTTCTTGCGATCGCGCGCTTCGAGCCAGCTTTCGGTGGGCTTGTATTCGTGTTCCTTCCCGTACCTAGCCAGTTCTGGTAGGAACTCGGCGACCCCCGAGATGGCTGCTGTCTTGCGCTTCTCGGGTGCATAGTCGCTAGGCGGCACCCATCGCAGGGGAGGGCGCGGCGCAAAGAGCGCGAGGAGATTTTGGGGGAGCTTGTCCGTCATTTCACCAGTATCATTCCTATGCGCCGATGAATATGACTGGATGTCGAGATCACAATCAAAGGAAAGAACTGCTGGGTATTTCTATCGTGCGATGACGATACCGTTTTAAAAGAAGACAAGGCAACGTAGTTTTACCCATTCGCGTCGTCGTTGGCAAAACTAAGAATTACCTTATTAGTACGCATGGCCTGGACATACCTAATCTCATAAGTGGTCCGTGCAACCCTTCAAGTGTTCGGTCACGTGCAAAGCATTTTTCATTGCAGCGACCACTGGCTACCCAGCTCGACCACGACGGCAGCTCTAGGGACACTTCAATCATGAGGCCAAGCCCTCAGACACTGCCACGATGACGATAAGACCATTGCAGAAGATTTCTTCTGGCCGAGTAGGTTTATGCTCCTCCTTCTCGTGGCGCATACAAGCTAACTTGCCTGAAGAACGGCCTCGGGGCCTTCGTCTTGCAATGCAAGAAGATGGACTTCCACTACTGCGACTGGGCAGGGAGTTCCAGGGGCATGAAGTATGCATTCCCAGACAGCTTTGCACCTCATCTAGGTCTTTTTCCGCTCACAACTCCACAGTGGTTTTATCAAGTCGCATCTCCCCCAATTCGCCGCCGCACACCCCCAGATCGAGTTCACCGTTTCGCCCCGGCCCTCGAAACACCCCGTCATTATCGGGCACTACATCAATGGCCGCCAGAAGGCCATCTGCGTACGGAATATGGAGCCTCTACAGGTCATGCGGAAGGCAGAGTTGCTACGGGATGCCAGTGGGGAGAGGCTGAGGAGGACAGCGAAGCCCGTCCAGAGCACCAACCCCAGTGTCAGAGGTATTTGGTCGCCATTCCATGGCAACGGGATGGCAGTATAGATGGACGACGGCATTGCGTGTACAAATAAGCAGGCGTATCAGTGGGCCGTGGCTGCCTCTGGGTTGCGGCATGTACCATATCAAGGCTGTTAGGGAACTAGACCGTCTAGGGGTTCCTGTTGTGGCTCCCATGTTCTGTATTAAGGTGGTCGGGAAGGCAAAGCATGCAAGTTGCAATATCTCTCGGGAACAGGGGCTGACATTGTACCACACAACGGTAATGGGCAGATATGCAAAATGTGCCATATATCTTTTCTATTCATGGGTCCCAATTGTCCTCTTAACTTGCCCATACTCCTTCCTATTTTCCGCCTTGATATCCGCAGTGGTGTGACCTTTCTGGAGATTTACTGCTTGCTGTTGATGATATCGACGACTGCCTTAAGTTAGCTTTAACTGGGGACATGGCGCACTCAAAAAGTAGCGACTTACACTCGGGCTTGAGGCTGGCTCCGCCGACAAGGAAACCGTCGATATCCTTCTCCTTGGCCAGGTCCTTGCAGTTCTTGGCACTCACGCTGCCGCCGTACAGGATCCTCGTCTCCTCAGCAACGGTCTCGCTCACGTTCTCCTTCAGCCACTTGCGAATAGCCTCGTGGACCTCCTGGGCCTGCTGGTTGGTGGCGACCTTGCCGGTGCCAATGGCCCAGATGGGCTCGTAGGCAACGACGACGTTCTTCCAGGCCTCGGGGCCGGCGAGGGAGGAGCGGAGGGCCTCGAGCTGCTTGGTGATGACGTCGAGCGTCTTGCCGGCCTCGCGGTCCTCGAGCGACTCGCCGCAGCACCAGATGACGCCGATGCCGCCGTCAAGGGCGAACTTGGTCTTGGAGGCAACGACGCCGTCAGTCTCGCGGAGTATAGTGCGCCGCTCCGAGTGGCCCAGGATCGTCCAGTTGATCTTGCTGTCCTTGAGCTGCGAGACGCTGATCTCGCCCGTGAAGGCGCCGTTGGGCTTGTCAAAGACGTTCTGGGCAGCCACCTCGATCTTAGAGTTGAGGTGCTCTCGGACGAGGAGCAGGTAGAGCGAGGGAGGGGCGATCACAACCTCTGTTTGACGAGTTGGTGAGTGAGCATTAAGAGCCTCTAGCTAGGGCCAGAGTTCGGGTAGGTACGAGGTGCAGGCCATCATCAAAGTACGCACCGACGTTGGGGTCCAATTGGGCCGCGTTCAGGTTCTTCACGATCCCCTTCACGGACTCAATGGTCCCATTCCTATCATGGGGTGATTTTCTCGATCAGTTCCGAGCCCAGCTTCATGGTTCATGGTGGGGTTCGGAAGCCCGATGGCGGGGTACCAACTCTACTCACATCTTGAAGTTGCCACCGACGAAGAACTTGCGAGCCATGATGGGCAATAGTAGTGCTCTGTTGGATAAGTGAGGTTGATTGGAGGTGTTAATGGATCAGGCAAGTTGTAAAAAAAAGGATTCTCTGGCTGGAAGTGCAGACTTTGGGGAACGAGGTAATTGCTGCGGAATGGAAGCTACCTGCAACTGCGGGACTAAAAATCCACGCTTGGCATCCAACGTGGGCTTTAGCAAACGCTAGAAATCAGCCCACAGCTTCCATGGTAGGTACCTATAGAGTTACCGAGCCTTGAGCCACGCTTGTACGGATATCGAGTGTCCGGTCGGACTCGATCGCATGGTATGTCACTCATGGATGATATTTCTCTAGGTGGGTATGCAAAGGTTCTTGGAAAGGGGCAATGGTAAAGTCCCAGCTGTCTCATAGCCTGTTTCTCTCGGCTGCAGCGCATCATTGTTGTGACAACCCTGTTGTTCAAGCCCACCTCCAACGCTGAAATATGTAAATCTTCAACGGGTTGGTCCGGAGTCTATCACTCTAGCCCTTAACGAAGAAGCCGCCTCTCCTTTTCGGAGCTCTCTTTCTCACCAACATGACCTCTCTCCGGTTCTTGGATTGCTTGCCAGCCTTGGGAGCCAGCTTCCCATCCGTCTTGTCCGTCATGACTCGATACACGGTCGAGCCGACTCTCCGGTCGCGCGGTGGCCGGTCCCCGCGAGACGACCTTCTTTCCCCGTTATCAAATCTAACCTTCTTAGCTTGCCGAGCCGTTGCCAGCTCAGTTTTCCCCGTCTCCTCGTCGTCTTCATCGTCAGACTCGAGAAGTTCAAGGGGGAGGACATCAGGAATCTCCAGCTTCCTCTTCCGCTGCACCTCTGGCCTCAATCCTTCGCCAGCTGCCTGATCCAAGTCGTCCACAGACCCCGATCTCCCATCCTGCGCGGCGAGCTCCGAAGTACGCTTGCGCGCCTCGGCTTGCTTCTTGAACAACGCATCTCGCTCTTGGCGCTTGCGTCTCTTGGCAGCAGTTTGTCTATAAGGGTTATTAGCTTCATGCATCCCGCGGATTGCACGATATGGCAACTCACTCTTCAGCAGCCTGGGCGGCGGCTTGGGCGTGTCCTGTTGATTGTGCGGCAGCTTGACGTGAAGAAACCGCCTCTGGTGGAGCGTCGTCGTCGGAGTCTTCCTCCTCCTCCCCAACCGGGTTCTCCGATCCAGGCCCAGGCTGGGTAGGCGGAGCAGCGCTGCTCTCCAACCACTCCTTTGCGGGCTTTTCCAATGGAGTGACAAACTCATCGTGGTCATCGTCGTCGAAGACGATGTGCTTCCTCTCCGCTATGGGCGTTTTGAAGATCTCCTCGTCGCCGCTCACATCCCCCTCATCCTGGCTGTCCCCAATCTCCTCAATTACCCTTGTCTCTTTGGGCAACCTTGAAAGTGGGATCTCGATGCTGACAGACTTATGGCTGCTGTAAACGGCGTTCTTGCCGCGGACAGGCAGCTTCTGCTTTTTCGTTGCTGGTTCATTTTCCAAGACTGGTTGATCAAGAGTCCCGTCAATAGACTTTCTTTTCTCCGTCGCCGGAGAGCCTCCGTGATCAGACCTCTGGTGTTCCGTTTTGTCGGCCATGACTTTGTTGGGAAGCGCCGTTGGTAGTAGGAGAAGTTCAAATTCAAATTTATCTCACAACCTCACAGGAATCAGCACCACCTGTTGAGTAAGTGCCTGGGTGGTTACTAGAGCTGGACTAGAATTCAGATTTGCGGGTGTTGACTGAGGTGAGCATCCTCTCAAAAAAGTCTTCAACGGCAATTTTATTGGCCAATCCGTAGTGAAGATCCACTTTTATTCCGCTGCCATTCTTAGCTGCAGCAATACTTCAATGCTGGTCTGACCCCATGGTTCACTGTGAGTCCAGGCCAAGTTGTCCCCAATGTTGTTCCGTCTTAACTGGAATTAGGGCGAAATTGATGCTTATATCATTTCTTAGATCTGCCCACTTGCTCGCTCCAAGCCTGAATTACCAATCAGGAGGCCGAGCTTTCATGGAATGATGGTCACTATAGAGTTCAGTCGAGAATAGAGACAGGTAGCTGTGGCGTTATCAGTCATGATGCCCACTCGTTCATGTCTCCTGCCAGCGACAAGGTCGCTCTGCCGTGTGGGAACTGGGCGGGTGATCGCGGGCCACTCTTTATGGAACCCTCAGCATCTTCTGGGAAAGGCCCAGAGGCGGCAATTGCTCAACTATCACGTTCGAATCCCCGGGGCATCTCGTTCGCTTGCGACACAAATTAGGAGTGGGAAAAGAGTATTTGCAGAGGATGATATTCCTCCCCTTGAGTTCTGGAAACAGAGTGTCGTTGGGGGAACCCTCGCGCCTGAAGACTGCCACGAGATTGTCAAGAAATACTGCGAACTGGCCAAGTTGCAGGAGTCAACATGGAAAGGCAAACTGGAAAAGGGTGAGAGAATCATGCCCGAGAAACTCACATGATTTTCCCCTCGACTGACAAGCTATCCAGATCACAAAATCAGCCCTGAAACATTGCACTCTTTGGCCATAATCCTAGTATCCGGCCCTCCGTCTCCCTTATGGAGACTCGGGCTGCACATGCTGGCCACAGCCTCGGATCTGGGCTTCACCCTCTCGACTCTCCTCCTCATCCGCCTAATGCGACAATCTGATGATACCAGCAAAGTTTCTGGGTCGACTCTGTTCCGGAACGCCCTGGCTCGATTTCAGGATATTGTCCGGCAGAGACAAGATCCCGATGCGCTGACGCTGCAAGGGCTGATACTGGCAGACCAAGGCGACAGCGGGAAAGCTCTAGCATCCTTCGACCAAGCCTTGCGCATCGGGTCCAGCCACGAACCAAAGGGGCCGATACGCCAAGAGACCTCCCTGGGAAGGAGCCTCGAAGCGGACCCTGGGAGCGACCATGGGACAGATGAGAGTGACCCGCAGCCAAAGGTACGACCGTTCCGGTGGAGCTGGGAGGCTTCCTGCCACATCGGCCGGGCCAAGATCCTCCTCCAGCAAGGGCGTCGGGACGAGGCCGTCGCGGCGATGCGGATCGCCGCGCTGGAACTCGATAATATGCAAGGCTACTTCGAGCTAGCGAAGATGCTGCCCGAGGACGCGCCGGAGAGGGTCCAGTATCTGCAGACGGCAGCTGTTTCGGGGCATCTGGAAGCCTGTCGGCTGCTTGGGGAGAGCGAGGTACAGATGGCTAGGGAGCCGGGACGAAACAAGGGTGACGCCCAGGAGCACAGCTTGTGGGCCAGTGAGTGGTTTTCGCTGGCGGGTGACGTTGAGAAGTCGGCCGGTGCTCGTTGGGCATTCGCATCGTGATGCGGGAAACAACTTGTAAGGGGTTGAGTCCTTTCCGGGGAAGAAACCTTGACGAGGAAAGGGGAGCACTGCTGGTGCCTAGATACTTCGGCCTTGTATAACCAATACCCTTGTACAACTAATATATAACTTATGCCCAACAAGATGTTCCCCACGATGCACAGCTTAAGAGAAGGGGCGTGCCCGAGGTTGTAGTTGACGTCCCAGATTACTCCATATTCGTCCGATTAGCGCCTTTACGAACGCATCCAGGACAGCAGGCTAAGGTGTATTGAATACTGATACAGGTGAGATCATCGTACAGTTCTGACATCCATACGGCGGCCAGGTCCTCCCCAGACTCAAGGTATTGCTCATTGAGATCGTAGTCGCGGACCCAGCTCCCATTTCCCTCAGCCGCATTCGACCGGCCGTATCTTCCCTCGCCCCTCGCCACTCGCCCCTCCCCAGCACTCCTCACGGCGAACATCATACACTATCCTTATCCCCTTCTCTTATCGCCCGCACCGCCTCCTCCCACCCCTCGCTCCCGACCGCCTTACCCCCAAACCTCACGATATTCTCCTTGTACGGGTGTGCATCCCCCTCGAACGCCTTGAGCCTCGCCAACCTCTTATCCCGGAGCCTGTTCTTGGGCAGCATCCCGCTGACGGCCTTGCGGAGGACCTCCGCGCCGCCGTGGCGCTCCATTAGGTTGTCCATGGTGATGGAGCGCAGCGAGCCCGGGCGGGTGTTGTGGCGGTAGTAGAGCTTGCGCCACTTCTTGTGGCCCGTCGTGTACAGCGCCGCGCACCCCGTCGCCACCACGTAGTCGCCGCAGTCCGTCGACGGGTCCCAAACCGGCTTGTGCTTGCCCATCAGCAGCACCGCGATCCGGCTCGCGAGCCGGCCGAGCGACGGTGGCGTCACCGCCGAGGCGGGGGCCTTGATCGTGCTGAGGGTCGGGTGAGGCGTGCTGGCTGATACATGGTGCCAGACGCGTGAGTAGGCGAGTCGGGTCTGAGGTTGGTGGTTAGTTCAGTTCCTTTGGTTCAAGGGCGCTTGCGATGTCGGGGGATAACTCACCAGGCCGACTGTCTGCGACATCCTGAAGGGCCGGGTGGGAACGAGTCCCTCATATAATGCACCCCGGCAGGCTAGTAATTGATCGAGGAGGAGACCTGATCAGATCAATTGGAGCTTCAAAGTGGCGGCGGTTCGACTTTTGTTCCAGTTTAGCTAACGCAAGGATAGCTATCGAAATCGTGCTTGATTTCGAAAGTTTAATGCCAAGACCTCGAAATTTTGCTACGTGACGAGGCACGTGTTCCAAAGGGATTATCGGAGCTCACGAAGTTGCTGCACGGTGGAGCTTGGCCAAGCACCTCACTTCGGAGCGCCACTGATTTCAAAGCAATTGTACGGCAAGTAATTCCTGTGGTTCCTAGGTTCCCTTCTCTCCCTTAACCAGTCCTGGTTTACATTGTCTCATTAATCTTCCATTTTATCTTCATGCGTCGTCTTCCTAGATATACCACTAGTGTATCTGGCTTCGTTTTTGTTGCTTCTTGTACTGCATATATTTGGCACAGACAACAGCAAAAGAGAGCGGAATTAACAACAGAAAATCGAAGGAAAATGGCTGTCAACACCCCTTTCCAGGTCCGTAACTCCACTTTTTCATGGCCTTCGTGTGAAACAGTCCGCCGAGGAGACCAAGAGGAAAATTCTATACCCTGCTTCTTTTCGGCGTGGCTGATCGGACTTTGAAACAGACCGTTTTCGCGGTACCCATGACATGTGACAGCTGCGTCAAGGATGTGTCAGAGTCTTTACACAAGCTCAAGGGTATCACCAAGGTGGAGGCCAACCTCCAGAACCAGTTAGTCTCAATTGAAGGAACAGGTATGGTCTGAACCCAGGGGCATCGCCATAGGGCATATCACAGTGAAAACATTCCTGGAATGACTAGCTCATCCTGTCAACCCTCCGCTTGGGGACTTTGACTGATTGATGCCACAGCGCCACCATCTGCAATTGTCGGAGCCATTGAGGCCACAGGCAGAGACGCCATCTTGCGAGGGTCAGGGGCTTCAAACAGTAGGTGCACTGTTGGCAACATCCCCCCAAGAGACAAGCCTGTCCCGCGCCTCGATGCTTGACCTTGAATCCCATATGTCGTTTGATAACACCCTGTACATGTTCTGTTCCCTTAATAACACGGACTGTGCCTTGATAACACAGACTGTGGCTGTATTCCTTGAGACCAACCTGTTCACACTTTGACCACTTCGCTAGGTGCCGCGGTCAGTATTCTCGAGACATTTCATCGTCCAGACGGGGACCAGTCGTCTGTGGCACCTGTTGAGGGAGACGATGACAGCGATAGAGATGTCAAGGGCTTGGCACGGATGGTTCAGGTGTCGCCTACGGTGACCCTGGTGGACCTCACGCTGCGCGGCGTAACCCCGGGCACATACCGGGCAACGATCCGGGAATACGGCGATCTCAAGGACGGGGCGTCGTCGACGGGGCCCGTGTGGGCTGGGGAAGCGGCTGCAACCAAGCCTCGAGGATTTCTAGGGACCGTCGCGGTTGGGAAGGATGGGAGGGGAAGCGCTTTCCTCGACAGCCCCTTCAAGGTGTGGGAGGTTATCGGTCACGCCATGGTTGTTTCCAAACAGGACGAGAGCGATGGTTCGCCATTGAAGAACGACGAGGATACTGTGCTTGGCGTGGTTGCACGAAGTGCGGGCATGTGGGATAATGACAAGACTGTCTGCTCGTGCACAGGCAAGACGTTATGGGAAGAGAGGAAGGATGAGGTGAGGAAGGGAATGCTCTGAGAGGAGTTGGATACCGGACGCCACTGTGTCACCTCTGAGGTCCAAGAGCCAGATATGTATTCCCAAGAATATTCTCTCGTTAAGGCAACTTGCAGAAGGTCATTGACCATCAAGGTATCGAGATGGAAGTATGGGAGGTTGATCCTCAGCTTGCCACCTAACTAACCCCCCAACCACGATCGCTCCCTGAACGCTCGTCGGACAGGCCTAGTAATGGACGTGGGTGTTGAATTAAGTCTCCGATTCACTTCCAGCCGGCCAATCATTTTTACGAGCACTTTCTCCGGTAGCAGGGGTTTGAAATAGAGTTGTTCAGTATCAGCGAAGCTGATAAAACCCTGCTCTGTTGGAGCCCAGGAAACCCCAATTTCCATCTCTTTCCATCTTCTATTCGAATAATGATGTTTTCTATCGGCATTGTATAATGGGTTTTAACTCGAGGGTAAACTGTACCTGAGGCTCTTATTGCAGGGTTTAAGACAGCATGGGTACGGGCCGGACCGTGCACGTGCCAGTAGGTAAATGTGTACCGAGCAGGTATCCATCTGCACAGCAACGACGTCTTCCAGGGCCAGAAATCCAGGAGTCCAGGACCAGCCGTAACCACAAGAGGCACGGAGATGATGATCGAAAGTCGATTAGGCGCCCTGCGACGTTGCTCATGCGGGAGACCAGAGGGGACCAGGGTCTAGGCCAATCAGCGGCGAGCCTCGGGTGGCTGGAACACCTTGTGCATGAGGATGGCTGGTCTTTGATTCGCAAGGGTTCCAAGATGTCTGTGACAGACAATATCGCATTGCATTAATGCAAGGGCTGCGAACTGTCGAGATTTGAGAATTCCCCATCCGAGTCTCACCCAGAAATCCCATCCGCCAACAGGCCAGCACAGATGCGGCCTCCTGTCCATCCATACAGCAGAGGCGCATGGCGGGCAATTAATCCTCAGATAGTCGAACTGCACAAATCATGTCGCACTGCAGAATGTTGCACTGGAGGCGCGCGGGTCCTCGACGTGTGGAATCTGCGAGCAACGGCGAGCCAGTGCCAAGCACAGGTGGGGAGAGGGGCGGCGTTTCGAAGGGGTACTAAATCATGGGTACCAGTGCCACTGTCTAAACCCGCAACACCCATCCATCTCATTCATGATCTCATTGCCGTGCTCTGCTTCTGAAAGTGGTTCGATTTTGAATCTCTCAGAGATAACATTCGACTCTTGTGCCATCCAACCAGTGAACCAACCAGTCCCCCCAAAGATCTGCAACTAGTAGAAGGCCAAGAAGCCATTCAGAGTCCCACTTTTACCTTCCCGCAACGGGTTCCCATCGATCGATTGTTCTCGATGGTCGACCTACTCTGTGACAATCGTCCGTACTGCGCATTCTACTTGGGCCAGGGATTGACAGGCTTGAAGAAAAGCCACCCCACATAGCCAGCCCTTGAGACACGGCGTTGGGTCCCAAATGCACCCCCCCTTTCCAGACCCAGTTGCTGCAAACACTCCCCTCCCCTTTCTTTTTCTTCTAGGGTTCCAAGGCTCCATATTGGCTGATGGGCACAGAGATGCCAGTCAGCGAGCAGAGGAGGCAGATGAGGCGGAGACACACACCCCTATACCCCTGTTCGCTGTAACAGGCCATCGCACAGGCCTGGGAATATCATGCAGGCCACTGCCGGACCCGGACTGTGAAGCCAAAACAGGACCATACAAGCCTAAGAACGAGCCGCCCTGTCCCTTTTCCCTCGAGTCTCAGTCCCTCCTCGGTCCCTCCTCGAGTCCCTCCTTGTAGACGCTGGCATTTTCGTCCTCCATCCACTCATTCGACCCGCTCTTCCAACCCGTCCTCTCGTATTCTCTCAGTCTTTCTCCTTCTCCAACAATCAACATCCTCTCGCCAGTTCTCAGTAGCGTCGACCAATTTCCGACCTCAAGTCAGTCTTTTCGGGCCTGAATAAATCCAACAAGAGAGCAAGATCCACGACGGTTGGTTCGCAGCTGCAAGCCACCAATAAAGCCGAATCCGAGGATTTGGCACGGGGACCTCGTACCTACATAAAAACGTGTCCAACAGAACAAGAGGAGCAAATTACATCAGCTCATCGTCTATCCACCCATCCATCCATCCATCCATCCATCCATCTATATCCATTCCCATTACCAGCTCTCATTACTCTGCTGCACCAATAAGCAAGCGCCGGAGGAGCGACGCATCCCCGGTCAGATTTGGGGAAGGGAAGAGAGAGCGAGTGAAGGGAGTGCAAAGCAAGAAAAGGACGAACGGCACAGTCGTGGCCACGAGATTGCATCCCCGTTGCCATATCACACGCCAAGCTACCCGCTAGTGGGAACGCTGGTCAACGAGTGGCTGCAAGTGTGAACCGAGAGCTCTCTGGTCCTCTAAGTGGAAAGCGGGGAATCGTCGTCAAGTCGGACACCGCAGCCACCCAATCCAGCTTATAAGCCGGCCTCTCGCCCACCACCACCACATTTTCTGCCGTTGCTGCCAATTGCTGCCAGACTGCCTGACCGCCCCAACCTCCCATTTGCCTGTCACCTTTTGATAAAGTCGTGAGAGCGGCGCAACCGCGACTCACAGTGAGACTGAGAAGTCATGTCATTAAAGCAGGTAAGTTGTTGTCATGGTGTTCATCAAATCCTCCATCCTCCGTCCTCCGTCCCCCAGTGTCCTTGGCGCTAACTTGTCACAACAGGAAATCGAGACCTGGGTTTCGGCCCTGGGGTTGTACGACAACAATGAATTCGACGAGGCACTGGCCGAGTTTGAGAAGGTCTCCGACACTTCCAAAATTCTCTTCAACATGGGCGTGATCCATGCGACCCTCGGCGAGCACGAGAAAGCTGTTAGTTGTTCCTCCGGTCTCCCACCAAGATTCTCAACTAACGTGAGCCCCTCAAGGTTGAATGCTACCAACGAGCCATCAGACTTGATCAGTACCTCGCCGTTGCATATTTCCAACAAGGCGTCTCAAACTTCTTGCTCGGGGACTTCGAGGAGGCGCTGGCGAACTTCAACGACACACTGCTCTACCTCCGAGGCAACACCATGATCGACTACGCACAACTAGGACTTCTGTTCAAGCTATACTCGTGCGAAGTGCTCTTCAACCGGGGACTCTGCTACATCTATCTTCAGCAGAAAGATGCTGGTCTGCAGGATTTGCAATATGCCGTCAAGGAAAAGGTCGTCGAGGATCACAATGTCATTGACGAGGCGATTCGGGAGGAAGCAGAGGTAAGCCGAACTGTGATATTTCCAGAATCGACCCGCACTAACGGCCACACCCAGGGCTACACCGTCTTCTCGATCCCCGTGGGCGTTGTCTACAGGCCCAACGAAGCCAAGGTCCGGAATCTGAAGACGAAGGACTATCTTGGCAAAGCCCGGCTGGTCGCTGCCTCGGACCGCGCCAACGCCTTCACCGGATTTGCCGGCGCAGAGATCAAGAATGCACGTGCTCCACTAGTTGCTTCAACTCCTTCCAGTACAGTTTCTAACCATTCCCATAGGCGGTCAACAAGTCCGACGGCAAGGATGATCGGCCAGTCGACAATATCTCCTTCGCCGCCACAAACCTCGTCAAGCCCGGCCTGCAGAGCAGGAGGCAGCAGTCGGAACCGCCAGGAAACCGCAACGTCTTCCCACCCACACCGCCGCCGGAGAACGACAAGCCCAGCCGGGTCAGCCGGGGCGCCTCGGTTCGCAATGGACCCAAGCCCATGCCCGCGAGGCTCAACATCGACAAGTCCCGACCGAGCGACCGGTACGAGAGGACGTCGCCCGAGGATGCGCGACCAAGACCGCAGCGAGCCGCGTCGGCCACGCCCAACCGAACCTACTCGCAACGGGACAACGGCAGGAACAGGCAGTCAGCCGAGGAGGAGGACGACACATATGCCGACGACCTCTACGACATGTACCAGGGTGGTGGCGGCTCGAGGAGCAGTCGTGGGCAGCAGCAGCGCAGGAACCAGCCGCGGTACATCGAGGAGGAGGACGAGGGCGGCAGCGACTACGACGACGGCTCGTTCGATGAGGGCGAGTTCGAGATTGTGTCGAACAACCGCAGACCGGGGACCAACTCCATGTCCTCGGGCCGGGGCTCGTCGAGGCGGCCGGACATCCGCAAGATCCGCGTCAAGGTGCACGCGGGCGACGTGCGCTACATCATGATCGGCGCGGCGGTCGAGTTCCCGGACCTCGTCGACCGCATCCGTGACAAGTTCGGCATCCGCCGGAGGTTCAAGATCAAGGTCAAGGACGACGACGCCCCCGACGGCGACATGATCACCATGGGTGACCAGGACGACCTCGACATGGTCGTCATGACGGTCAAGTCCCAGGCGAGGAAACAGAGGCTCGATAGCGGGAAGATGGAGGTGAGTCATACCATTTACCCAATCTACGTTTTTCTTTGCACTTTCCCGGTTTGCTAACTTGTCGATTCTACAGGTTTGGGTGCAGGAAGTATAGATCAACGATACCGTGCGGCAAGAGGCTACTATGGATACCCCAGATGGCCCCCCACCAATTTTTTCAGGGGGGCCTGTCGACGCTGCCAACCGCACTACGAAGTAATGATGGAATATCTCTGGCCTTTCCTCATCATCTATTTCTCTCTATATTCCTTTATACATCCTTTACTACTGTCCACCTGATGGGAGCGTATTGTTGTTTCTGGCTTCCCCTTTTCTTGTTTTTCTGTATCAGCAGTGAAACACCTATGAGCAGCCAGCAGAGCTAGCCCGCTCAGCCCAGATCGTCCCGACGTGTCATCGACCACACCTGCACACGCAGCTTAGGGATTTAGCAAATACCGGGTTCTTAATGTGTTTGCGCTTTTGTTATTTTTCTGGGTTTCTACTATCTACCCATCGAATCTAATGTCGCATGGATGGATGTTGGCTGCTGCTCTCTGCATTCTGGCATTGTTTTATCGAGCGAACACGGAGTTTTCGGAGGGCTAAGACTAGCGAATCTAGACCAAAAAAAGGGGAAGGGATGAAGGCTGGTTTGAGGCTGTGGAGGAGGTAGAGGAGAGTCCGCCACTCTCGACCACCTGTTTGGATTCTCTGGTTGAGGTCTGAGGAGTGTGGCCAGGGTGCGAGTGGACTACCAGGCAGTGATAGTTTAAAGTCTTGATGAAATCTATCTATCTACTGGATATTTGGGCTCCAACCACACCACCAACCGGGCCGCTGGTGATGGTGATACCTTTTTTTGGATGGTTGAGGGTGGCTGTGCCTTCGTTCGCGTTTCGTGTTTCGCCTGCCCTCAGCCCATGTTCCGCCCACAACAGGGCACTGTTCGAAACATTTTATGATTGCAGGTCTGCCAACCAAGCCTTTACATTGTGAAGCAATGTAACTCTCCAGGTTGAATACCTTTTTTAAGACAGTGACCATTTCCATGCCAACCTCCTTTCCAATTTGCTGGATGGAACCCCCTATTCATAGACCCTGATTTATCCCCAGTCCTGCTTGCCTTCCCTTCCATGTATTCCAGAGGGAGGCGGTAGATATCCAATTCATCATGTGGCCCGTCTCGTCTTCGCTGGTGAGTTCACGGGGCTGCCAGGAACAGGAACTGGCATTGGGACCAGAAATCTTCTCCTCCTTCCGCTTCTGCATCTGGTGGCTTAAACCTTTGAGATGCACCCTAACAGTATACATCCATACATTTTACATGTTCGCCAGCAAGACCCTTGCTTTGTATCTGCTGGCATGACAGTCTAGCCCATAGATAGGAAGACAATCGCGATAGAAATGCCACACCCGACGAAGCTTTTTAAAAACCTATAAGTCTCCTCTCCTGCCACCAGGCTAAAAGGTTCACCTTCCCCGTCAAGAATCAATCAGAATTACAGAGTCAAAGAGCATCGAGTTCCATGGAGTTTTGAGCACCAAGATATGGCAAGATAGGTAGATAACCACCGTGCTCAACCCCTGAGCCGAGACCTATCAAAGCTTTTTCAACGCATACCTTCCCAATAGACGCAGCCGACAATCGCAGGAAAGATAAAAGGAAAAAGAAAAGGATAACAACGCCTCCCTCGCCAGCCATAAGGACCCTTCTTCCCCCCCTCCGACCCACCCCTTTTTTCCCCGGGGTGACTCGTGCCTTGCTTAGATAGTTACAGACGGATTTGTAGAACCCTGAAGAACGCCTGAAGCCCTGATAAGAAGAGCACCATTCGATGCGATGAAGGAGGACCTTTTCCCATTCCCCAGACCTAGGAAATAAAACAACCGAGAAAGAAAGAGAGAAGTGAAATGGGAAGGAAAGGCCGTAACAGGCTGCTAGCTCTCTGTCTCGGTTTCGAGAGGTTGGGAGTCGGCAAATAAGATATGCCAAATGCCAGCATTGCCTGGACCTAGATGGCCACCTGGCACCGGGAGAAGAGGCGAGGGGAATCATAATGTTTTCCCTGCCATTCCAGTATACCCAGTGACCTAGAGCCAGTGACAGGGGCCACCCTTCAATTTCGGACTGAAAGGTAGTGGTGATGATGGTCGAGGACAATGCAGAGAAATTTGGTTATGACCATGCTTCTCATGCAAGGAAGCCGGATAACCGTTGTTGGCTAATGGCTGGCCCGGAGGAGGCCGCCCCTACATGACCATCGAGGCCAGCTGCCTCGACTCCTCATCCATCATGTTCATCTCCATGCCATTCGCTGCGCGGTGTTCCATGGCACTGACCCTGGCTTCGATGCTAGACAGGCGGTTGTCGACCATGCCACCACCCCCCATGGCACCGCTGCCCATGCCGCCACTACCCATACCGCCATTGCCCATGCCGCCGTTTGTCAGAGCCCCGTTGCCGAGGCCGCCACCGCCCATGTTCGCCGATGGCATGCTTGGGGTGCCCATGTTCGGGGTCCCACCGGGGCCACCAAGAATGCCCGGCCCACGGCCACCCCCCGCGCCTCCTCCCTCGAGCGAATCGAGGCGTTTCTCGATGCCGTCCAGGCGCGCGGCAAAGGTTGCCTCGAGTCGGTTGAAGCCCTGGGACATGTCGTGGGCTATGCGGTCGATCTTGTTGGTCATGCTGCGGATGCTCTGGGCGATGGGCGTGTTCTCCTGACCGGGGACGGAGGCGGGGAGGCGGGGTTCATGATTGTGTCTCGAGTCCTGGACGGCAAACCGCCACTGGTTGCCCAGCTGCACCTCGCACACAGCCTTGGCGCGCCAGGGGCAGTCGACCTTGCGCGTGGAGGGGTTGCGCTTCTTGGCTGTGCTGTTGTACTTGACCCCTCCTCGGTCGCACACCAGGTCGTATCTTGTAGGCTTGTTGTCTCGGTAGTTTGATGCCCGCAGCTTCACCACCCCGTACCCTTGTTCCTTGGCGACGCGCTGAACAGCTGTGAGGAGGTCCTCGAAGGTGCGGTAGATGCCCTCGGGCGGCGGGGCGAGATTTCCGCCGGGCACGGGTGACTGCGGCGGCATTGGTGGCATCGCGTTGCTGGATGAGGTGGGGTTCGGGTTGGTCCAGCTCCCCGGGATGCTGTACGAGGGAGGGACGGTGGGAGTTGCGGCGGCCACGGCTGCTGCTGCTGTTGGCGGGGCAGCAGAGGTGCCGCTATAGAAGAGCACCTGGTCCGTGTTGGCGATGGGGCCTGCAGGGCGCTGATGTTGCTGATGTTGGTGGGACTGTTGTGCTTGGGAGGGGGTGTTCAATCTGACTACATCGGGGGGTGCATGTGCCAGCGGGGGTGACGGGTTGGGATACTGAGAGTGCGGGGCACTGTAGCCGTTCATCAATGCTTCGGCGTCGGCCACTTGATGGGATCGTTCAATCTGATGTGATGCGAATGTGGGATTTGATGAGCCAGTGTCCTGTTCAGTCGCACGCACGGCCTCGGGCGGCCAGCCTGGAGCTGCAGTTCCTCCGATCTCCGAAACGCGTGCGCGCTTACGGCGTGGCTGCGATTGAGGAGCCTCCATTGCTTCAGAAACTCAAGTGCACAAAGGAAAGGGAATCTTGTCCGCAGTCCCAGCACAAATAAGTCGGGGACTAGGCTCCAGCTCTGCAGGAGGCGGGAATGGAGGCCGTGTTGTCGGGTGGATTTTTTTTCTTGGGTGTTGTGCGGGTTGCAGTAGGTTTGCTCACAGCGGGAGTCTTCGGCGCGAATTTGAGGTCGAGTAGAAATGGAAGGGACTTATTAGTTGCCTCTTACGGTATGAGGACGTGCATGGTACAGCAAGGAAGCCACAAATCCACGTGATTTGCAGCATGCCAAGCCACAGTTACAACTTGGACAAGGAATCTGAAGCACGGATAAAGCCATTCGCTAGAGTCTAGACTCAAGGGAAGACCAATATTCCTCGCCATACTTAGAGTTGGGCTTCAATTGCATTACATCGTCGTGGAGCCTCCTATTTTCCTAATCATCAGTCTGCTTGAGGATCGGGGCCTTGATGTTCTACACTCTGCCCGGCTCCGGAGAATTGAGGCACAAAGGATAAATACCCCGATCTGCCAGATCTACATATTACCCTTGGACCACCTGCGTATATGTAAGGTAGTTCGTTACCTTATCCCTGCTAGTTCTAGGCATAGCTGCAAACTGTATCGGATCAAGACCGAGGCGTGGAGAAGCCCTCACGCAATCAGTGCCTCTCATATCCGAGCCTTCAATTGTTATCGGTTACCCTCCCAGTGATTTCGATTGCGGCAGGACTAGGTACCAAGTGAATACGTGACACTTCGAGCCTTGAATGAACGGGAATGAACAGGGCTGCTCGTGTGAGTGAGCGGGAGTTACGTCGTGGGCTTTGCTGCGCGGGCTGGGCAGTTTCCTCGTCGCGTCTGGGGTCTGTGCGCTGTAGCTCTCTAGCAGGTGGTTTTCAAGGTACCTAGGTGAGAGGCCAGAGAAACATTGAAGATGACTACGGTGATAGCAGGCAGTAGCGATAGAAAGCAACGGCAAGAGCAATAGACAGCAACTGCAACTGCAATAGACAACAACTGCAGGAGCAATAGACAGCAACAGCAACTGCAAGAGACAACCCTGGCCGTGCCTGGTAGCAACTAAGGCCGCACAGACCCTATGCGTAGGCGCAAGTCGGACTCTTACATAAACGGGGCTACCTACCCACTTACCCCGGGATCGGGCGTGGCTATTCCAAAGTTCAAACAAACCCACCTGCGTGTCGCAGCTTCGCCTCTGGGAGAGGCTGGCATCCTTTCACACTGCGATTCAAATATGGCGTCGACGCCACCTGCCAAGGAGAATGCCGAGGACATTCAGGAAGAGGAGCGCTTAGAAGCTGCCCTTGAGCATCTCAAGAGCCTGCATCTCAAGGTCGCTAGCCTATCTCCCCACCACACTGCATGGCGTCTTCTTCTCTGCTGACAGGCGTCTTTAGCTTCGAGCCCTCCGAACTGCCATCCCTCGAGCGATAGAGCCACTATCCGCGAAGCACTCTTCGTGTAAGCCCTCTCTCAGTGCCGAGGGTTTCAACCCCCGCCTGTTAACCACATCATAGCGGAAGAGCTGTTCGCCTCGTTTGTCAAGTCTGTTACAGAGACAAGCAAGGAGTTGGCCGATTTTAAGGAGGCCATGATGAGCGAAGAGAGCAGAAAGGTCTTCGAACAAGCGAACCAAAGCCGGAAAGCCAACCCAAAAGGAATCCGGCCATGGCGAGCGGTGGAGGATCCAGACTGGACGACGATCAAGACGACATGATACTCGCTCCACACTTGACGAAGTGTGCGAACCGTTGGCTGAAGGTCATTCGATCACCCTGAAGGAATCAGACTCGCTGTAGATTGCGCAGACGAGTGGGTATTGTGGTGGAAGTCAGGCTCGCAAGCTAGATTCTCGAGCTACCTAGTTCTGGTAAGTCTCGGATATGGCCGCGCAAATATGAAGATTCGGTTGACCTTGTGGTCTAGGTGTTCCTATGAATATATGTGGCCAAAATACGTCCATTCTGCAAGGTCTATCAACACCCTGGAGGCTTAGTTACATGGCCATGCGGAAGAAGCGACGAGTCGACGAGTTCTTGTGCTATTCGAGGAGCAGAATATCGTCAAGAAGGTGCTGAAGGAACAGAAACAGGACGACAAGAATAAATAAAGGGCTGGTGGTTTCGGCGGCGGACGGAGCGGGTTTCATTGCTTCGGTGTTCATCTTGGAAAGGGCTGCATGATATACAAACATTTAAGGCTCAGCTGTCTGTTTATTCGGGCAGCTTTGCTCGTCACCTCGAGGTTCGGAATGATACAGTACTTCAGGACCTCAGGCCGTGTTCTATTTGACTGTTCCAGATGAATGTGATACTACCCGGGGGTGCAACCCGATACCTATTTCTCCAGCCGTCTGACGGGCTCTGCAAAACCTATGCCCAGGACTGATCCGCAGCATTTCGTACAAGCTCCAATCGTACCATCTTGCACAGTTAAAAGGGATAAATCAGGGCCACGATTGTACGTCAGCTAGGGATACGTTTGCAAGAAGGAAGCCACCTAGGTAATTATTGGAATCAACATGAACGAGGATAATCAATATAGGCGGTACAATGAATTTTCCCTGCGGACGGGCCAATTTCTACCGAGCTCCAGCTCGGTAGGAATTGGCTTTTCATGCACGTCCTGCTCAATGACAGCAATGACGTCCATAGATCGCCAAAAACTTTAGCTCTCAAAACCCAACACTGCATTCAAGCTCCGGACTCTAGGCCATGCTCAGCTTTCAGTTCAACTGTATTATATAACTACCCAATGGCCAATCCCACGGGTCTCATGCGCTCAGCACCGGCGCTGCGCCTCCTCCTCCCGCGCACCGACGCCCGCATCCCGAGAAGCTCTCCCGCACTCCTCCTCCACCACCCGGCCCACCAACGACTCCAGACCCGACCCACCGCCGCCGCATCCGCGTCGCTACACACCCAACCGGCGCGACGCCGGCGACACCACCGCGCGACGGGGCCGGACGGCGAGCCCGTCCCCGACGCGCCGCCGGAGACGGACTTTGAGCGCCTGGACGTGCTGGGCGCGACGCCCGTGCCGGCGACGAGCGTCGACGCCTGCCTACCCGACGGGTTCAAGCTCAGCGGCGGGGTCAGCATATACGGCGGGTGCGGCGCGCTGCTCGTGGGCGGCGAGGCGTTTGCGTGGCAGCCATGGCTAGGAGGGGCGGCGGGTGCGGCGGCGGGCGGCGGCGGTGCGGGGCCACGGCTGCTCAACGAGAGGGGCCAGTGGGAGGTGCCCGAGGAGGCGTTTGGGCTGCTCGGACTGGTTTGGCCGAGACCTGGTGCGTAGTTATTGCCCTTCTTTTTTTTGGCTTGCTTTCTCCTTGCTCTTCTTCCCTCTCACTCTCTTTTCCCCCTCCTTTCTTCCTTCACCCAGGTGACCTGGGTCTGCTATAAACACCTGGATGCTGACAGGTTCGTCCCTTCCCGGGAAACACAGACCTTCTCATTCTCGGCCTCGGGCCAGAGATGCGGCCGCTGAGCCCGGCGACGAGGAAGCACATTAGCAGCCTGGGGATGCGGGTCGACGTGCTCGACACGAGGAATGCTGCGTCGCAGTTCAACCTGCTGGCAACGGAGAGGGGAGTTGCAGATGTTGCGGCGGCGCTGATACCGATAGGGTGGAAAGAAGGCGTTGGAGCGAGGTGATGTTGCTGCTCATTAAGGAGTGTGCGGCGCGGCTTGCAGTCATTCTCACGTCGAGCATGATGAGTCTGAGCTAAGGGGCATGTTTCTAGTGCCATTGGATGTCATTACTGTCTAACTGTGGCGTTGAGTGTCTGCTCTCCACATTGTAATGCATATTGTAACATTATCCCCTGATGAACGCCTGAACAGGAAGACCCTGTGGTATGCTGAAAGACTACGACGCATCTAAACCAGATCGCGTTGTCTTGAACCAAATGTGCGATTAGATACCCGCTACGGTGTGAAATGCGTTCGCTTACTTAGGAGCGAGAGACTTCGCACTTGATCAACCCGTTGGGACCAGATTGGGGAGCATAGACTTCAGCGTCCTTGCCCGTGTTCTTCAATCCATTGTGCCAGCTCAAGTCTATCGATGGGATTAGCTTACTTCCGTTCCAAAGTAGTGACAAGGAGGACAGGGGAGAATCTAGGCTCACCAATCTCGAAATAATGCTTGTTGGGCAGCGAGTAATTGGCCCTCCCAACCCCTGGAGCCGCCTCGAGGATCAGCTCGCACATCTTATATATGGTATTCTGCACCGACGCGCTCTCATCCTCAGCAAACGTCTTCATAGTGAGGTTGCGGGCATCTTCCCAGGTCTTGTCGAACTGGGCCACACCGCTCTGGACGGCCCCCAAGTTGGGGAACCTCTCCCATGTCCAGCCACAGTTCACGTCGGTTGACAAGATGCGATCCCAGGTTTCAGCCAGTGTGGTGAAGTCGTCACGGATGAATCCATAGAAGGCAGACCCGGTGCTCTTCAGAACCGTCAGCCCAGAAATCCCGCTCTTGATTTCGATGCCGTCCCTCTTGACGACGGCTTCGACGTTCCGGGTCTCCTCGCCATCGCGGTAGAAGCTGTGCGGGTGGGGTTTGCCGTCTATGGTCATGCGCGTCCAGCGGTGGACCACGACACTGACATTGGCGACAGAGATGTGCGGATACGTGACAAGGAAGTGCTGGCCAAGGATGCTAGCATATAGCTCGGGGGGGTTTACAGGGTTCTCCTTGGCCTTCACGTATATGGTATTTTTGATGGAATCTGTGGCAACGACAACGCTGTTATCGGCCCTTGTGTATCTGGTGAGGTTGGTCAGACTCCTAATGCCATTGGGCTCGCCACAGCCAATGCGACTGCAAGCTTACGATGTGTCAATGGCTCCCTCAAGCAGACAGCAGACAGTCATCTCGGTAACCGTCTGGATGCCTGTCTCCTGGTCGCGGTGGACCTTGTAAACGCGGACATTGTCCTTTCCGTAGCGAGCTGAAGCCAGAGAAGGCATGATGGGAAACTACCTAGGTATAGGGTCTTGTCGAGATAGGGAGTATGAGCAGGAGAGTAGCAGCATAGATATGCTGATATGCACAGCTGATGATGGACCTGATGGGCTCGCGGAGATCCAGGGCGGTTGGAAGAGGAGGCTTCTGAAAAAAGAGATGGGGGCACGAGACACACTTATAGACTTAAATACCTCCTGATACTAGGTTCCAGGTTCATATCAGTGACGCATGCCCGCAGAGCAGGTTGATGGCCCAACAGAAGGGCTAGATGGAAGGCGCCTCCATCGACACCTGGTCAATGGCGCGGCCCTCCGCGGGCCGCTGCAGTCCTCACATGGCAGTTTGATCTCAGCTAACAGAGAAATCGGTCGAAACCCGCATGTTTGACCGTTGGGGCAGGAGCCAGGAGTCGCGGTTGTCCGTGGCTCCACCATCTCTAGGCCGATGTGAGATCGGAATCCGCCGATGGCCTTTGACACTGGCCCCGCTAGGATTGGGTCACAGACCATGATTGCAGCAACTGTTGGAGACAACCTTCTACGGCTGCTCCCGTCCGATATTCTGTCACAATAGCAGGGTTTCACAGGGACATAACTCGCTGGAGAAGGATAGATAAGAAATAGCACGCATGCTAATGGGTGCAGGACCGTATTTTAGGTGCATCAGCCCCGTCTCGGGCAATGTGGGGTTATCTTAACGGCCAACAAAGAGTCGTGCATCCACCGAGTCCTTGCAAATTAATAATCCTGTTCGTTTTCAAAGGAGAGGCGGCGTGGATCTCAAAAAGGCCAAAAAAAAATTAAAAAAATTGCTGGATAGGCTAGATAGAGATTGAGGAAAAGTGTCTTGTAGGAGGAACTTGGCTGTGTGGTAAAAAGAAACAGCCAAAAAGAAACGTACAACACCGGGGATTCGCTGGTCGTCACCGACCCAACTACTAGTCCGGCCCTCAGTGGCTTATCTATGGGAGAGCGGACGGGATCCCGAGTTCTCCACTGGGTATGGTCGTACGTGCTATCTTCTAGCCCAAATATTATTTATATAGGCAAGTGGTGAGGTGCATTCCACAAGTCACTGTCGTCTTTGATGCCTGGCGTCTTTTCCATCATGACAGTCAATTGGCTGCCACGCTTGTCTGCGAACAGAACCATAAGTCTGACTTGGTAACCCATGCGAGCTGGGGCCACGCCACACTTTCATGCAGAGGACAACTTCTGGCCTGAACATTTGACTAGGTAGACACGACAGCTATTATATGCCTCTACTGCGATTAGCAGAAGGTCAACTCGTTGTGTTATGGATCCTATCTTACGGCTCTGATTCCCTGTCATGCCACCCACATCCGCATTCCAATGTCTATGCTGAAGAACAAGCTATATTTCGAAATAATCCAGCCAGACAGAGCCTTGACGCAGTTCAGTTACCCTGACACTGCCTACTGAAGCTCGATCGTACCAGGTGGCTTGCTGGGTGACGTTGTAGGTAACCAAGCTGATGCCCTCCACCTCGTTTACGATCCTCAGGGCCACCTTGTTCAAGAACTTCATGTTGAAGGGATATGCCTCTGCCGTCGTGAAGTCCGTCGTCTGGGCAGCACGAAGCTATGGAGAGGTCAGCAAGAACTGACGCTGGAGTAGCTCCGCCAGTAGCAAAGCGCTAGAGATGAAGAAAACAACTTCCAGGTTACTTAGTAAATGACAATGTAGCTCATATAGCGCTTGTCGCCCTGATGATCCACAAAAGACGTAAGGAGGCGGGGTTTTCCTGTAATGTGGTACTGTGGACCGCAGGTATGTGCCTAACGGGGATGCTTGGGGGAGCCGGAACCTGTCGCTGGTAGCGACTGAAAACAGCCTCTTTGGGCAGCGGCACACAGCCCAGACTTACATTGTAATCTGCTTGGTAGCGAAACAGCCAGCCGGGCCGAGAGAAGTGATCCGCCCGCCCCACGAGTTGAGGGCTGAAGCGCAAGGCAACGATAAGGAAACTTCGCCAGACCACCGTGGAGCTAGCTAGCCCTGGCACCCCTGGAGGCTACCCCCCTTGCTTGTCCTTGTCCCCAAATCAAAACCGACAACTACTCACTTCGCAGTTGCCCGAATCCCATTCTCTGCCAAACCCACTTCGCTCGAGTCTATCGCCTGAGAAAGAATCCCCTCCCGCGTTTCCCCATTGCTGGCACGTCAATGATCTCGACTCCAAGCCCTCCGATGCTACCTTATAGTTAGCTGGGAATCGAATGTCCGTCTCGAGGGCCTTGTCCCGCAAGGAGGACAAATGGCTGGGTCATCGTCTACCACACTGAGCACCTCTGCGACACCGACTCAGAGGTCCTTCGTCGCACAGCCCTCCGGTGTCGCCCTCGATCCCTCCAATTCGCGCACCAGCTTCGAGCGAGATGTCCTCCAACCGCCCTCCCTCTCCGTCAAAGGAGGGCGGAACCTCTCTGCCTCCGCCATCACCTTCGCCCCCAGAGGCTCGTCTCTCAACCCATCACCCGCCCCCGGAAGCTTCAGCACCGATCTGCGCAGCCAGATGATCACCTCTCGCGCCGGGTCGAGAGCCGACATGGTCAGCACCGAGAAGCTGGACGAGGATGAAAATGCGCAGGCGGCGCAGGCTCTCGCCGCCTTGCGTGAGTCCCTTAACCGCGAGATGAAGATAAAAGAGGGCAGCGAGAACATGCTGGAGGCGCTCAATACCAAGAAGGCGAAGCAGACCAAGGAGCAGCGCCACCGCGTCGAAGCAGAGCTCACCTCGTCCAGCCAGAGAATCAGGGAGCTGAGACAGAAGATATCCGAGGCGCAGCGAACACTCGTAACCCCGACCACCCCTACGAGATCAAGAACCGCAGAGAGCACATTCCACGGCACGAATGGGCTGCGTTCTCCCCCGAGCGCTTCAAGAAGTGGTGTTGGGTCTGACCTCGACGAGCCGACCGAATCCCCGACCTTTGCCCTGGCCGAGATCCTTCAAGCTTTGGAGGTGGACGGAATGATGCCTGAATATTATGTCTCGAGGGCCAACAGTCTGGTTGAGCTTTTTAAACGACATCCCACCCTCAAGTACGATCTGGTGTGGTCGGTATTTGGCCTCCGAATGCAGGTCATGCTCCTCAGTGAGAGCAGGGAGGTTGTCGCTGCAGGATACAGGATGATCCGATATGCCATCTCGGACGTCTCATCCCTGAAGAAGATTCGTGCCCTAAACACAGACTACTTAGTGACATGGTAAGCGTGCTGCACGGTAACATCCGGCTGTCAACAATTGGGAAGCTGACACAACCAGGTCTTTGATCAAGGATAACAAGGCCGACGTGGAGCGTGAACAGGCCCTCAAGTTTGTCCGTGCTTTTCTGGATGTTAAAGATGGCATCCGGGAGGTCTCCAGGGCTGTTGTCAGGACCATTGCAGCAATCGCAAAGGCCCCCGAGGAACGCCTAAGGCCCATCTGCTTGGAAACCCTGGCCGAGATCCTTGTTCGGGATCCCCGCCTCCTCGTGGCATCGGGAGGACTTGCCTCCCTGTCAGAGGCTCTGGCTGAAGGCTCGTATAAAGCCCCTGAAAGTCTGACAGCCGCCTTTCTGTTCTTGCTCGATGCACCTAAACGGCGGAAGTATCTACGAGCGGGGTACGAGCTTGAAGTCCTCTTCACCTGCTTTACCGACGTCTACTCCTCAAATGAGCGACTCCTCAAACAGAACTCCAAGGCCATTGCGTCGGCCCTGAAAACATGGTCGGGTCTGATGAGCCTGTCCATGTTCAACTTCCGAGCCATCAGGTCGCTAATATCAAGCCTCATGCTCCCGAATGGTCCTGTCCAGGAAACGGTTATCGACTTACTCTACTCGCTTCTCCGCATCAAACCACCGGCATGGGCCAGCACCTTTTTTGCTGGACGTCGGCTCACGACTTATGGGAGGGTGGCCACCTTGAAGTCCACGGCATCAAAAGGAACACATAGCTATGTCGAAGATGATGGTGGGGAGCAGAATTTTGTCGATCACTATACCGCACTACTGCTCGCGATATTCGCCAAATCAGGGCTGGTCCCCTCCTTGCTGAGGTTGACCCAAGACACCGACAACCCAACACTAAAGAGGAAGTCAACATTACTTATCGGAGAGGTACTGAAGCTCTCTAGCCGACTGCTGCCGCCGGCATTTAGCAGCGAGCTCCAGTTGCTGCCCGAGCTCTTCGCCGCCGCAACCCAGTTGAAGGACGAGAGCCATTTCGTAGCAACGGGCATCGTCTACCAAATCAGCAGCGTTAGCAAGATTCTCCATCGATCCTCACCGTCAGCCTACGCGTCGTCGATAGTGCCCTCCAATAGCTCCTTGGATCTGGCAGGGCTTGAGGAGCACCCCAAGGCCAACGCGTCAGTAAACTTTGACGATGCGACCTTCCGCCAACTGATTCTCGATTCGGCGGTCCTCAGCAGCTCCAACTTCTCCAAGTGGAACTGGGATGTCATCATCAGGGTCCTCGAAGGGCCACTCACGAGTGGGAAGCGGCTAGAAGAGGCCGTCAAGGTATCCAAGTTTGTGAAACGGATCATGAGCTTCTACCGCCCTTTCAAGTACAGATTTTCCGAGGTGAAGAGCACGAGAAACACCCAGAAGTACGTCAGGGCTGGGTGTGCCTTGATGCACACACTCTTGCAGTCGGCCGAGGGTATCAGATACCTCGCCGACAACAAGTTATTGAGGCAGATCGCCGAGTGTCTAGCTCAGTGCGACCCTACCAGTGGGCTGACGGCCCAATTCCCCATGTTCTCCAAGGACCGCCTCACAGATACGCTGTGCGGGGGGTACTTCCCTATGCTGGGAGTCTTGAGTGGTGACCCCAAAGGCCTTCAGATGCTCGACAGGTGGCGCATGTTCAACATGATGTATCACATTGTCGATCTCAAGCAGCGACCGGATCTCATCAAACTCCTCCTTTCAAACTTCGACTATAGCTTCCAAGGCCATCCCCGGGTACTGCTATCGAAGGCACTGACCTCTGGCAACAAGGATATTCGGATTCACGCCACCGACGTACTTAGGAAGTTTGCAACTAGGCCCAGGTTGTCTTCCCAAGGCCAGGGAGTGGGCGACTGGAAATGGGCCATCCAACTGCTAGTGACCCAACTCTACGACCCCGAAGTGGAGGTATGCGCCACGGCAGTCAAGATACTGGAAAAGGCCTGCAACAGCAAGGACTACCTGGAATATATCGTTCAGTGTCGGCCGGCCTTGGACCACCTCGGCGAGATAGGGGCGCCCCTGCTCCTGCGTTTTCTCTCCACGTCCATCGGATATCACTACCTTGACGGCCTCGACTATATTAGCAACGAGATGGACGACTGGTTCCTGGGCCGCAACGATTCCTACGTGAGCGTGATCGAGGCCAGCCTGGCTCGCGCTTTTGTGGTTCATCCCGACGACCACACAAATCGCATCAGCGTCTTCGAGGACGAGAGGGACGTCGAGGCAGATAGCCACGTCCCACCGCATTTCTACCGCGAGCTGACACGAACCCGGGAAGGGTGTAAGCTGCTGAGGGACAAGGGTCACTTTGACGAGTTCGTGGCCACCATCCGTGACCATGGCATGCAGTCGGAAGATGCCGAATTGATGGTCAAGGTCAAGGCCTGCCTCTGGGCTGTCGGTAACGTCGGTTCCATGGACCTGGGCGCCCCTTTCCTCGAGTCCAGCGACGTCGTCGACCGGATAGTGAGGATCGCGCAGGAGCACCAAGTCATGAGCTTGCGCGGCACCGCATTCTTCGTCCTTGGCCTGATCTCGAGGTCGGTGCACGGCCTCGAGATCCTGTCAGAACACGGGTGGGATGCGAACACAAATCTGCTCGGCGCCTCCCTTGGGTTCTGCATTCCCTCGGACCTATCCAAGTTCTTCTCCTGCACCCCATGGAAACACGAGCCCATCTCATCTATCGCTCTCCCCGAGACCCAAAAGACGGAGACGGTCGAACTACCACCCATACCATCCAGGCCTAGATCCGAGTCCCTTCTCAAGGCCATCGAGGCCGAGAATGAAGCCAACGGCCAGACAATCCGCAAAGTCGAGTTGGATCCGGACCCGACGAACCATCGCATCCTCGAACTGGTCATTGACCTGGCCAACATGGTCCTCTACCGGCGGGCCAGGAGCGAGCTGATGCAGATCAAGCAGGTGAAGAGGGCGCCCGGATTCAGCCAGCCCCATCTATTTAGGCGGGTCATGGCCCTCCTCGAATGCCAGAACTACCGTCTTGCCGACCGCAGCCTGGTGGTGGGCCTGTTCGACAAGAGTGTCCTGCGGCGCATTGTCTTCGACGAAGACAGTGGGGATGAGGCCGACGGTAGAGGAGCACCACTGGCTGCCCCGTCGGCACCGTCGGCGACCCTCAATGTTAGCTATGACGAAGAGGAGGACGAAGACGACGAAGACGATGACGATGACGGCGATGATGATGATGATGATGATGAAGCGGAGGGGGACGAGGAGGAAGAGGATAGTTCAGGTGATGAGCAGCGCACTGAAAGGCAGAGAAGCGTTGGCGACCTTGCTGAGCTGCCGAGGTCCACATCGGCCATGATCTATGGGAGCTAAGTCACTTTTACGTTCATGTATCGGCCCCCGAATCCGTCATGAGAGGGCAGCCGCCAACCCAGAGAGAAGTTCAGGGGCAGAACGTAGCGTGGCGATTCGCAAAAGAACGTCGGCGGTCTCGGGGAGAACTTGTATTGTATGGAAACATGGCAGGGCATTTCACGCCGTCATTTCCAAACTTGCATATGGCGGCCGGTTTGGTTTCCCGGCCTTTAGGGAGCGAAGGTCGGGTGGTTTTGTGGTCTTGGCATGAAGCCTTCGACTACTGTGTACAGTATGGCAGAAAGGCAGGGCCGGGCGTTGGGAAATGGATCTGGCGGGAGCCGGTCTGATAGGAGTTGGGCGGCTGGACACGACTTGGCCTTCATTTCGAAGGCCTTGGTTGGATTTCACAATAGGGGTAGTAGCAAAATACTCGCCAACTGTTGCCAATTCTTGTCATTGAGCGATTACGTGATAATGGGTTTTATTTCTCTTGTAAAACAAAATGCCCCCACTCTCCAGTGGGAAATCGCAACCCGCAATCCTCTTCCGTTGAGTCTCTTCTGCAGACTGCACAGATCTCTTAAAAACGCGGAACCACACCCGGTGCTGACGCCATGACCCAACCGAGAGTTCTCGTTATAGCCGGCTCAGACAGCTCCGGCGGAGCGTTCGTACATACCAACCCTGCCCAACCCACCTAACCCTAACCCCCAGGGCCCCCCAGGCCCATTGAACGACCCAGTGGTCGCTAATTCTAGATGTGATATCAGTGGTCTTGAGGCGGATCAGAAGGTCATTGCGGCCCATGGCTGCTATGCCATGACCGCAACGGCTGCCCTCACTGCCCAAAATACAAGAGGAGTGTACGATATTCACCATGTGCCCGCTGAGTTCCTGCGGAAGCAGATCGATGCATGCCTGGACGACATTGGCGCTGATGTCGTCAAGACTGGTAAGTTCGCACTAGGGGGTTTGGTCCCATCCCCTTCTGCCTCCCCCCTGAGGACCCAACCAGGTCTCCCCCCCTGGTGGCCATACATGTGACAGTTTTCTTACTCGGAATATCGGTAGGTATGCTGGCTTCGGCGGCCACCATTGGCACTGTGGCCAAAGCTCTAGCAGACCACAAGGTCAAGGCTCTCGTCGTCGATCCCGTAAGTCTAGTGTGCCTTCGTTCAGGGTTCCGGGATCGCTCATCCCGGCTTGCCAGGTGATGGTTGCGACAGCGGGCGCAAAATTGCTCCCGCCCGACGCCGTCCGCGAGCTGCGGGACAGCCTCCTGCCGCTGACCACGGTCCTGACGCCGAACATCCCGGAGGCAAATCTCATTCTGGCCGATGCTGGCCTCGGAGAGCGGCCCGTGGAAAGCGTGGTCGATCTCGAGGTCATCGCAAGGGCTGTTCACGCCCTTGGACCCCTATGGGTCCTGGTTAAGGGAGGACACTGTCCGTTCAGGAAGGACGGCGTTGCAGCGAAGACCGACGCCGAGAAGGAGATCGTCGTGGACGTTCTGTGTGGCGCGAACGAGATCATCAGGGTCGAGACTCCCTACCATGACTCGAAGAATACGCATGGAACTGGCTGCTCATTGGCATGTCGGTCAATCCCACTCCCCTTCTGCATCCTTTGCTCTTGAACGAACATGTCGGGACGGGTGAGTGGCTGATCCTCGTCTTAGCCGCAATTGCATCAAACCTCGCCAAAGGTATGAGCGTTCCGCAGTCCGTGAAGGCTGCCTGTCGATACGTTGAGGCTGCGATCAAGACGGCGCCGGGCCTTGGGAGTGGGAATGGACCCCTGAACCATTTCCATTCCACATTCACTTTGCCGTTTGCCCCGTCAGTGCCGAACCCCCAAGTTCAGTTGCTTTCTGCAGAATTGGCTGCTGACCAGCTCACAGAGGCCATTTCATCCACTATCTCCTCGAAAGACCAGATGTGTCCGAGGTGTGGCATCGGTTCGTAAACCACCCCTTTGTGATAGCTATGGGGAACGGGACGCTGCCGTTGAGCTCGTTCAAGGGGTACCTGGTCCAGGATTACCTGTACCTTGTTAGTTCTCCCTAAATACTCCACCGCTGGTTTTCGTGGCACGAGCTTACTGACACTGACACGGGGATAGGTGCACTTCGCCAGGGCCAACGCCTTGGCGTCCTACAAGGCTACGAACATTGATGACATCGCTGCTGTGAGTAAAGCGAATCTTCGAGGCAATGTCCCGCGACTGACCAGTCCAGGCCGCCCGGATAGTCACCCATATCTTCACCGAGATGAATCTGCATATTGGTTACTGCCAGGGATTCGGTATTTCCAAGGCTGAGATGGAGAACACCGAGGAGAATTCAGGTCCGTGGTGGCACCTTCTCGACTGCGCCCATCCCCCCCAGAAGCAACTTTAACACATGATATGGAACATAGCTTGCACGGCGTACACGCGGTACGTCTTGGATATCGGCCAGTCGCAAGATTGGATCGGGCTTCAGGTCGCCCTGGCCCCGTGTCTTCTCGGATACGGCGTCATCGGCAGGCAGCTGCACGACAGCGTCGACTCCAGGAGGGATGACACGAACCCGTACTGGACCTGGATCAAGAATTACGTTGCAGAGGACTACGTCACCGCCGTCAGGACGGGATCCGGTACGAAAAGAGGCCCCTGACTAACATTTAAATGCACACGAGAAGGGAAGCTAATGGATATTCTTTGCAGAGCTCTTGGAACGGCACGCCGCCTTGCAGTCCCCAACACGGATAGAGGAGCTGGCGAAGATCTTCATCCACGCCACCAAGATGGAGATAGCGTTCTGGGAGATGTACAGTAGTAGCTGATTCGGTTTGGATACTCCTAGGGTAAGGATGGGGGGCGAGGGCAGTGGATATTCCCATAGGCGGACTACCCAGTCTGGTGGAATAAAAGCATTTACACATAAGTACATACCTAGGTACCTCGGTGATAGAAACAAAACTAGGTACCTACCTACCTACTTAAATAGAAAATGGTAAACTTGGCCAGTCTCCTGAAACCCCGGAAGAAAGCGGAGAGTACCATCCTCGCACTAGGTTACAAATGTCTGAAGGTACTGTTTCTGACAGCTCAGGGATGGCTTTCCTGGAAAAGAAAATAAGGGAGCATCTCTGAACCTTACATCAAGACAGGAAAGTGCACCTGCCCCCTGTGGTTCTTTGAAAGAGAGGTAAAGTAGGTACAAACCTCCCGAGGATTTCGCCCATGTTTAGTGCCTCGGATTTCAGGTATAAACATTATTGCCCAAGCTCGACCCGAAGAAATTTTCTTGGTTGGTCCCTTCCAGACCGCCCGCCACCTGCTAGTGCCTTCCTGCAAAGTATCAAAAAGTTTTTTTTCCCATCAGCGCTCTCTCCTTCCTCCATCACCATCACCACAACAATACTCCCTTTGGCAAAACACGATATCCCCCGTGTTGTCACATCGCCAGACTCCCCTTGTTTCCTGTCGCACGGTATCCATTCTCTCACCCGTGAACCAGAAGGAATCTCATCACGACCCTAATCATTTCCTCAGACTCGCGTCTCTCACATCGCGTTATCGCACCCTGACCATCACGTCCTACCCGGACCTGTTGCTAAGACAATCAAATCAATCCAACAACCCCAACAGCCGTCCATAGCATCATGTCTTACGGCGGCGGATACGGCTCCCGCGGTGGCGGAGGTGGTGGAGGCTACGAGCGCAACGGCGGTGGCGGCGGTTATGGCGGCGGCGGCTATGGGTATGCTACATTTCTCCCCTTCTACTCTCCTGATTTCTTTTCTCATTTCCTTTGCCCCTGCCATTCTCCGTTTGTGTCATCATCTCTAGTTTTTATCTGTTCCAATCAAACCCATCCCGCAATCCGCGAAACATACCAGTTGTCACTTTTTAGTCCCCTTTACTGACCCAGCTTGAACTACAGTGGTGGATCAAATGGCTACTCTGGTGGAGGTGGTGGCTATGGAGGCGGTGGAGGCGGCTTCGGAGGTGGCGGTGGTGACCGTATGTCCAACCTCGGCGCCGGTCTCCAGAAGCAAACCTGGGATCTTGACACGATGCCCAAGTTTGAGAAGTCCTTCTACAAAGAGCACCCTTCTGTCAGCAGCCGCACTGCCCCCGAGGTCGAGAAGTTCCGACGGGATCATGCTATCACCATCCACGGTAGCGATGTCCCCAAGCCCGTTGAGACCTTCGATGAGGCCGCATTTCCCCGATATGTCATGGATGAGGTTAAGGCTCAGGGCTTCCCCGCCCCGACTGCCATCCAATCTCAAGGTTGGCCTATGGCCCTGACTGGACGAGACGTTGTCGGTATTGCCGAGACCGGTTCCGGAAAGACTCTGACCTACTGTCTCCCTGCCATTGTTCACATCAATGCTCAGCCTCTCCTGGCCCCTGGCGACGGCCCCATTGTCCTCGTCCTTGCTCCCACTCGAGAGCTGGCTGTCCAGATCCAGCAGGAGATCACCAAGTTCGGCAAATCTTCCCGCATTCGCAACACGTGCGTCTACGGAGGTGTTCCCAAGGGGCCCCAGATTCGTGACCTCTCCCGCGGCGTGGAGGTCTGCATTGCCACTCCCGGACGCCTCATTGATATGCTCGAGTCGGGCCGCACCAATCTCCGCCGTGTCACTTACCTGGTTCTCGATGAAGCCGATCGTATGCTGGATATGGGTTTCGAGCCCCAGATTCGCAAGATCATCACTCAGATTCGTCCCGATCGTCAGACTCTCATGTGGTCTGCTACCTGGCCCAAGGAAGTCCGCGCTCTCGCCTCTGATTTCCTCAACGATTTCATCCAGGTTAACATCGGTTCCATGGACCTCGCTGCCAACCATCGTATCACCCAGATTGTCGAGGTTTGCTCCGAGTCTGATAAGCGTGACCGCATGATTCGCCATCTCGAGAAGATCATGGATACCACCAAGGGCGAAACCAACAAGATCCTGATCTTCACCGGCACCAAGCGCGTTGCCGACGACATCACCCGGTTCCTCCGCCAGGACGGCTGGCCTGCCCTTTGTGAGTAATGCCCGTGTTCTTGTCCCTTGATCTACTTGACTAACGGGAGTACCAGCCATCCATGGCGACAAGCAGCAGAACGAGCGTGATTGGGTCCTGGACCAGTTCAAGACGGGCAAGAGCCCCATCATGGTTGCCACCGATGTGGCTTCTCGTGGTATTGGTATGTATTCTCCGCCCCCCTCCCCCCTCCCCCACGGGGGAAAAAGAAATCTCCTCCCCCGACCCAAACGTTATGCAACGTCCAGCATGTGAATGCTGTGCTGTGCTTTACTCTTATGTCTAGGGGCTCTCTCGATTGCGCGAACTTGCCTGACCTTGTGTCGTAAATGGTCTCTGAGTGGGATCTTGGTTTCGTGAGGTAGCAGCGATGTTGGTTATGCTGCGCTCGTGATTCTTCTCTTGTACCTTTCCCATGGCCATGGTACAAGCGTCGAGTTGGCATTTCTTGACCATGATCAAGCTATCTCTAAGATTCCCAAAGGATCAAGGGCCTGGACCATTGGATCTGCCCCCGGCAATTTTCTTCCGCAACGGATAGCCCACCTGCCAAGGAGAGAAGTACTACCGAAAGGATCACAACAGAGATATAATTAGACATCAGTCTTCTATCCGTCCTTGCTGGAACGTTGCTATACCCATTTCCTTACGATTGCTAACCACTTCCTCCTTCAAAGATGTGCGCAACATTACTCACGTACTCAACTATGACTACCCCAATAACTCGGAGGATTATATCCACCGTATTGGCAGAACCGGTCGTGCTGGTGCAAACGGAACCGCCATCACCTTCTTCACCACTGACAGTATGTTGTCCCCCCTTCTCCAACCCCCCCCCCCCCCCTCCCCCAAGGCTCGACGTGGTCTGGTCTTTTGCTAACACCCATCTACAGATTCCAAGCAGGCTCGGGACCTTGTGAATGTCCTCCAGGAGGCGAAGCAGCAGATCGACCCTAAGCTGGCCGAGATGGCTCGCTATGGAGGTGGTGGCGGCGGCGGAGGTCGCTACGGCTACCGTGGACGTGGTGGCGGCGGCGGTGGTCATAGGGGTAGGCATCACTGAACCATTCGAAGTCTTCGTCTTTCGTTCATGAAGCTGACTGCTTTTGCGGGACAGGTGGTGCCAATGCCCTGCCTATTGGCAGCCGCCGTTGGTAAGCCAGCTAGCGGCACTTTTCTGTAACGGCATACCCCATCGGCTCTGGTACACGCCACTGTTCTCAGTGTTTCTCTTTTCTTTCCTTTTTTTGACAAGGCATCTCAAAACACCGGCACTATCATGGCGTTTCTTGTAGAGGGTCCGGTTTAGACGTTGGCACGAAACTTGAGGCATGTACATGCCACATGGTGCCACTCCTCTGTTTTTGCTGGCTGGGTCGCGCGCGGCACATAGTCTGATTTCCTTAGTTTATTTCCTCTGGAGTACAGGCACACTCCGTAGAGAGGATTGAGACAGGTTCATAGGATCGTCGCAGAATAATTCTTTCCAAAACACACAACTTCACCTGGGTGAATCAATGGGCCTAACAGCACAGCATTTAAATCCGATGCATGTAGAATTCGAGTGGCCAACAGGGTGAATGGGAACCTAAACATTAAAGGGTATGGCCTACATGAAGTCGTCTAAATATGTGTATTTCAGGGATCGGGTTGGACCCCGCAAGCCAGGGAGACGAGCCCAGGCATGGATTTGTTCTTTTCTTGTGTAATTATAGTTGTTCCCTCAATACGAGGGCATATGTGATATTTACCTTGCCCTTCATCATCTATCAAGATCCTTCGGGACTGTAAATCATCTACGCAACCAAAAATTGGGTAACTTGGAGCCCAGGAAAGCCCACAGGTCGGAACTGACATTCCTTTGTGGTTGTGCCGCTGCCTATGGCTTCGGACGAGGAGGTCGAATCTCCAAACATGGTAAATTTCCATGTGTCATATCAACCCAGTTCCCATGGGAGAAGGTTGCCAAGTCGTGATTTAAACAAAGCAACCTTCTGCTAGCACTTTGCTGCGTGCTTGGAGGGAGGGCGGGTTTGACCTAGTGTGCAGGAAGGAGGGTGCCCGGAGCACACGGGGGACCAAGATACTCACTTGACTTGCACTGGAGGACTGCCAGATGGACGAGCTTGTACAAGTACATACAGAGGGAGATGGAAGGACGCTGTGGGGGAGTGATGAAGCATGTCTTCTTCAAGGAGGGGACATGAATGACAACCAGTCATAGATAGCTGGCTGCATATTAAGGTGGATGGATGTCTTGATCAATCCAGGGTCAGCTCCGTTTGTCCTACGGTTGGCATTATGTCTCTATCGCACCGGGATGGCGTCCCCGGGCTTGAAAGGGAGCTGGTCATGGTCTCTCTGCCTGTTTGCCTGTCTAGCTGTATTCTACGTGTGAGGGTGGGTCTTGGGGATGGCATGGGCTCAGCCTCTCGAACGGCTGTCTTGACATGTCAGAAAATGGTTGGGTATCTACTTGAAGGAGAGGGCAGAGGTTGACACAAGGGAAATATGATGGATCCGAGCTGGGTAAAAGCTGGCAACAAGCTCCGCCCTGCTGAGGTCTAGATGGGGTGAGCATGCCGGACCATGCTGAGAAGGGAGGAGAAGCCAGAAAAGCACAATGCTGTCATTTCCCCCAGTCTTGTTCATCCCAGCTGAGGGAGGGGCCGGGGAGAGAAATCCATAATATGACAAAAACGATGGATAAAAAGGAATAAATCAGCCAATGCAGGTTTGCCCCGATCCAAAGGCATCGTCAGCTCCATGTGGCATTGCCTGTGTAGGGAGGCTGAGTGGCGCCACAGCCCGAGTGACGGACGCCTCGAGCTGAAGCTCAGCTCAGGGGCTGGGCCCAGCCAGCCCTGCCATCAGTGCGGAAGTGCGACTTCGACGAGAGACAAACTTGGGTTTTGCTCCCTCTGGACCAAAAAAGGGGGATGGGGAGGCATAACGGGTATCCATCCAGGAGCAATGGGCACAACTCCCGGATTGTCTCCACTTGGGTTGGTTGTCCACGACAGACATGGTCATGCCAGTGGGAGGTAAACAATGACGGACTCTTTCCGCAGAGCAACAGTGAGACACATGGAGTTAAGTTCTGCCTTTTAGCAGAGATTACGGCCGAATGGTCTGGAAGCCGATCTCGCTCCGATGCTCCGGACGCATGGGAACCGGCGTCAGTTCCGGTTCTCGTCCCGCGCGCGGGTTTGACGGCCCCTGTAATTCGCTATGATGGGAGAGGCAAGCAGCAAACTGTCATGCACTTCGTTGTCCTACAGGGATTTCTTCATACCTGCCGAGGGCCCCAAGACTATATCAGCCGTTGACGTCCTCGACTCAAGGAGTACGTGTCGATTCGTCGGAAAAGTAAAACATCCTCGCCCCCGTCTTCTTGGCTTGTACATCTTCTCCAAACCGTGTGGATATTTCGCCGGAAGCGGAAAAGGATGTGATGTTTGGAGACTGGGACTCCTCTAGTATGTATTGATTCTTCACTTTGAGACTCGACTAGTGAGCTGTTACACTCTTCGCTTCGCCTACAGAGACTTGATAGGCGAGCTATCATGACTACAGGGCACGAAGGTTTCGTCTTGGGATCTGGGCCCTTCGCGTACGCAGTAGACCTCTGGAGGCCAAAAGGGGCAACTCCTAAATCTCAACAGGCATTCCTGGTCTAGTTGCTCGTTCCAGGGGAGCCTCGACTCTCGAGGGGACTCTGCTCCTTCCATTGCACCCTCGCGACGCGTGACAGTGCAAGAGCCTGAAATTTCGCCCCCCCTTTCCGAGGGACAGGGTAAGTGCCGATCAGTCATTTCTCTTCTCGTGCAGGGCGATACGGCCCAAGTGGTATAGTCTGACCATCGAGGTAATTATTATGTATTGACCACATCGGACTGGTGGGAATTAAGCGCAAGATCTTCCCGCGGCTGGCAGACAGTCTGTCTGTCGAGCTGAGCCGACCCCCAGTTCGGGAGCTACTTGCGCAAGCCAGCAGATCAACAGACCAAACCAACCTAGACAGGTTTCTTCTTATTGCTTAACGATTCGAACTAGTGGACCCTCACCCCCCTTTTCCCAACCTCCGTGCGGTACTCGGACGCGCTGCTGCCCAAGAGCTAGCTGATCCTCGAGCACATTCCTAAGACGTCCCTGACAACGCCCACTACCCTTCCTTGGATGCTTTGAATACACAACATCTTGGATTGCTCCAATGTGGATGATCCGGGAGATCTACGAGCCCGGCGGTGAGGCCAGCAATGCTTGCGCCCCCCTAGTGGGTATGGGGCAGGCCATTAGTGTACGCTACACTAAGCAGGCTTCTCACCGGAACTTTCCCTGATGAGATGGGGATGAAATCACTAGCGTCTAGTTCAGAGTGGGTAGATGGAGACGTCAATGACAAGTTGAAGCTCTGCCGAGTGGGACTCTCGGCCTTCTCTCCTGTCGGCAATTTTCCAAGGTTTGACTGGCACGAGGCATATGGATGGGGTTGCCTTCGATGTGGCCAGGGGAGAGGGTTTTCAGACGGGAAGCGCGCTTCCTCCAGGCCGTTGAGGAGAAGAGGAACAGCTACATCGCCCTCGCTCGAACTAGCCATTGGTGTTGTTGTTAGTAGCTATTGATAGCCTTTTGCATCGACAGAGCCGCAAATCCAGTGCAGCTGAGCATATGCTTCGTATCAGACGGCGACTGACTCTATGGTGCCCACTGGAGACGCACGGAACTATGTACATACAACCCTGAGGGATGAGAAAAAGGTCCCCACGTTGGCTACCGGACCTTGGACCCTCCGCGAGTGGGATCCTAGTGGCACATCTCGTGACGATGTCGAGGCCGCAGCTTTTCGGTAATTTAACATTTTTTTCGGTCTTATTTAACCGCTTGAGGAGATCCAGAGGGCCTGGTGCAGCCAGCGCCTCCACCTTCCTTCCTCGCCCTTCTTCTGTTTCTGCGGTCTTGAAATTTCGATCAGGCAGGTGAACGGCAATGGGGGGATGCTTCCGGAGGAGACGAGTAAGGACGAGACCAAAATAATTTTGCAGGGCCCACCACATATGCGTAACGAGTCAGCTCTAAGAGGTCCCCTTTCGGCATGTCCTCCTCTCCCCCGACTGTGTGGCGAAAATGAATTTATCTTCTATTTTATCGTTTTTGGACTAGGTAGAAAAACTAAATCTGATAATGAGGCCATTGTCACGTGCGGTGTCGGTGCTGCGACTCAGGGTCCTAGTCGGTCGTCTTCCGTTACACAAACCTCGCTGAATCGTCGGGAAGCTAGGCCCAAATACAAGGGCTGTCGCGCTGGATTAGCAGATGGCCCCCAATTCCCAAAGCGGCTCTTGGGATAGCTTCCCAAGTGCAAGGCGATCGAACTCTTGGGATAGCACTATGTTGGTTGGCTTGGCTAATGTTAATGGTTGGACCAAGTTCGCTACCACACGGACGGATCACGGTCCAGCACTAGAGAGAGGTACCTACAAGCTACACGTGTAGCTTCCACATTGGGACCAGGAGGCTGGTTACCTAGCTTAGCCACCGACGCTTGCTTCTTTTGCCGGGAGGATCTCAAGCAGCTGAGTTGTTCCAGTAAGTAGTAGTGCTAATATGCCGCACGATGCCGCACGATGCAACCATGAAGCATGGCCTCAACATTTTCGGATACGCCATTTGAAAGTCACTTGGGGCCGGCTTGCCATTTCGAGCCATCCGAATTGGGAAACGTCAGCACCCAGCCATCGGCCGGCCGGGCGCCGGCCGGCAACCAGGTCGAGGTTAGGTTGCCTGCGAGGTAAGGAAGCCTGCTTGCTCCAATCAGTAAGAATAAACACTTTGATAGGTAGGATTCAAGCCACCGGGGCTTCCGGAGCATCTTCAATCATGATTTTATTATTTTCTTGCCCTCATGATATTATTGTCTTTTTTTGCTCCCAACCTTGCCGGCTGAATAATGCGACTGGCACGGGTATAGGCGGCCCCAATTTTATCTTTGTTAGGTACCTACCTACTCACCGCAAAATACCCATGACAGGGCGCACATGCCCCCCAGCCTGATGTGTCGTCCAGGTCCCCCTTACTGCGTAGTACACACCTCCCAGGACTTTGTACAGGTACCTTTCGATCCCCTTATCAAATCATGACGATCGGTCGTGGTGTAA